ACATTTTACTCTCACCGAGGATGAACAACTTATGGAAATGGATTTCAATCAGATATAGAACGTAATTAAACTGGTCAATATTCAGCCTGAAAAAAATGAAAAACCGAATTTCTCGTCATCATGTATTAAATGTCGGTTAACTATTACGAAAAAACATCTTTCGAACTCGACATATGAATAAGAAATGTCCATTTGCATTCCCCTGCTGTAATGATAAATTTATATACAGAACAATTCTTCTTCAATCTCTTCAAGAAACAGATATGACAATAAGTCACGTTTACTCGTCTAGAGATTTTGTTCAAAATTACAAATTTACAAATGCGTCTACTACCACCCATTTACAACACGCGTTTGAAGCGTCACTACATATTGTGCACAGGTTTCATAGAAATCGCACAGATTCCGTTTGCTCGGCAATGGTTCGGCTCGCAAGTGTACGCGAATAACCTGCAACTAATATTATGATCACTTTATTTTTAAGTTTTGTCGAGTCGACGGGTTAACTAAGTTTTATTAATGCATAGCTATAGTTAGTACGTATAGTAGTGAAACGCGCAGCGTGAAATGTCGAGTTTTTTTAATTATTTTAAACAGACTAATAACTATTATGTCTTTAAAAAAGCAATTATTGTTCAGAGGAATAGTATTATGTATGAGTAGGCATGTGTATTTTGCACTATGACGCTTTGGAACGACGCTTGATTATATTATATAGGTACATACTTTTACGAGAAATTAATGTTAATATCTAATATTAGTCGACTATCGTATACAAGTAAGAATTTGTTAATTTTCAAACTATCTATACATGTAATGAAAATAATTTCGAAATAATTGTATTAGGTACTTTAACTACATAATAATCAATACATATTCACGCTGAAAACACGGCACCCATAGAATATTATTATATTGCCGCATTGTGTTATAATGCATGGGTAATTAAAAATTTTAATTTTCACTTTATATACGAAGGTGCAGTTACATTCATCATAAATCATATTATTACAAAATAAACCGTATACGGTAGTATTGCGTAGGTATCTTATATTATAATAATGTATTATGTGTTTAAACCATATTATAATAGTGACTAGTAAGTCACTAAAGGTACCAGCGCCGGATTTATTTACAGGATAGAACAGGCAGGTGATTGGAGTGACCTGTGGCGTAGCCAAAGGGGATTTTGAGTGTTGTGACCCTTTCTCCCTATTGCTTTTTTTAGTTATAGGTAACGTTAAGAAGGTTTTAGACCTCTCAACCCCCCTCCCCCCTACATTGATAAATTGTGGCCATGAAAAACTTTTCAGGGCATCAAATTTATCACAAATAAAAAAAATATATAAACTTTTTTTTAAGACGACAATCAGTTCTGGTGGAGAATTTTTTTGATGTATAAATTATAACTTTTTTGAAAATCAACATAAAATACTAACGTTTTATTAATTACTAATTAATCATTTATGTTATTAACAAAAAAAAAAAAAAATCTCTTGGAAAACATAAAACTTTATTGTATTTATATTTCAAATTATTAATAAATTTCTAGAATGGCTACAAATTTGAATCCTCCTAATAATTGCATCCTTATTTAGATTTAATAGATTTACTCCGTGTATGTTAAGATGTTTCCCGCTTTAGAATTTGGTCTTCTTAAAGTAAAAATTGTATAACATATTTTATGCCTGATTACTTTTTATATACTTTTAAATAATAAATAATGATTTAAATTTAACAAAATAATTTTCAATGCTTTAGTTTCTTTTTCATGCGCGTTTTAACATCAAATTTCGACGAAAATCGTAAAAATTACGGCATTTCAAAATATGTCTTACCGAAATTCGCTCTGAATCGTTTTTCGTTAGCAATGGTTTTACGTTGCATACAGATATAAATTAAATAATTGTACGTATCCTACTTTCTTAACTTTCCACCTACTCGATTTGAGAAATGAAAACAAAAAGTAGAAGAAATTAAATAACCAAAGATGAATATAAGTGGATATACTTACATGATAAATATTTTAATTTTCACTTGTTGTATTTAATATATTATAATATCATCTCAGGTATATATTGTATAAAAACATTTTCGGTAAAAAAAAAATTTCGGGTCATAAGCACCGCATTTTACACCCATTTAATTCCTTTTTTTCTTTGAAATAAGTAGGTAGGTATCTATACTGGAACATTTTTTTTACATATTATTAAAGTTGGTGATAGACGATAGGTATTCAAAATTTGTTTAAAATATGCGAATAAGAGAGATGTAGAAAAAGAAATAATTTATTATAGATGATGGATACCTATGTATTAAATTCAATGTATGTAAAATTTGATTACTACGTTTGAAATTCGCGTTTTTCGGGTTTCCCCGAATAAATGAATAAATTTAACATAGGTGTAACAACATTATCATATAGATTTTGCATTTTTAAATGAAGCTCGAACGAAAACTCGCATGTTACAAAAAATAATGAGTTAACGACAATGTTTTGTACAAAGGCCAATCAATTTCTATAATTGTGTTCGTCTCAAAGCGTTCAATACGTCAAGACCGGGTCAAAATTTAATCGAAAATAAGCGATTTGAGTCAAAACTCACATATTATTTAATTTTAATTATTATTAATACTCACAATGTTATGTTGTCATGTACAAGGACGATCCTAAGGGGGGTATGACACGCCTCTAAAGTGGCTACTGTAATTTCCAGTCGGCATGTTACAGCTACTCAAAAACCTATAATACCTAAAATTTTAATATTTAAATTCTGAGTGGTAAGAAGCTTATGGTTTACAAAGATGTTTATTCATTTTTATTATTTATTTTTCTGTGGACAACTTTTCTATCAGAGTTTTTGATCCGATGTTTAAGTGTAGCACGTTTTTTGAAAGAAAATCGGTGTGGGGAGGTACATAAGCAAGGTCATATTTTATATTTTTCATATTTTCTTAAGAGTTTTCATATCCAATATGAAAAACCGAAAAAAAAAACGAGAAAATGTATGAAATATATTTGTTTAATTTAAAATTTGTGTAATATTTTGTGGACAACTTTTCTACCAGCAATTTTGATCTAACTTATAATGATAGTGATTTTTCTAAAAGGACATTTCACTGGAGATGTTATTATTCGATTTTATCCGGAGTTTTCTTAACAAATGTGAAAAGACGGGAAAACCCATGAAAAACTGGAAAAAACATAGAAAAACCGAGATAATCAGTACAATATTAAACAAATATTATGAAAGAAAATATGTAAAGCTGTTTTATTTTACTATAATATGACATATATATTGTTGACAAAGCATCACTATCAACTGAATTCCGCTCAGAATCGTCTTTTTTTGTAAGCAATAGTTTATTATTGCTTATAGGTATACATTAAATTACCTATAACAGTGGCTACACCCGTCCCCATTATCCTAGGATGTCTTTTTATTACTAAGTTTTTCCATGAATTAACGATTGTTGTAAATCAACTAAAGCTGTAATAGCTGATAACAGTCGGCAGATATTATGGTATAAAATACCAGTTGTCAGTGTATACAGTCGTCAAATTCTTTTCTTGGAATTCGGCAAAATTCACTCCAAACCCCCTAAAAATAAACCTTAGGATCACCCCTGGTCATGCAGTAGCGTACGCAGGGGGGAGGTTATAAGGGTTATATACTCCTCTCCCATTGGCTTAAAAATACAAAAAAATATAAGTAATCTAATATCCAAATGCATATATTTCAGATAATTTACGAGGAAAAACATGATGTTTTGATTAGAAATTGGTTTTTTTTTAAAATTACTATTTCCCATAGTCAAGTTGGCTAGAGTCGTAGAGAAGACAATTTTACGATTTATTCACGATACTTATTTGCTACATTCCCTCCCATTAAAAATTCTTGGGCACGCTACTGTTGTCATATTTCTTGCCTCAGATTCAATTGTATCAACTGTAATCACATATTATTGTAAACTTCAATCTCAATGAAAAAAAAAAGTATACATAAATTGGTAGGTACCTACATAACGATTATAACTATGACTTTTAATGGCAGTTTTGAATTCTTAGCCTAAATTATGTGAGAAAAATGAATTTTGGATTTCTTCAGCGAATAGAAAAATTATTTCCAAGGTTTTTCGTTTTCTAAAAAATGTGATTTTTGGAACTTGGTAGTTTTGATTCTAACATATTCTTGAATAGGTATTTGCAACTCATACTGCCGGTTTATTATTATTATATTGTACCTACGTAATGACTTGCTTTAATATTAAATACCAACCTATGTTCACCTAAAACCGGAATAAGAATCTCGGCCGTTCCCGAAGTGTCGGCGTATCCGTTAAAACATTTTAATATTTTATTCTGCAGAAAAAAAAGGTTAACAAAATTATCGTCTTTTTCAATTAAATCGTCCGGTGGCGTACTGGCGTGTAATACTGATATGTGCCCAATGACGGCGGCAGTGTGGGTATAGTTTTTATAAGTGTTGAGATTCATGAGTTTTTTTTTAAATTGATGATCATAGGTGGACGGTAGCCAGGTGTATGTTTTATATACACGATTGCAACTCGAATGACGGACTTGATGGTACGACTAATATTGTGTTGATTAAAAAACCATACTATACGTTGACGAATTTGCGATTTGAAATCTTACGCCTGTCTTATTATTAATCCGTAGTACGGTACCCATGTTAAATTGTGTATGTGTTAAAACCGTGTCAAAACCGACTATACCCACAGTTGGGTGTTTACAAAATAGGCAGGTAAGTACCCAACTATATTAGCAGCGTGGAAATAACAATAATATTATTATAATAATATGTGGAAACAAATAATTTCTAAATTGATAATAAGATGTATATTTCGTCCGTCGCTAATAGAATTTTCATATTATTAGATTCGCGTCTATTGGTTTCCCGTGAAGGTCTTCGCCGATCCGTTTGTAGGTCATGTCGCGGTGATCGGTCGCTTGGGGCGTGACAGTCGGTCGGCCGCCGGGGCGGTTAGCGAGTCATCCACACCGCGGCCGGTGTTTATGTTTTCGGTGAACCTTTCGTTTCGCGAGACCGTGGTCCGTGATAGTCTTATCATTCTTGCGTGATCCGTCTGGTGCTCGTCGTACCTATAATTTTAAATTTACGTCGTCGTAGTTGTCGGTTCTATTCGGAATTATTTTAAACTCCATACATATTATAGGTACATACTTGCCTACAAATATATACATATATATTTTAAAAATTATTAAATTACGTATAAACCACAGTCAAAATGAAACGACGAATACGAAATTATCATAGTCGATTTGTCTTCCTCTACCTGTATAATACAAGTGAATGGTGAATATGGAGGTAAGAAAATCAGATTTTTCCTAAATATTTATCAATAATAATATCTATGTTATGGTTGATCATTGCAAGTAGAACGTGAGTACTTGATACATTTTTTGTTTTTTTCCCTACCAAATTTGTGTATTACAACCAGGAGTTATACCTAAATGAAATTATTGTCTATTCATAATTTATAATAAAAATATTTTGCTACACTAGATATTATTAGTAATTGCACATTGATAGATTGGATATTTTCTGCATTCACTACATACATTTTTAAATAATTCAAATACACTAAAAGATCCCTAATAATTATTACCTTTGTTATTGTCTATTAATTTATAAAAAAATAAAGTTGATATCTATAAATCGAATGTTCCTAAAATTAAAAAAATATATGGTATATTATTAGTAATGGGTATGATAAGTATTGGTACTTAATAATATTATATTACTCCAGACTTATATGACAAAAATATTATTTTTTAAGGACCTATGAACGTATAATCTATGTATTTGTTTAGAATGTCATTTCAATGCATTTCAACTATATGTACATTCTATTGACATAGTACTATGAATTATGACAATATGGGTAGGTACCTAAAGTTTGTTTTCATTTGTAATCTATAGATAGGTAGTTTATTCTAATATTACTTATATTATTTGTTATGCTTCGTTACCTAATATTGTTATACTCCATACCTATGAGTACTTTTGTGTATATGGTGAATATAATTATTATATATTTTGCATAAAATGAGTAGAAATTTTAATTGTTTAATACTATGAATTTATTATTTTGTACATTTAACATCATAAAATAATCAAATTTTGATGAAACTATATTATGGATATAATAATACAATACCTAATTTATTACCAATACTGGATGTATGTTTAGTCCAGACAGTAGGTAATTAAATATCAAACAAATGTTTTTTGAAAATCTAAATTTTTGTATTATTGTAAAAATTGTTATAATATAGAATATATAAAGTAATAATATTAAAAACTATCAGACAAATGATTATGAACGGGGAATGGATACTGTGCAAATATGATTTTATAAATAATATAATTCATTAAACATAGGTACCCACTATTATTTAAATATTTAAATATGTATGACTAAAACAATTGTTAAAATTGTGTTTCATTAAAAATATAATAGGACCCTATTGAATTCTCATGAATATATTTGAATATGTAATACCACCACAGAAATCTTAGTAGTAAGTAATTTGTACTTATCAATAATACCTTATGATATTTTATTGCAATTATAACAAAGTAATATTACTAGTTTAAACACTATTTTATTAAAATGTCATCAATGATTAATTAATCATGTTAATTATAAAGCTTATATTAATATCTAAAATTGTAAATATTTTATATACCTCTTAATAATAAAAAAATAAAACCATTTATGTAGTTAATTTACTGAGTTGTAGAATAATTTTCAGAATATTTCATACTTTAATCACACATAGTCATCATTAACTCATCAATTAATTAGGCATTTATTTACTTATTATTTGACTTTATAGATATCAAATTTAACCGTGTAATACTGTGTATCTTTCAAAGAGGAGAATATTTGTTGTCAAACTGATATAATTCTCTTTTACTCAAAGACCATTGGCCTTAGACGATTGTTAATAATAATAGATAGGTATTCAATATTGCTTGTATCTGATTTAATATACCATGACTGTCGAGTTAATCATGTGGAAAATCATATTATGAGTGAAGAAATAGTATCTATATATGTGTTTGCATCGTCGGTAGCCTACCTGCTTGTCTAATAAAACTTGGTACAATTACTTATGTATTTTTTTTCCCTTGTCATATTTCATTAAGTTTGAATTATACATATTTTCCGTGTTTCATTTCATTACCCATTCAATGTAGGTATACATATTCCGTTAGCTTGTATCATTGTTGTAAAATCCCGTGTGGTGAAATTTTTTAATTAGGCATTTGTTAAGGTTTTGTTTTGTAAGAATCATCATATCTACGTCTTGTTGCCGTTTTATTTTTATTTTTTATTTTTTTACACATATAACTATAATATATAAGTTATAACGATAACAAATGGGTATTCAAAATTGAAGTTGATTGTATTTTCATAAAACACCAATTCAAATCTTTTAAAGATAATACATTTTAGTCTAACATAGTACCTAGGATAATATGTTTTTAATAATTATTAGGCAGAATAATTTTTATTTTAAATATTTAAAAATATTCATATAAGAATATAATATATATTATTTACCAATATTTTTTTCATTAAAATAAATGTATTTCCATGTTATAAGTAAGTATGGTAACAAGAGCATACTTGAAGGAAGTTCATATTTATAGGAAAACACTCAACGATTCCACTTAACATTAGTTATCTTGTTATCTTAAAAACACCTACTATTATCATTAAATGTACCTAAATTTGAATGTTTTTAAGTTTTTTCTGGATGTTTTATAATCAAAATATTTTATTTACATTACTAAAATACAAAAAAAAACTTTTATTATCAATTTTTTTATTTCAATGTATTTTATTTATTTGACAGGTTTAAAATATATAATATTATGGTTATTTTTTTATACTATAAAATTACTATAATTGTTTTAACTACCTATCTAGTAATTGAAAATTTAATCAGTAGAATATATTGTTGCATGATATTTTCATTACAATCTGTTTCTGTCACTTCACTCAGACTTCACTATTCATTAAATATTCTCTTAATGTTTTCGATTAATTATAAATTACCTAAGTAATTGAAATAATTTTTTAATAATTACAATGAAAATACATAAAATGTACATACTATTTCAATATGAGAAACGAATATTTTATTTGTATGTCCTTATAAAACCCATAGGAAATATTTACTTTACTGATTTGTTTATATATTGTACATATTACAGCAACGTGTGGTACCTATTATGTACCTTTTATATTACCTATTATATGTTTACATTTGAATAAGTAGCATATTATTGGTACTTTGGGATATTTGTTTAGGTCACTGCAGATTCTAATTATAAATTATTTGTATGTGTAAATATATCTGTAGTTATATTAAACTAAATTTGTTTGTTTTGGTCATTTTTTAAGTATTTTATATTTACCTCATAAGAAGGTGGGGTTCTATTTTATATAATTATTTGTTTGATACAATAGATACAGTAAACATGTTTTCAGAGACAAAAATGGATTTGATATTTATTTATTAATACATTTACATCTCATAAAAAATATAGAGATACACTGCTTCTGCAAAGAGCTGAGCAAAATGAAACTAATCTTAGACACCAGAATTGTTATGTGTTGTTATCCAATGTATATATATATATATAAAAAAATGTTCCCTTTATATAAGTTATTATTCTTACGAGAAATGTAAGATATTTATTCTTTATAGATCAGTAATGAAAATAAAAGTGAGAATAGATGGTTTTTATAAAAAAAGAAAAAAAAAAGATTGTGATTTTTATTTGCAAGTACATTTATTTATTAATTACTTATATAGGAACATTTCACTGTTCTTCTTAGGTAACAATTATGATGAATATAATTCGACCATGTATATAAAATTTAAATTAAATTACTAAATAGACACATCACGGTTATGGTAAACACTGAATGTTGTCTGTTGTTCGCTATTTTATTTTTAAATATAGGTATCATTTTTCTTAAAAGTTATAACACCTACTAAATTTAAAATGACTCATCAAACAGTTTATGATTGATAATTCAAAAGTGAACAATTTTTTCTTTTAACTATTGAATATTATTTATTAATATGCGATTCTATTGGGTCAATATTAATGTTAGGTGTTAGCACTCGAATATTGTATTGTCTAGGTAGTGTATTATAATAACATGACGTATTCAGGATTAAAATATCTGTCAATTTTATCATTACATCACATTGATTGATTTGTTACCATGATTGTATGGGCTGTAGTCGTTTTATTTTTTCAAAATTGAATTGTTTATCATAAAATAAAATATATTCACATTGGTTTGAAAATATTTAGTATTTGGCATGATTATTATTTTATTTTACCCGTATGAAATAAAATGAGGAAATGCAGACATTGTTTCAGACAGAAACTGCGGGGCGTTTTGCTTTGCTTATCACAACGTAGTCTGCTGTATTATATTGTTTATTTAACATTTTGGATGTGTGTTTAATCTAATCAAAATGTTAATACAGTTTTTACAACAATAACAAAATTTAAAATAATGTATGTATCACACGTTACTTAACCAATTAGCTAGTGTGCTTCATTCATTAAAAAAGTAGGTATGATTAATAGGTAGGTATACATTGCATATATATATTAATTTAAACATAAAATATTGTTTTAAACATAATATGTGTTATAGTTAAATTAATATTAAATTTACGTTTTATGTAATGTTTATTAAATGTTAGCTTTAAATGATTATACTTAGGTATACATAGTAGACCGAGACTGAAGAATATAGTAATTACTAATTTGATTTATACCTTATGAAATTTATGGAAAATACTTTTTGACTTTCTAAATTTTTACACTAATTCTTTTTGAAATTATCAAAAGTTATATTAGAAGTTTTTCAATTTATCAATTACATCTCTACATCACTTTAACCGAAGGCCCGCGGTAGACGAAGATATTTTAATTCATAAATCTGTTAAGTTTATTTATATTCGTGACATTTTTCCCGTGATCTACTACTCCGAAGAAGTTTTTCATACAATAAATATTGACGGTTATTTTCGATCAAAGTTCCGACAAGAGCAAAACTATTTTAATTTATAGATAAGTGTACATTGTACACTTACCTGCAGAAATCTTAAATATGCACGTATATTTTCACAGATAAATCGAGAAACTTCTAATTGTATAATTTCAAAACTTTGAACAGTGTTAATAAATATTTTCTGGAATATTACACGTAGATAATTAATGTCAACGTGTAATAACTATTTATAAGTATTTTATTTTATAGGTATTGAAATTTTACCCAGTTATTTCTATTCTTTTTCTTCTTCTATCATAGTTACTCTTTAAGAGCTTTGATTGCCACTACAATATCACGCCATTTATCTCATACCTTTTTCTTTAAGTTTATTGTAGTTAATGTTCTCAAATTTTCCTATGTACAACATCTATCCATATTTTTCTAGGATTATCACGTGGCTTTTATCTTCCTTGAGGTACTCATTTGAAAGTTACATTTAGTTTAGTTCTATACGATTAACAAAAGTTATATATTTGTGGTTATTATAAATTATCAAATTTAAGTTATATTACAATTTATTAATACGCTATAAGTATAATTAATGCACTATAAAATATTATAACAATAAAGTTAAAATTTAAAAATGCGCAGTTTTTACGTTTGAAAATAAACTTTTTTCTTTGTATTTAAAGACGGCACAGTTTTGAAACTTTTTTTCTACAGTTTTAAGTTAGAAAATAAAATTATACTTGAAAATAATATTATTATTCTTAGATATTTAACTACTTTATTTAAAAAACCGTCGAAATCGATTAAAGTTGTTTAAAATAACATATATAAAGAAGTACCTATTGCAAAGTTTTAAGATTAAACACTTTGATACACGATTCAGACTTAGTATATATACTTACTGAGAAAGTTGTGTAGGTAGGTACTTATAACTTATTATAACGAGCAACCGAAAAAATACTTTTACTACAAATCCTTAACCAGCTATTAATAATAAGACTCATAGTATCTTTGGATAAAATACTTATCGAGGTAATTCGAATAACCTATATATTGTAATATTTTAGAGTTTAAGTTAACGAACAAATCAGCCACGGTAGGTTTCTTGTTTTGAAGGTCCTTAACTAGAAATCATTTTTAGATTTGAAGCGTAGCGAGGGTATTATTGGTTATACAATGCTGTTTATTTGTTCTAGTCTGTGGACACGTTTTTTCCTAGAAAATCTGCTCAGATTTTTATGTGTAGAACTTTTACGAAAACTTTAGTTGTCTAGATTATACTTTAAACAGGTCGTTTTTTGATTTTTGACGCCATTTTTTAAATAAATACACTTAAGTGGGAAAAACGTAGGAAAACGTACAATTTCACGATTTCATTATTTTATAAAAACACGGACGACGTTTTCTACTAGACAAAATGATTTAATCAAAAAATTACTATACAATTTTTTTTGTTGCCTTTTTGATTTATTTTCTTATGATATAATCGCCAAAACTTTTGAGCCACTTTTAAGCTTTTAAGGAATTTTTAATTTTTGGAAGTTTTTTTGCAATAATTCGATTATAAATACACGTAGAGACTTGAAACTTATTAATAATACTTATATTGGACTTACCGAGATGTGGTGAAATTTCCAAAAATCATCGGACGACTTATTTTTTTAAAATAACCTTTTTGAAATCAAATTAAACAAAAATCGCAAAAAAAATTACTGCACTTCACATTATGTATCTCGGAATCGTCTTTCTTTAAGCAATGATTTATTGTTGCTTACAGACATAAATGAAATAACCTTATGTATTTAACTTTCCCAACTTCTCATCTACAACAGTGGCCGCTTCCTTCCCTTATATCAGCTCTTTTTTTTTCCTTTTAATTTTAATATTAACATTGCACACCTATAATCTGATATTTAGTTTAGGTTTGTTCACNGTAAGCAGGAAAGGGATTAGATCTGAGGAATTATTTTTGAAAATATATTATGATGCGCGATTTAAGGATTATTACATTTAATAACGATATTCGATAGTAACGTTCATATCATTTAAAATGTAACGGATACTTATCTTTAAAACATAAGTATATATCTATTTATATACTATTATTGTAAAATATCACTTAGAAATATTTCTAATTTGTAATTATCGTCGTCCGAACAATAATAATATTATAATTTCAAAATTAATTACCAGTTCTACGTTATATACAGTGTTGAATAATGGTTTTGTTATACGAGTTGGTGAACTTTTTTTTTGCTTTATTTTATTATTGTTGATTAATGATAATGATGATGACGATGATGATGATTGTTTATTTTATTTTGCTGGTCAAATAAATTAAAGTTTTCGTTGTGGTTTTGTCAAATAATCTGAAAACAATACTGCAATCATGCCGAATTTTCAATTCGTATTATCCGTTTAAAGTTCTAATATTGTTTTCTTTTAAACTTTACTCTGCTGCTCTGCTATACACGTACAATACAATTCGAGTTTACCTTAGAGATGATGTTTAATCAAGTATGGTATTGTTTGATTAATTCGTTTGACCGTACTAAAGCGTGAAGTGTCTATCTTGCATTGTAAGTAATAATAAGAGCTACGTCATAATGTATGTATATTGTATATAGTGTTAAAAAAAAACGGAAATCGATTGTCCACGATGTGCTAATTATTATTATACACTGCATCGGTATAAGCCGGTTAATTGATTAAACCCCCACAAGTTACTTAGAAATTCCTCGGTTATCGATACACACCAATGACTTCTGCTATTGTTACACCTGCATATCAGTATATAGGTGTATCATAATAAATATATATACAGAGACCTTAAAAAATATTTCTTCGGTTGCAAATTTTATAATAATAATATCATTTGTACGGCTTTTCTATATATATATATATATATACAATAATAATAATACAGGTATAGGTTATCATAGTTGATATTCAAAATATATACTATACCTACTTACGTATAAGTTTTTACGACACAACAGATGCTACTAAAATGTAAAAAAAAAGAAAATAACGAATAGGTACAGTAGGTACACTAAATGGCGATGTATATGTTTTTTGTGTTTTGAATATTAAAAATATGAAATAGTGTAATACCCGGTCAACGTTCGCGTTTTATAATGTAGTTTATTTTTGGAAGTGTATACAATAAAATAATATACGAAAATCTATTCGGTTAAAAACAAGGTTGCCACCACCTTATTTTTCCCCAGTTTTTCTTGCTCCGGGTAAATCGAAAAAAAAATACCTATGACTTATAACCTTTTGAATTATAAATCTACTTGTACGGGAAAATGTATTTAAGTTTAAACCGATTTTTGTTGTACTTATTTTTTTAACCCGCAAATGTACCTATTTACAGACTCAAAAATCAAATAATCATGAAACTCGTATCATATATTGCCGTAAAACCAATAGTTTTCCTTCGCATTCAGAATCTTAAAAGGGACCAATTTGTGTGCATTATACATTGGCCTATAATTCTGAGATGAGTGTGTTTGAGACGTGTATTTTTTCTATAATATTCTCTTGTTATAAATATAACATTTAGGTGATGTAAATGTGTATGAGTTAAATACAGTGTGTTTCACTTAAATGAAAACACGAAATATTTCAGTCGGATGGTTTAGATTGAAATAAGAATTTTTTTCAGGAAGATCGTATCGAGTGCTAAAACATATTTTAAATTATTTTTTTTAAATTTTTACGTGCTCAATAAAACTTACGTTTTCTTAAATTTATAAACCATATTCGAACAATCCTATTTTTCAAGCAACTTTTACTAATGCAATTTTTTTCTATTGAAAAATTAATCGAGATACGCAGCCATCCAAATTTTGTTAAAATGTAAAAAGTATGATTTAAAAGTACAATGGTTTGACTATTATTATGTGGTGGAAAAATCGAAAATAATGTTAACTATAAAATTGCACCTACATATAATATCATGCCTGTTAAATTTATTGAAAAATCGAGGAAAAAAATTTAATTGTTTTTAAACTTAATAAACTTGAGACGGTTATATCTCAGGCTATTTTTTAGATGAAAAAAAATTGCGTTAGTCAAAAACCCATTTCAATCTAAGCCCATCCGGTTGAAATATTTCGTATTACCGTTTAAATGAAACATATTGTACTTATATCACATAGATGATATTCGAATTTGAATTTACCTAGTTAAAATAATTTATTTAAACGGTTTTAATTAATTATCTTTAAGTTTCACATTGATATATTAATCCATACCTACCTAGAGGTACCTACAACTTCTAATGCATTTAGTGTACATCGTAAGTATATTATAGTTTCACTTTATTTAAGTCATTTTTTACGTGGGGGGGGGGGCGAAATAAATATTAATTCGTATTAATTCGATTAAAATGTTAGGTAAATATTTTTTATTAACAAAATAAACTTTATAAAAGTAGCCTATAATTAACCGATCAGTTATAACCTACATTAGGTTTATTTAATTGTGATTGTGTTGTTTAAAATAGTACAAATAAATTTGAATAAATAAACATTATAAATATGAATAATTTCTGTTTAAAATATTAGTTATCGTGTTAATCAGACTTCGGAATAAATGAGTTAAATGCACTCGTTCATCCGTTTAAAGGTCAAAATGTACGAACGAAATATGAATTAAATTCAAATTTTATTTTAATTGGCTTAAAAAAAAAAATTAAATTATTATTTCAATGAACTTGCTTTTTAATTGCTTTGTTCATTTTATTAATTCAGATTTCAAATTACTGATTAAAAATGTATGAAAGTAATTTAAGCAATTTTGCAAGATGGTCAATTTCACTGTGACGTCCTCTCTTAAAATTATTAAAAAAATATTACTTACTACATACCTAATACGATAATGAATAAAATCACTGAGGCTACGTTAAGTTAGTACAAATCAATAGTAAAATAACAGTTAACGAACTTCAGTTTATTTACAAATGAACTAATTAAATTCACTATATGATAAGGGATAAAACAATTTAAAATGTATTGTTTGTTTGAGTATTATAAAGTATAATTCATTTAATCATGTTAATCATTTTTATATCTCAAATAACATTTGGACAAAGTTTTTTTGAAATAAAATAATACATTTATATTATAATATTATAACTACCTAATACAAAATACCTTATTGATGTTTAAATAAAATTAATTTACTTTATAGACCTTATTGTCGATTGTTCATTTATTTTTCGACCAATATTATAGACACTTGTAAACCATTTTACTTTTAATTGTAATATTAAATTGATATCTCAATTAAAAGATTAGCTACATTTCAAAAATCAACAGGTATCAAACGATTAATAAAATGAGTTTCTTTACAATAAACCACCATCTACTGAATATAACCATTGTGGTAATAACTATACTTCATGTACAGTATACAATCTATTTTAATTATGGGGATGCCTTATCTATGTTATTCATGGGCTTACTTACCGTTTTATTATAAAAAATATTGCTGTCATCATTATAGATCTCTTTACCGCTCTATATTTTTATATGCCGGTTCAAAAGACGCATTCTGATCTCTAATGTTCTTAGATCTCTGGCTACTACATCAATGCACCGCATTCTGAGTTTCTTCGGCGGGATCTCGTCCTATTTATTTTCGTCTCGAACGTCGACTTTTTTACATGCATTTTCATTACTTAATCAACATCAGTGAACAACGGGAGAAAAAACATTATTTTATAAAAGCTCTTAAATCTGACCAAGTGACCGAGAACTACAATAGTCGATCTTTTCATTTAAATCCAGATAAATGCGCCGCCTCGCGCTTAAAACCAACCCTTACGTGGACTTTAATTAAGTCCACGTTTTATTAAAAATAAAACTATTCCAACGCATGTAACGGAAACTTTAAATTTGATCTATTCGCATTTGAAAAATTAATCATAATATATTACAGTCGGTGTTAGTGTTTTATTATATTTATTATGTTAATATAATAACTAAATAGCTTACAGGTACTATTAAAAAATTTAAGTTTTTTTTTTTGATCATCTAGAAAAGATATTATTAATTTATTATTTTATATACCAACCGAGTAGTTGAATAATATGAGTAGTTTGCATATATTTTGCATTTATGGCTATTGCATTTATGAATAACTGGTTTTTAAAATAAAATTGCATAATCATATACGATATACATATACTTCATAAATGAAACATAACATAAAGTTTTCATTTCTATAACAGGAATTTTATTTGGATATTATAAAATCAGTAATTATATAATCTTGTTATTATAGTAATTACTTTTTTAAACGAAAACATAGGAAACATAAAAATAATATATCAATTTAAAAACGAAATTACTTTTTGATTGGAATTTTGTAGGTGTAAATTTTCGATGTTGGTATATTATATTTTTTAATTTTTAGTTTTACGATATTAAAAACAAAAATATACTTTTATTATAGTGAACATGTTATCGATTTTCTTGAAAATATCAAAAATTATATTTCAATGAACTCATAAAAAAAATATCAACATATTATATTGTTCGTACATTTTTTTACGTAGTGACAGTCGCTCATACAAATATCGATTGGGACGCATTTGTACACAATATTTACATTTTAATACTTCAGAGTAAAAAAAATACCAAAAATAAATAAAGATAATACTTATTATTATAATCAAATAAATAGGAACTTGGTCATTTTTGTTGATAAGAATTTTTAAGCAAACTCATTTAAATGAGTTTATTTTAGATTTTGAGCGAATCGAGGCAAATATTGGATGTTGAACCAATAAATAAATAAACATTTTTATTAAATAATGTTTATTTTTTTTTTCTGTGAATAACTTTTTCACCGAAAATTTTGCTTTGATTTTGAAGTGTAGCACCTTTACTGAAAGGAAATGTTATCTGGGTGGTTATTTTTTTATTTTACGAGTGGTATTCACAATAATTTGAACAAAATGTAGGAAAACGAAACACCTAAAAATAATGTTTTTATTATTTTTAATTTTGTTTTTTTTTTTTATTCCTATTTAGTTAAAAGTGGTAAATTTTTTTTTTTAAAAAAAAAATATTTGAGCCACTTTTGAGCTATTTATAAACATTATAATTTTTCTAATTATTTACATAATTTTTATTCGGTAGGTTCTCTGTGGACTCAATTATTAGATCAAACAGAAATGTTTGAACATTTAACAAGAGGTTTAACATTATTCGTACTTTGCAGTCAAAAATAAAAAATTTAGTGTACCTAACGAAGCTTTTTTTTTTATAGGAATTTTAATAGTACTTTTTGATGAACATTGTAAATATTAGGTATGGCCTCTCAAAACATATAACCGAACTCCGCTCAAAATCTTTTTTAGTTAGCAATGAATTATCGTTGCGTACAGATGTAAATAAAATTTCCCTCTATATCCTAACTTTCTTGCTTCTTATCTGTAACAGTGGTCCACACATTGTGCGTATTATGTCTATCTTTTTTTTACATTGATTACGTATATTAGGCGAGCGTGTCTTAAAAGTTATTAAAGTATGTCCTTAAAATTGTTCTCGAAAAATCTAAATATTTTAAAGTTTATTTTCCTTAGTCTGAAACAAAAAAGTTTCATATATTAATCGGGACACAATTAATATATCTTCTAAAAAAAAAAACTACAAGAATCAATCATAAATTAGAAAACCAATAGTATGATAATTTTCATGTGGGGCTCACTTTTTTTGGTAATTTCTATGTAAAACTTAACGGGTATTGTACATTTCATAAATACATTTTATTGACAGTTGTATTTCTCGAGGGATCCAATACCTTTCTGGGGTATATCTGGATTCAACATTGAGTTAGCCTAGCTTATAGTTCTTATTCTTGGATAATTATTTCGTTATTGGGAATAATGGACACCAATTTCAACGCTGACCCTGATAAATATTTATGTAAAAGACTTATTTTTTTTTATCAAATAACAAAAATAAGCAACTCATAAATATGTACCCTAAATTACCAGCGTTTTTATATTATCTGAAATAATAATAAACTAATATCCCTGCCTAATAAGTTAAGAGGACGTGTTATTTGCAACAATCCGCATGTGCCGTCTCTGTCTTACAATCGTATACAAAATCTATGTTCAGCAGAGATAACGTTAGTTTCAATCAGGATTTAAATATTGGAATGAATTGACCTATAATCAAACTTAAAAATAAGACTATTCTGTGTAACCCCGTCAATATTTTATTAACTAAGCGAGATATGACTATTTCGTATGTGCATGTGAAATATCATAATTTATTAATACTTATATGTCACTTAGAAATTAAAACATTGAACAAACCCCGATGTAGTTGTTCAGATAATGTTCTTATATTGAAGTTTGATAATAGGTCAATTCACTCTTGTATTCAAATTGATAGCACAAAGTTTTCCCTGTTGAACGCAAATATTTTAAGTCATATTTTTGTAAAATAGAAACAGCACATGCAGGTTTCACCACTGATATCTTCTCAATCACAGCGAATCACTGTGCTAGTGATGTCATGTTATTGAATAATTATTGTTCGTTTAAAACGTATATAGAAAATGACGCCTTATCATATTTTTCGATAAAATAATAATATGACACATAAAAAATTTTATATCAATGCCACAAAAACTGCAGGGAAACCGAAGACCAACGTTAAATTTTTCTTAAATTTCGGCTGACGTTTAGAAATATACTTGTAGTTATCATCGAATCTAAATACATATTCGTCGCGTCCTACACGTTGTTCGAGATTGTATAAAAATAAAATAAAGGATATCTATTTATAATTTGATTGTTACTCATTTTTTTTTTTTTTTTTGTTATATATATTGGCTGTTTTTAAACACGATGCTGCTGCGGCGATAATAATATTATTGGTGTTCGCAAGAATTTGTATTTTTTTATTCGCTATTATCTGTCACGTCTGATATCTGCTACTGCCACCGCCGCTGTCGTCTCTGTGCAGTTGACCCCCCTAAAAAAATAAACCTATCCGAAAACCGAGTAATATCGGAAACGGAAACGGTTTGTTCGTTGAAACAACGCGCTGCTGATAACGCCGTTATAATATTTCATCGGCGTGATATAATATAAGTGTGTTATTATTCTGTAGGTATTTTAAATGATATTTTTTGAAAAGATAATTATCTACCTATTCTAAAATATTCGAATAATTCGCTTTCGTATAAATTCAAAAAAACTTTCCCGCGGGTTTTTGATGTGTTCTCATCGTGAAATTCGTTCTCAAAAACACGCCGACGTTAAATAGTAAAAACTACCCTCCAAAACGGTTTTAGAACTATAAATCGTTAGGTAGTACCTATGCGTATATAAATTTAAAATTATGGTTGTTAAGCTTTTACGGGCCAGTGCTCTTTCATCAAAATAACTTACTGCCTACGTCCCCTTCTTGCAAAATAATAACAATAAAAAAGGAGAATTGATCACTTTCTATATATTGGGAGATTTTTAATTTTCTTTTCTCGTTTACCGGTGAAACATAACGCAGACGTCCGGATTTTGATTTGCATGCGGAATGGTTATATGCGTCCCGACCGCCACCATTACGACTTGTATTATTATTATTGCAGTCAACCTGTAATTATATTATTATAATACATAAGTACAATATAAATGCACCGGTGGAGAAAATATTGTTATTGCACTCGGATACGTTTGAAAAACGCGGACGTGCGATCAATAATAACCGACGACAATAAAATAATAACACAAATACGTATTATCGTAACACACGAACACACAATAATAACGACAGTAATAAATTAATGCAGTGGCAACAAGGAGGAGGTAAGGTGTATTGTATAGCGTATACGTATTAAGAGATTGTCAGCGTGAGCGGCGTTTTCGAATGCTCGTGTCGAAAAATGGTTTTATCCACTGCAGGCTATTGCATTTGACGTGTTAATACACTGGGAGAAAAAAAATGGAAGCGTGAGGGAATACCAAGCAGACTGTATCACCCGAAGATCAAACGCTTGACGCATCTACATCACGAATCTTGTATTTATGAAGTAAATTACTTTATACAAAAATCATTTCAAGTTACTAGGTTTTTCTTGTAATATTACTCGTATGACGTTAAAATTGATTATATGTGTATTGTGATAATTTATGGAGAATTAGAGAGAGAATGCTAATCTTTATTACCATTAAATCACGGTATTAAATATATAAAAAACGTAGTAGGGCTGATGTGACACACGTCTCATAATTTTTGGTAGATCGCAATCTTCTATTCAACTGATTATTTGATATATATATTTTCTAATAGCAGTGGGAGAAATCCGGATATTTCTAAATTAGAAATGTATTTTAAATCTGAGTTTTAGATTTTGAATCATTGATTTTTCATTTTTTTAGACATTTTTTATTCAATTCAAAAACTAAACATAATTATAAATTTGTTTAGTATAAATATAATGTAATATGAATTTTCTGATTTTTTTTTATATATATAACTATGAAATACAAATTTGATCGTAGTGAGGGATTTATACAAAAATATACGAGTATAAAATAGATTTAAAAAAAAAAAATATCATCAAATATTGTATTTTGAAATCTAGAATTAGTACTTTTGGATTTTGAAATCCAAAATCTGGATTTATCACATCACTAATTACTATATTTATTTGATATGTTTCTACCTAATTCTGATGAACAATTAACTAGGACTTGATTGTTATCCAACTGTTTTCATTACAACTGAGTTAAAAATATTATTTAAGATGCTTGAATATAATAAACCTAACCTAACCCTACCCTATATGATTTTATTATTTCAATGATGTCTATGTGTGTGTACCAAAAAAAAAAAAAACGTTATCTAATTGAATTTGTAATTTATATTATGTGTTTATTTATATAAGTGTATAAGTTATAACAGTATTATAAATTAAAAACAGTTTTTTTTAAAAAAATTTTATTGATTATTAGAATCACGTAAGGTTAACAACTATCAGTTATTTTAAGTACTTAAAGTACTTAAGGTACTTTAAGTATTTTTAGTGTTATTTTATATACGGTTATCTTAAACCGTGTAATAAAGATTTTAAAACGATATTTTTATCTAAGTCAAAGTTGTTGTCTAAAACTAAGAGTATATAAAGTGTTCATTAGACCTATAATACTAATTCTGTATGCATATGGAACACGTATGTCCATCATAGAGCCGGACGAAAAAAGGCAAATAGTTTTTGAAAGGAAAATTGTACGTTAAATAAATGGTCTCAAAAAAAATGAGGAGGAGAATATATATGAACGAAGAACAAATGCAGAGTTGAGAGTAATATTCAATGAGCCAGACATAGGAATTTTCAAAAGCAGAGAATAAGCTGGGCCAGTCACGCATAAAGAGCGGAAAGTCAAGTATTACGTGAAGTTACAATATGGAAACCAGATAAAAAGCATCCGAGAGAAAGGCCAGGACAGCGGTAAATTGATCGAGTCAAGAAAGACCCCTGCAAGTTCCCGGGAATAAGAGATGGAGAACATCTGTTAAAGAACAGGGAGGCATGGTGAGACATTGTGGAAGCGGCGGTGGGCTTACAAGGCCTGAAATAAGCCGACAAAATATACGTATTTTATATTATTTCGTACAAAACGTTTCACAACCAAGGCTGTACCTAAGAAGCAGAGTTCAAACCCTCGTAACATTTTTCTTGTTATAGTATACTGCGGGAAAACAATTGTTTCAGTCGATACGATAAGAACGCCACACATGTTTCAGTTTTAGTTTTGCGATCCCGTCTCCGTCCCCTTCCGAAATTATTTTCCAGTTATGGTCTTGGTTACGACCCTAAGTGTCTGTATAATATTGTGGTCGGGACGTACCTACACAATAATATACGTAACAGACGGAGCGATATTATTGATAACGCACTCGTTTGTCGACACGTTGGTTAAATGTCGTTACAAAGGGCTACGGGTTTTGTTTCGTACGGTTGTACGCGGCGGGGGACTGCGGACGCCGTATCCAAGACGCCTTGTCGTCGCCGCGGCGCTGTTGCGGACGTCACGCCACGACTGTTCCGCGCGCGCGGCGAGAGACGTTCGGACAATTTGCGCGAGAGCGGCGGCGGCGGCGGCGGTGGCGGCGACGACAATGACGTATTATATTATGCGCTTGCGAATTGCAGGCGCGTGTGTTGTTCCCCAGTGTTGTCGTGACAACGATTGTTGTCGCGCGGGTAGCCGGCCGGCCTAAGTTCGGGGCGATGGATGGGAAGGTGTGGTGAAGGGGCGGGATGTCTGGCCTGCCGGAGGAGGTGTCCCCGGATTTTGTGCGACCGTCAGGCGTTAAAGTGCGTCCCGAATGCAAATTTCCGTATAGACCTCGCCGACCCCCGCGGCATCGCCGTCAACCGTCGTCGTATAGTCGAACAACGCCGCCGACACAAGCCTCCAAATGAGTTTTATAATATCGCAATAATTATAATAATATTACTGTGTATACACCATACACACACACACACACACGCACACACATATACAGGGTATTTCTGAAATATACTATTTGTATACGACGATGGGGAGGTATGGGGAATCGGAAAAGTTGTCAGAGTTTTTTGCTGCTCTTGTTATTTTCGATGTTTCGGACTTGTGTATTCGTTAAAATATTACGCGGACCTAAACTGAAAAATCTCCTACACCAATCCTACATAACGTCGGTGTCATCGTATTTGAAATGGTGCCGAAACAGTCCCAAACAGTAGTTTATGGACAGGAAGTTGTGAGTTCTGTTTTCAGAAATCCCGATGTAATTGCAAACGGTCCCCGAAAACGGCCGGTAGCTACTACATCCGGTAAACATTATTTTGTTTTTATATTTGTATTATTTATTTAAAAATTCCATCTCGGATATCAAAAATTTAATACCGTAATAGTTTTTGTATAAAGGCTGCACAAGATATACCTATATCCGGAAATAATAAAGATAATCAAATTTTGTTTTTGTTTTACAATAATCGTAGGGATAAAGACTAGGTACACATATTTGTATTTCAATTAATTTATTTGTGTTTCGGTGAAAAACTTAAAAAAATAGTTTTTTTATTTTATTTTATTTGGAAAATTTGAAGATAGCCATTTTATAAAATTTATTCTTCTGAAAATGTTGACGTATCAACTTTTTATCTTCATTGAATTCGTGGTTTTTAATAATTGTTTAAAGTCTAAAGAAAAAAAGTGTACAGCCATAATAATTTATAATAATCATTAGTTATAGCGAATGAGGTTACAGTCGGCTGTATAATTATAGGTACTTTTCCTTGAATTTTAAAAAATTATTAAAAATCAGGAATTTAATGAAAATAAAAATTTAAAACGTCAACGTTTTTAGAAGAATAAACTTTAAAATCTAAAATCTTTAATTTTTCGAAAAAGATAACATAAAAAGTTACTTTCTTTTAGTTTTTTATTAAAACATAAACATTTATTTAAATATAAATATTTGAAGTCCTCATCCCTGCAATTAATATTAAAATAAAAAATAAAAAACAAAATTTGAATCTCAGAAGATATTGCAATGGATACATCTTCGTGGGGCACTGTATGTATATATATTTTAAAGGGGCTCATATTTAATAATTGAGTATTCATCACGGATTCGTAGTTTCTTTTTTCCGTGTTATGTAGAATGTAGGTTGTGGTCGTCCTAGTCTGAAGTCAATAATAATTAAAAATAAAAAAAACCTCACTGTCTATTGTTTAATGTTCATAGTTCAATTAAGACATTAAAATAACAATCGATTTGTCTTGCACAGGTTCTATAGTGGTAAACATTTAACATTACAATTTAAATTCTATAGAAGTTATTTCCGTTTGGAAGAGTGTCTATACATAATATATGTATATATTTAGACGGTGAATAGCAGTTGTTCGAAAAATGATAAAAACTGCGATCGAATAACGACGACCGCGAATTCGTTGCCAACCTAAAATTGTCCAACATTTTATAAAAATAGTTTTGCATTAATTTGCGGGTACGTATATTGTTCGCACTTTACCTAGTGTTTGAATTGGGACCCCTCCAATTCGTGATATTCCATCCCGAGCTTTGAAAAAAAAAAAATTACACCTTACAGTTTGGCATAATTAACATAGCGAACATAAAATATAAACACAAAGACATTTAAATCTTCAGGCATTATGCTAATTGTTTTTTATACTTTTTCGTCCTCCTTCTAATGCAAACAGTAGTGGCTCGTGATCCTTGTAAGTGGTGAGGCAAATATTTTAAAAAATATATGGGGAAAGGCTGTTAAAATACACAGAAAAACGAATGTGAACTATCAGAAATAGAAAACGAGATGCTGTTATATCATCGTTATTATTTGTTGATTTTAATCTTCAGTATTTTCTTTGACCTAACCCTTTGACTACACAACAAGGTGTATCGCATCTATGATACAAACAATAGTTAGTCACAATATTAGTCTTAATATTTAGTATTACGCATATTTTTCTGAAACCAATGTATACTGTGTATCAACGAAATTTTCAACGGAATTCATTTTAAAATTTTGAAGGATAACATTATTTAGAATAAACTCTGTATATGTATTGTAATAATTAAGAACATTTTCTATAGAGCTGGGCCTCATTTGCCTTATATGGCGAGCTACCAATTAATGCATAAACGCCGCCGGTTATAACTAATTCATAGTTAGCCGGTTAAATATACTAGGTAATATAACATTTCAACTGAGGTACATAAAAAAAAAAAGGTTGATACTGTTGATGGGTGTGCCACTGTTTTAGGAGGGTAGTTGGAACGGGAAATATATAACGTAATTAAATTTAATCTTTATTCTGAGGAGAGTATTTATATCCTTCGTTTCCGATAGTAGTGACGAAAATAAATAATTTTATATTTTGGTTATTGCCGTATTATTTTGGATTCTGAGCGGAGTGGGGAATGTATTGGTTTTATAGTGGTGTTAATTTATTTTTTTCTGTGGACAACTTTTCAGCCAGCAATTTTGCTCAGATTTTCAATGAAAATTTTTTCTGAAAGAAAATCTGACTCGGTGGTACTTTAGGAGCTTCATTTATTATTTTCCCAATTGTTTTTCTAATAAATGGGAAAAAACGGGAAAATAATTACAATATTAATGAAATATTATTAAAGAAAATATATAATTCATATCTTATTATTTCACCATAATGTGAAATATATATTGTTGACAAAGCAACACTATTAACCGAACTCCGCTCAGAATCTCTTTTCGTTAGCCATGGTTAATCGTTGCATATAGATATACAATAAATTTCCCCTTTATCTTCTCAACTTCTCACCTAAAACCCATCGTGCGAAGTATATCTGTCTTTTTTTTAAATTGAAATTATAAATTAGAGATTCAAAGTACAACTATATATGATATTTAATATTCCATTTCAAAAATAGTTTTGTCATATTTGTTTTAAGTAGGTACTGTTATAAAAAAAAAAAAAAAAAAACAGATACTTTAATAATACACACTCATTTTTATAAAATGTATAATGTACTCACTATAAGTTTTAAGTATACATCGAGCTTAGTTTATGGAGTTTTTTTGTCGACAGCAATGTGGAAAAGTAATAATGAAAAAAAAAAAATGATACTACTGGTTTGTGATGGTATTCGAAGCGAGACGGATAATTGACACTCGTGTCTGGATATGTCCTGCCAGCCGTACTTTTTATTTCATTATTCCATTATTGTCATGTACAATATTTTCGTTTATACGTTTTTTTTTTTTTTGTTCAAATAATTAAATATACTTACGTAGGTATTAATTGATTTATTTAAAAAAAAAAAAAAACAATATTGTTTCGTTTTTTATGCGTTGAAAAAATTCTAACGGTAAACAATACCTAACGAGAATACCGGAAAATTATATTTAATTTAATACGAACAATGACAAGTCAATTTTAGGAACAATAGATGTTATATACACATTATTATATTGTGTTTAAATCGTAATTAATGCACTTACCTATTTACCCTGTAGTTTTTTTTGAATTTTAACAACGATTGTTTTAGAAATAAATAGAAATACAATTTTTATGTTTTCTTATTTTTCAAAATAGAAAATAATATAATGAGTTTAAATATAATAACATAATATTCTTGATTTTATTGTATATTGTGTATTTTTTTTTTTTTTTTTTAATGCTATACGTATTAGGTAGAAAAAAAAAATCCAAGGATTCAGGATAAAAACAAGATTTTGGAATAATGATCCCTATGAAGAAAATAAACATTCAGGTGTGTAAGAAAAGAAACATTTTCGGAACTATAAAACCAATATAATACTGAAGTCGTGTGGTGGATCGAGACAGTTGATATTGGGAATATAGACATTATTAAATTTGCCCACTCGCTTACATTTTAAACACCACCATTATCTATTTTACAAACTAATATTTTTATTCGTTAATTTAGTTTTTAGAATTATTCGTTCTTCATTATTCCACAAAATCGTTTGAAATGTTTCGTAGGTAACTAATTAAAGTTCAACTTCAATAAGGCCATAATACTTACGATTTTCATCAAAATTGATTTAAAAAAAATAATACTACATTGAACTCAAGTTTTTCTTGTTCACCACTAAGTACAACTTATAATAAACCCCCTTTTAAATGTTCAAGCATTTCTATTTGGTCTAACAATTCTATCCTCAAAATGTCTACCGAATAAAAATTACTGAACGATTTCTCAAAATTAAAATATTTATAAAATTAGTTTAAAAATGGCTCGAATGTTTTGAACATTTTACGAAAAAGATAAATATAAGTTTTTTTATTTCAAAATTTTATGTCTCTATAAACATTTTATATTAAATTACAGCAGTAAAACAAAATTGAAAATAATGAAAGCATTATTTATTTTCGTAAATTTTCCCGTTTTTCCCAATTATTATGAAAACTGTTACGAAAATAAAAAATGATCCACGCAGTATACTCACTAAATAAAATTTTCTTTGAGAAAAGATGCTACATTTAATAACCAGAGCCATATTTTTTGTAGAAATTTGTATATAGTATAAAAAAAAAATAATATTAAATTAGGTTAGAATAGAATATTATTCAAAATGTATTGAATTCATTTATTCAGAATAAAATATTTATTCATAAATTTAACTATCCAGAATAATTTTGTTTTATTTATTCACTATTAAAATTGTTTAAAATAAAATATTTTTCATATACTTCATTTACTAAATAATCAGTTATTTATACTTTTATTTTTATTCATTATTTTGATTTGTTTAGCCCATCTCTACATAGAGGTTACTTTTAGCGTTTTTTTTTATCTCGAATGAAAAAAAAAACCAATTTGTAATGTAAAAACGAAAATATTTTTCTTACTTAATTGAATTTCCAGTACTACCGGGAAACCTGATTTGACTAATGTCACAGTCGAAAGCTCAAGTTGTCACGTTAGAATTAACATGACGGCAACTCGTAAATTAGCATGTGAACAATTCATCTTAATAAATAAACGTAAAAATTAATGCAGCTGTTAGTCTAATTAAAATTAAACCTTTGGCGAATGAATACTATGCAAATCGTTTTGAGTTTTACAGTTCTTGCATGCAGTATTTTAATAGTATTATTTTTTCGTACGGCCGAGTAAATGGCTGAAGATAAATTCGAGTTTCAATATAAATTGTCGTTGACGTGTATACGAGTACAAGTGGGTCGATTAGAAGCCAACGACGTCGTCATAAATCCGCAGTGTCTCGTCCTTTCCGAACAATTCACAACTCTCGATTGCCTGTCGTCAGCATATTATTATTTGTATGTTTTCAAAGAAAAAAAAATATATCTTCCTAACAACAATTTATGCATTAAGATAATCTATTTTTGTTGTTTTTCCTATTCAATGCGGTACAATACATTTCGATTACACGATGTGCCTATATACGAAGAAATATACACGAACCATACAAATCGAGTGTGTTTGGTGAAATGGATGAGATAAATCGAACGGAAAATCAAAGGTTACAGAAAAAGAATAAGAACATTTTAGTTTCTATAGGTACCTAAAACCCCGTGAATATCTCGTTACTGCGTTTACACAAGTTTAGTATAATTTTGTAGTTTTGTAAAGCAGTTTTTATTTGTGTTCGGGTCTGCTTGTTTTCGTTTATTTCCATCATTCCTTCTTTATTAAAGAACCAGCCATCTGTATAGATAGGTTGCTGTTTATTGTTGTATATCTAACGACGACGTGCAAATAACGTTCTTGTATTTCAATATTATGCGTACTTACCTGCTTCATTATTAATTATATTTACATCCATTATAACTTATGTAAGAAATCCCTATCAATAGAAGGAATTAATTTCGGAGTTTAGTGATTTAAATATACGTATAGAAATTTAATCTTGAACATCTCAACTGTTCCTACGTAAAATATTTCAAAACTGCAATGATTATTATAGACGTTCGGATTAAACGATGCGAAAATTATGTACAATAATGTGATGTGTTTTACTTCTTAAGGAGCCTTGATACCAGCATGTGCTGTTCCCGTCTTACAATCTCACATTCGCACGACATAAACAAATTGCGTTCAGCAGGGACAATTTTATTTTATATCAAGCACATTATAAAGCCAAAAAGGTGGTAGATAATCACTAAGACTAAGTTTACACGTGTATAATTTTAATGGCAATAAGAAGGAGGTATCTTCATTGGCAATGATTAACATGATTGGCTTCATGCATTGACATGATTCGGATGATAAGTAAATCACAGTCATTATTTGAAGGAAATAACGGTAATAATGAAGGGATCTGAGAGCCAGTATTAGAAATAAGAATGTGGAAGTTGATTAATAATAAGAGGAAAGAAAAGGACAATCTATATAATTGGTGAGGGGGTTAGTGAAAAATAATGTATTGGACTTGTGTCTACGGTTGGTGAGCGTATCGTGTACAGTTGGAGTATAATTGTATGTAGAACATTGGGTGCCAGTGAATATTCGGCGGATTGGAGAAACTTCATTGAAATAATTTGATGACGTTAGTTTTAATATTTGTGTCTAAAACCATTAGTTATGTTTGTATATATATTGTATATTATATTTGTATTGATAAGCGAAATTTGAAGGCATTTTCAAATTATGACATCACTATTTTTTTCATGACTATGAAGTCGTTTTTTAATTTTAGTAAAATATACTGGTTTGTTAGACTCTTAGATTTTAGTTATAAAACGAGATAAATTGTTATTTAAAAGAAACTTTTTTGTTTTAAAACATATTTTTTTTATGAATTTCGTACCAATTAGTATACCCATTATTGCGTATACATTATTTCGTATTAATTTAGTTACGTTCTATAAGCCAATATAATATTATTTTGTAATTGATAGTTAACATATTGCATAAAATATCACGGTTTTTTTTTAGATTTAAAACTCAATGCTGAATGATGTGTTCATATATTATTATAATATTGGGTACAAGTTTTTCATAGTTTGATTTACTTGATTATACATTTAAAAAAATACTTAAGTTTTTTTGTATTATCAAAATCACGACAACTCTGTTCAGAAGGCCTAGTGAATGGTAAACTCGCCTTATCACTATAATAAATGGACCGTTATTTTGTGTACCTCGACGGAGCGGCACTATAGAGTCTATTTCTTATTAGTGTTTTTGTTCGATATTATTTTTAAATGACATTGAAATAAAATAAAATAAAACAATTTGTTTTTATGCATATTATATTTACAATAATTGTAATCATAAGCGAAATTCCGATGAACAAATTTATTTTGTAATTTTCAGAAAATTATAATGACCAATTATTAAAATCTAACCTTTTTCTTAGTTTATATTCCATCTTTATTTTAATTTACAATTTACAAGTATAAAATACGTCATGAGATTTTTAGAATTCTTTAACAAGGGACAAATATTTGAAAACACCTAGCTGCAATAAAATCAATAAATCACTTTGTTCAAAAGCTAAAAATAGTTATGTGGAATCTCAACAAAGATTTTTTTTTTTTTTATTTAACTGTTAGTGTGTATTTCTAGATGTCTAAAAGATTTCTAGATTTCTAGATTTCTAAAATTTAAAATTTGTCTTTTTAACGTTGTATTTTTTTAGTTCCAAAAATTATATAATACGCTACAATTTTATAAATCGATTTAATAGTCATTTTAGTGATCATTTTTAGAAAATTGTCTATTCAAAAATTGTATTAAAATTTAAAAATATCAAGTTCTATTTTTAATAGATATTTGAACACTTTAAGTGGTTCTCTGTGGATTAAATAAACTTAAACTCGAGAATTAGAGTTTGTTTTATAGCATACTGTTTAACATTTCATCGTGTCTATACGAGAGAAAAGAATACATCCCCGAGGACCACCAATTAAAACACTCCATCTAATTTATTCCTTCAGTTCTCGGGTCACTGGCACGCTTTATCATACTGAATATTCCGTCTAGTACACTTCTACTATTATAATAATATAACTTAATACAATATATATGATATTATTAATGACGAATCAATGGTTTTCACGGGGAAAAAAAAATCATGAATAATGTCATTTTTTCTTCTCGGATGACCGATTGACTCGATGACCGGATGACTTTATACTTAACGGGTGTTGTCTGATTTTTTCGTTAGGCAATGCCGGGTATAATAGGTATACTAGTTCACTAGTAATTGCAAGGTTATAATCCAGGGTCTGGATACTGCACGCTGATAAGAATTAACATAGATAGTATATATAAGCCCGCGTAAAAGTAAAAATCGCAATTCCTATCTTCCAAATGACTGAATACAATAGTATAAGGAACAATGATTGAGAACGCAAAAAAGGCCAACTGTGGTGGCAATCTTCCCGATTACCGCGTATTTTTTTACACGTTGGAAGTGCCTTTTCTGTTTGTATAATATATAAATAATTATTTTGTGATAAGTCTATAATATGTGTTATAATACGCAGTTCAGTGTACACAACATAAAATGTTCACTATATTTCACATCGAATTCGCTTGTTATTATATACGATCAGTTATATTATAACTCGATAATAATATATATAAGCACATTTTGTTTGCCTATTATTGATATGCATACCTAATAATTAAAAACTATACTATAGTAATATTATATAGAAAGTCGATGATAACCCATTGTTTGTTTTATTTTTTGTTTTTTTAATGAAATCGAATGTCTTTAATTATTAGCTTAAAACAATAATAGTGTATATATCTATTAAAATAATATAGGTATATAATGAAAAAAAACACGAAATCGAATTGGTGTTGATTATACAGACGAAATCGTTAGGTATAGTAATTTTACTCATTGAATAATGCGTATAAAAACTATAAAAAAAAAAAAAAAAAAAACTATTAATAAACGACGAGAGTATGACGGTATATTAACCACCAATGACGACACGACTACACGTGCTGCAATTGAGCCGTTACCGCGTTTAGTTGACGGTCGAAGAGCGACGGTTGATTGTGTATTAATTAGTTAATTAATCATCTTTGTACGATTAAACGTAAACGATGTTATAATAATAATAAATGTCGGGTTACATGAACGTCGTTTTCCGTGATAATTATAACCAAGACCGAAAAATCGTTTCCGATTAATATTATGAATTCTAATTATCGTGGCTAAACAAACCGTGATAATTTCAGTCACGTTATTGATAACGTCGGTTTGTTGTCTGTGCAGGCGGAGGAAAACCGTGACGTCGCCGTGTCGGCGGATGACAGTCGTGTGCGGTCGGCTGTCGATTTGCATTGCGTCCGTGGATTTTGTGAATAACAAATCTTGTGGTCCGGTTGATGAATAAGACGTACGCTCGAAACAGTCTCAAAATGACGATAGGTAAGACCGTTTTTTTATTTTACTTTTTTTTTTTTTTTGAATTTTTTAGACCGGTGTTTATTTCAGACTTTTGATGTTTCGTCGGGTGGGAGATTGAGACTTGAGATTATAATATTATAGCGTTTTTCTTCTGGCCTCCGTTCCGGTGTAAAATTTACTAAAACGCCTAGTGTTGTTTTTAAATAAAAATTTAAAAAACTGACGACAAAATATGACGAGTATAACGTATCGTCGGTTTGGGACAAAATATTTTTTTAAAATTTGCGTTTAGCACGCAGATATCCAGAATTTCGAACGTATATTTCGAAGCCGCGGTTTTAAATTAAAATGTCTGTAAGTGTGGCCGACATCACTCGAAATTCGGATATTTTTGTATTTAGGGGTGGAGAGGGTTTTTTACGGAGGTTTCACCGGATTTCACTCGTAATCGTACTGATGGTCACGGTGCACAAGACCGGCAAAATAATATTTCATAGGTACCCTTGGTTTCGTGACGATTTCACACCTCAAACTGTGACTTACCTTCGGTGCGAAATACATGTTCGGAATTTTTAATTTTTTTTTTTTTCCCCCCGCGATACTATATAGACGTGGTGCGGGCGGTACGCCAGAAAATCGTCGCCGTGTGCCGGAAGCTGGGCATCGGCATGTGCCTGCGTACCGTTCTGTTGATATTCTGTCTGACGTTCTTCTGGGTACAGTTACACATGTCCGACGTGTCCGACAACGAGACGATACAAATACTGGCCAAGCCGGACGGGCTGCTGGACGCCAACGATTCCATGTTGCAACTGGTTCCGCAGGTGTGTACCTATATTACAGCTATTTTATATTGTAACAAAACATGTTTTAACAACCAAATACACAGATTATAATAATTGTAATGTTTTGGCGATGCAGTTTTGAGCGACCCGGTTATACTGGTATAGCGAATTAATTCTGTTTTTGGCGATATTGTTTACCGCAATTATTATTTATCGGTTAACCAATGCACGCGTTTCTCGACGACCGCGGATTTCCGGAATCGCCGAACAGATAAAAGCTACAAAAATGGTTGCCACGACTTTTGGAAGCCCGGAAAAGGCAGGAAAAACCTGGAACAGTCGGGGAATTTCTATGAAATTCTGAAATTTTAATTTCAATCTTCAATCTCTTTTTTCACAATAACGAAATAACGAAATATTCAAAATTCGAAAAATATCATACATTGTTTATTATATTATTAACTTTTGTATTGTTACGTTTTTAATACTATAGCATTTTAAAGTATTCGTACATTGTGCATTCATTTCGCTATTAAAAACGAAGAAAAAAACCCGAAAGTAACAATCATATTTTGAATACATATTGTTTGTTTATTCTGGTAAACTGGGAAAAAAATATCCCAGCAAAAAACTGCAAAGTAAACCGCGGAGTTTACGGTCTTCGGTTACTGCAGGTTATCCATTGATCAAATCCTATACTGTACGCGGTCCGTACGGTAAATAAAACGTTTTGGCGAAGTTGTAACCGAACAGCAAACAACCGCGAACAGTGCAGCAAACTGTTTACCATTAACCGCACAGCTCCAAAACACGCCTTATAAATAACGATTTGTTTACCGCCGATTATTATTATCATCGTAATAAATAACGACTGCGGTATCGCCCGTATGTGATCACTCTCGAAATGCTCGCGATGCTCAATAATAATAACGGTAATAACATCGATAATAATATGCGTAATACTATTCCGTAATGGCCGATTCACTGTTCGATAAGCACGCCGTACGCGTATAGTATTCGCGGTCAAATAATCGCACACCTGATATTATGATTGTTGTTATTACGACGATGCCTGTTTGCGAATCGCGTCCCGTCTGTAAATTTATATATACAGAACCTATACATGGTGTCCCGCGGAGATCCGACAAAATGCAATAACTTTTGTTCTGTTCAATATTAGTGTGTGTGTGTGTGTGTTTTTTGTTATAGTTTAGACTGTAGAGGTTCTCAAACTTTATTTGTTCGTGTACCACTCGTGTGTATTACTGGTCTGTCGAGTACCATTTATGATTAAAAATCGAACTGTTCAAAATTTCAAAACTATCAGAGAGTAAAATATAATTACTTATAAAGTACTTATACATTTTTAAAGTAAGATTTACACAAAATATAAAAAGTTGTAGACCCTTTAAGTACATTGGTACGAATTTGTTTTATTTATTTTTGGTGGAATTTATTTTTCTGCGTATACCCCCCTCCCCCTTCCATTTTGCTTATCTCCTATCACAGTTTGAGAATCGCTGCTATATAACGCCTTATTGCTTTGTGATTCTTCTATTTTATCTTTATTTTTTTTACAAAATCCATTAAAAGTTTCGTTACAAGTTTACAACAACGCGGCGAATACAGTTTTTCACATGTTTTTTCTCCTTGTTTTTTAGCGTTTGCACAAGTACTTGGTCGCGTTACCCCAGCGCGATCGTCCCCATCAGGCCATTCTGCCCGGTAACGCCAGCGAACAAGTACCGGCCACGGTCAACGTTACCGAACTGCGCAAGCTGATCGACCAACAAAACTCCAAACAGGTCGTGTTCAACGAGGACGTCTACGGCCCGCTGCAAAACGATTCTCTAGTCATTGTTATACAAGTAATGCGAAGGAATATTTTAAATAATAAATAATAACATTGTAGTACTATATACGTAACCGTATATCCACAAAAAATCAACCAAAACCACCGTCTATACGCAAATATTTCTTAAATATATAATCTAAGGTAAAGAAGTTGTTGGAACTTAATTACGATATAAAATATGATTGAACCGTGCATTTAATTAAATTTTTAATAAATTATAATCGGTTAAACGTATTTGTCTACCATCCACCGTCGTCAGGTACACCTGCTTATTTTATTTTTATATTTACAATTTACCTTTTCATTTTGTTGGCTCTTGATAATATTATTCAGTTTCTATACCGTGGACCCATTAGTAAAAGAACAGCGACTACTCATTCCCCAACTTATTGGCCATCAGGACTATTCAAAGTGAGAGAGATGTCTATGTGTTTTTCTTTTTCTTGTTTTGAATTATTGTCATGGCCTATAAAGAGGATGTAGTCACGTGCGGTGCGCTGTCTAATAGGACTAATAATATTAAAAGGTCTGATAATAGATCTAATGAAAATATTCACATCTAATCTATCGTGAATTCACGAAGCAAATCATTTGTAACTTGTCATCAAATAGATGCAACAATACAAATATGCAATTCGCAGTAGAATTCTAGGTAGAAGTAATGTTTATTTTTTGTTTTATTCGTACCTAAACCAATTTCCTCGGTCAAAATAAAGAAAGTGACTGTGGGACCTTTATTTATTTATTTTTTTGTACGTCAACATTGCAAAAATGGAAATTGTGACATAATAAATTTCTGCGAATTTCTATCTTATAGATAACTTGAGAAAGAAAAAAATGTCGAGTTATATCCTGGAACATTAGATTTCGATAATTTGGTGTTTATTTTAATTTCTAAATCCAAAAAAAAAAAGTATATTAAATCGAAAACAGGTGTTCCTTTGAAGGAGAAAAAAAAATGAGAGTAAATTTGTGAACGTGAGTTTTTTTTATTTATTTTGTAAATTGAATTCGAACGTACACATAATATGCAATTTTTCAGTCAGTGAACGTTTTGAACATTGTAGAGATGTTCATAACAAAAAATCATTTCACGGCGTTAGTCATAATTGACTGAACCTAAAAATTGCATTATTTAAATTGCGAGCATGTATTAAAAAAAAAAATAGGTAACTGCGATTATTTCCACAAAATCTTTCAGTTTGTTTAATGCTGGTTGAACGCGTTTAACATATAAACGAGTTTAGTAATTTTCTTCTTGGGTTTATTTGTTACCGTCATTTTTAAATGTGTAAAATGAAATTGTTTTTTACGACCCATTATCGACGACGGAAAATTTACCCGACTTATCGAAAAACCATAAAATACACCGTGCGCGCCTTCAGTATATAAATATATAATAATTTTCGAGTGAACCGCATATTTTGCGAGTCTGCGGATAATACGAATTATTGAGTTACGTGATATCGAAAATAGCATACAAGGTGATCCATTTAAGTGGCTACACACGATCTTTTGAAAGCATTTAATTTTTCAACGTTTTAGATTCTGAGTGGAGCGAAGAAGTTTATGGTTTTAAAAAGATGTTTCTTTTTTTTTTTTTAACCGTTAACAACTTTTCTACCAGAAGACTTGCTCGGATTTCTAAGTATAACAACTTTTCTAAAAGGAAATCGATGTGGCGAAGTACATTAAGGATGTAATTTTTCGATTTTCTCAAGAGTTTTCTCATAAAATTTATAAACCAATAAAAAACGGGAAAATTTACGAAATGTAAGTATTAGTTAAAATATATTACGGCCTTCATTTTTTCTATGAACAACTTTTCTACCAGCAATTTTAATTTAACTTTTAATGATAGCAATATTTTAAAAAGAAATTTCACTAGGGAGTAACTTTATACAGGTCCTTTTTCGATTTTCTCCGGAGTTTTCCCAGCAAATGCAAAAAACCGGGATAAAATATGGAAAAAAACGTAGAAATATTGGAAAAATTGTTATAATTTTAAACAAATATATAAAGCCTATTTAATTATTTTAGTATAAAATTACATATATATTGTTGACAAAGTATCTCACTATCAACTGAATTCTCAAAATCGTTTTTTGTGAGGAATGGTTTATCGTTGCTTACAGGTATACATTAAATTATCTATAACAGTGGCTACACTCGTCCCCATTATCCTAGGACTTTTTTTTTATAATTTAAAAAACAACTAGCTCTAAAATATGTTACGTAACGTCACTAAAATGATGTTTTCTATTGACTATTATCTTCTAACCCAAACTTAAAAGTGGAATATCTCGTCAACGGGTTGACGAAAATCAAAAATGCCAACACTAAAACTTATTTAAACTAATACTTCATTTGTTTATGAAGTTGTTATATATGTTCTCGTTTGAAAATCAAAAGTACCTATGTAGTCGTTTTACCCCTAAAAATAGCGACGACAAAAAATGATATTATTGTAAAATTTTAGATCTGCTTCTTTCTTAAATTTTTTAAAATATTTCAATTTTAATTTTAATAGTCAATATTGTTCGTAATATTTAATGTAGCCATCTAAATTTATCGTTCTGTATGATATTATATAGGTGTGCATTTGCATATTTCTCGTAAGGGCAAATTGGTTTGATACAAATTCGTTTCGAAGCATACCTATCTTACAAATCCGAAAAATTAAATTGTTTATTTTGTGCGGAAAAGAAACATTTTGTCTGACTCACCTTACACATTTAGTTTTATTCACGCAAACTATACACGGGACACTTGCACAAACATTCAGAAAATCGTTGTCAGTCTTCAGCATTTGTTTCAACTACAGTTTGTATGTTCAGGCAGCGAATGCAGCAGAATTCATGAACAAGTCATGTGTACAAATACACTTTTTATTAAAATATAAATGCATACGCGATCACATAATATTGAGCAAATCAAACTGAAAGATAAAAGTGTTTGATGACTACATGATGGCTTTGGAGCAAGAAAATCAAATTTGAAACATTTTATCGTACTTCGAGTAACTTAAATCTATAGGTATAAAATAACATGTCCTGACTGACTGACTGATTCATCATCGTCTAGCCCAAACCACTGGACGGATCGGGCTGAAATTTGACACATAGATTATTGTGACGTAGGTATCCGCCAAGAAAGGATTTTTGAAAATTTAACCCCTAAGGGTTAAACTTAAGGGGGTAAATAGGTTTTTATTAAGGTATATTTGGTACGAATGTCTAATTGCTTATTTATTTATTTTTGTTTATTCGAGGATTACCTTGGTGTTACGGAAAAAAAAACTTATAATTATTATTATTACTATTATTTACACTATTAATATTTCACAATAGAACACATTTAGCCTGCCGAAGGTGGAGTACCCACTTTTTTAAATTTAATTCTGATACGGCCAAAATCAAAAATTAATATAGGTAAAATAATAACAATAACAATTAGCACGGGCTACGAGGGGCGCGGGATAGATAGTATAGTATACGTAATTAATATTGTTTATCGATAAATGTTTTTAAATACTGACAAAAATAATAAAATTGAAATTTTATTTACCGCATACATGTATATTATTATTATTTTTTTTTTTTGGCGCATTAAGTTCCGAGTTTTAGACTTATTTTAGTACTCGTATATTTTCAAAACACTATCATTACTAGAGCAGATATTTATGTAAACAATACACGCACTTGAAATACCAAAATACGGCCTTAAAATATGTATACATTGTATATGAAAAAAAAAAACAAATAGAAAATTCAAAAAACAAAAAAAAAAAAAATACACGTATTAGAATTTTGTTATATTGTATATAAATTGAAAAACTCATAACAACCTATTTGAGTGAATCAAATTAATAAATAATATGTTATCCAAAACACGAATCTTTTACCTGAATGATAAATCTTGAACAATATTATTTTGCGATTCTCGAATAGTTAAGATGCAAATGCCTTGAAAATGCCCGAAATCCTAAAATATGCTTTAAAAATCCAAAACTCTAATGTATGTAAATATATATTAATTAAAATGTTGTGTATAGCAACGTTTGGTTATGGAATGTATTTTTGTGTAACCCAACTATTCTTTTGGCTAACTTAGGTTATGGCTAAGTGTCTGCCCACTGTCATAACCTATAATCAATTTCGCGTGTTAATATTGTTGTATTTTTTGTAGGTTCATACACGCATCATGTATCTCCGACACACCATTGTGAGCCTGGCTCGTGCTCGAGGTATCGAAAACGCACTGTTGATATTCAGCCACGATCATTACGACGAGCAGATAAACGAGCTGATACAGATGATCGACTTTTGCAAGACGATGCAGATATTCTATCCATATTCCATACAGACGCATCCGGATTCTTTTCCCGGCGAGTCGCCCGACGACTGTCCGAGAGACATACCAAAATCCGAGTAATCATTCGACTATCGTTATATTTATCCCCTTGTATAGATTAACATAGTAGCGGCATTCCATATCTCCGTGGTATACAATTTTTAAGGAGGCATTTAACTCTTAAATTGTCTGTTTGGCATGCGCTCTGTGACATGAATATTTAAAATAAATGTGGCAATGTGATCAATAATAATCAAGTGCCTTTGAAGTTTGAAAATATATTTATTTTCTGAACAACGTGCCTATATTTTTTATGTGGCAGAACTATACAAATAAAGAATAAAACAATAACAATAAAACAAAAGTTCAAAACATTACATTTAATTAGTAAGTTAAATAAATAATGTCGTGTACCTACTTATACAAATTAATAACTTTTATTTCAATTATTCCGAGTATTTGAAACAGATTTTCTACTAACTCCGATTAGCGTAAGAAATGGTACTACGAGTTAGTCAGTGAAAACAATATAGGTACCGCCAGAATAAATAAATAAATAAATTTATTGTTATTATGTTCTTGCCATTTTTATTCTTCAAAGTTTGAAACATGTAATGACGTCAGAAGATTTAAAAAAAAAAAAATGTAACACCATTTATAATTAAATTATTTCTAGAGTTAACGATCAATGAATAAATGAAAGAAAAATGAAAGAATTTACTACACAATCTAAAATTCAATATTAAAATGTGCGTTTTTTTTATAATATTTAACATATAAAAGATAATACATTTGTTATAATATGTTATATAACTATCATCGAACAGTACTAAAATAATTGTATCATAGTACTTCATGCCAGAAGAAAATTTATTTAAAATGAGATACGGTATTTTTTTTTGTTTTAATTGTAGAATCAGTTTTCTGTAAAAATGCCGCCTTTATGTTACTCTATGTCTCCTCATACAATCCTCATACCATCCTCCGTTAACGTAATAATATATTGCAATTTTAAATTCGGAGCGTAGCGAGGATTTATTGGTTTTACAATGATGGTTTTTTTTTCTGTAAACAACTTCTCTACCAGAAACTTTGCTCCGATTTTCAAGTGTGACACTTTTTCTGAAAGGAAATTTGACCGAAGTGGTATTGCAGGGAGATCATTTGATTTTCCCAGGGGTGTTCATAAAAAATAAGAAAAATGGAAAAATGTACAAAATTTTTTATTTTCAAATCATAAATATTACGGTCTTTCAAAATATGTACTTATAACTGAACTCCGCTCAGAATCGTTTTTCGATAACAAATATTAATCGTTGCGTACAGATATACATTAAATTCCCTTTCATATTCTACCTTCTTAACTTCTCACCAATCGTGTGAAGAATGTCCGTAATATTTTTATGTTGTTTAAATAGGGTCGTGTACAGGCAATTTTAACGCCATTTGAAAATAAAAAATAAAGTTAACATCTATCGAAAACTCGTAAATATTCTAATTCGCTTTCAAACACAATATTATGTAGTTTCGTTCTGCATAATCACAAATATAATAGTTACTCGTATTATTGATATTAATCGTGAATTTTGTTCAAAAATGTGTTTACACGAAATTGACAAAAAGTGTACCCTTCAAAGTGATTTTTAGAAATAAAACGTAAACATAATCCGTTATCATGAAAGGCAATTCTGTGTATACAGTATCTATTATTTCTCTGGTTGGTATTTGGTAAAACGCATATAGGTTAGGTATTAGATGGTATTTTAAACATCGTCTCATATATATATATATATTTATTTGTGTACTCAAAAATAAATATTTTTTTATCCCTAAAATCGTTTTATAAAACGCGCTTTTGTCTGTTTCGATGCAAACACGTTTTTTTACTATTGTGCATCGTCGGTCATGTAATTCGGGACGGTATTCTTAACACAATTTTCATGTACATACAGGGCGATCAAACGCAAGTGTATCAACGCCATGCATCCGGACCAATACGGTCATTATCGCGAGGCGAAATTTACGCAGACCAAACATCATTGGTGGTGGAAAGCGAACAGGGTGTTTAACGAATTGGACGTTGTCAACAACTACTCGGGTATGTGTTTCTACTGGCGTACCTATTCCCTGAGAGTTTTTTTCCGCCACGACTGCATTTGGCCGCCAGTCTCTATCAATGAATTTCCTCTCTCCGGCTTTTAACAGCCCAAACTTTCTTTTTCCAACGCGTCACTCCGTCTTCTCATAAGTCTTCCTCGCGGGGTTTCCGTTCCATTGCTGTCCTATAACTTTCTCGTTTTGTCGCCCAGGTCGGGGTTTAAGGGCAAGAATTAAAAACTCCGCTCCGATACTAAAAAATCCTTAGATTCGAAACCGATTATAGCAAAAAAAGCTTCTGGACTTGACGTGCCGCAGTAGTAGTGGGCAATTTAAAACGATTTCATACTCCATGGAGGTGTTTTAAAAACGTAATGTGTGTGTGTGTGTTTATTTTTATAATTTCAGGTCCGATTTTATTTTTGGAAGACGACCATTACGTAGCCGAAGATTTTATATACATGTTGAAATTGATGGAAAAATCGTGCAGCATCGTGTGCCCCCAGTGCAGCATTCTGTCGCTGGGAACATACTTGAAAACGTACAATTTTTACGGAGAAGCTAAGGTGCGTGGTCGTTTCGTTCCCCTCCCCCCAATATATTATTATAAACTTTAATAATATAATATGATGCTCATTTTTTTTTATTAATATAGTCTAAGTACCGATTAATATTTTCGACACACGCATATACGCGTCTGTTAATAATTACAATAATGATTATGTATTATGTTGTTAATTGACGATTTCCCCCCCCCCTCCCGTTTTGAATGCTGCCGTTTTGGAATGGTTTCGAAACATACCTACAATACACTAAATAAACACAAATTTTGTTTTGTTTTGTTTTTTTTTTAATCGGACAATTTTATAGAAGGATATTTTACGGGTAATACGTCGCCAGCAAATATTCGCCGCGGAATTAACACCACCGTCTTGGAGTTTTAAAATAGTTCCTTCGTTTTCGCATTACGATAAGGTTAAACATTTTTTCCTTCGTTTTTTTTTCAGATTTTTTTGCACGTCTATCCAGTGTTTTTTTTTTTTTTTTTTTTGTTCTTCGTTAACAGCATTTTAGTTTTTAACTATTTTTTTTTTTTTATTTCCTACCCTTTATTAACTATACCTACTTACCTATCTACCTTATATGCTCATATCGAAAAATTTCTTCTTTACTTATGTATATTATGTAATACTTGGTTAGATATCTGCATGCCGTGGCTATTATCGTAAATTGCTATACTTAATATTAGATAATTGGTTAACGAGACGTATCATACAGATAAACGTATTTCTTTAAATTGCTTTTCCAAAGTGAGCGTAATATTATTACTCACTTATTATTATCACCTTCCTACCTATTAGTTTTCCCGTAGTTGCGTAGGTACCTATTCGGAAAAAAAAAAATGTACAAAGTGAATTAAAAATGATTGAGACTGCTACTACAGCGGCTATTATAGACTGTTCGGAATAAATTTGTTTTTATAAGTATCTTGTAAATTGGACAACGTTAACCTTGAACCTCTACCAATTATTAGTTTGTAGCCTCTATCCATTATTACTGTCTGTCACGCAGTTATTTTTTTCCAATACGTTTAATTATTTGTAAAAAATGACGTGAAAAAAATAAAAATGGTACACCTTTATGTACTTATGTGTCGACGTTGTGCGAGTGATAGTTTTCCAAACACAATTAATTTGCAGATAACACGTAAGCGGCTGAATAAATAAAACAACTTAAATATTGCTGATGCATTACGGGACAGGGCACATAATTATTATTCCGTTGAAATTCATCTTTATTTACTTAATGTCTTTGAACGTCTGTTTATCACGGTTGATAGTATTAATACTAAATACAGTGTTTGGTAAATAGATAAATATTAATAGATAGATGGTAAATGTTGAGTTCCTTTTGTTCAATGTTAGAAATGTTAACAGATATTATACATCATAGCAAAACTAATAAGTGATTAATTAAAGAACCAAAATTACATATTATCATTTAGGTCGGTATACAATTTTGTTTAAATTAATAAAATTTAAAAATCCTTAAAAACATCCATGTAGACCATAATAATATACAAATATATATTTCTTTAGATAATCAAATTAAAATATAATCAAGTTGGTAAATAATATAAAAATTTTTGTAAGAATATACAAAATTGTATATTAATATTATGCTTAACAATTAATAATAATTTACTCAAACAATTTAAAATAAACATTCACATTAAATAATATCACTATGGAAATATGTATGAACATTACAACTGTACTTTACTTTTTTATTTTCTTTGCGACTCATATCATTGTTGTTTGATATTGTTCATTAGACATGATATTGTGATAGATCCTTTAGATATATAGATACAAAACCATTATACAAAAAAGAAAAATATCATAATATAAACTAAATGTGAAGAAAATAACAACAGTGTTTATCTTATTTATACAAATTAATTTACTATCACTGTTTGAAATGGCCAAGCAAAATTGTATTTATCGTATTATTATTAATATTTATCTTGTATAATTATTAATAATTATAACATAATATTAGTATTTTAGATTCTAAATGGAGCTTATGGTTTTATAAAGATGTTTATTTTTTTTTCCATGAAAACTTTTCTACCAGAATACTGATTTCGATATTTACATGTAGCAACTTTTCTGAAAGGGAATCGGAGTGGGGAGGTCCCTTAGAGAGGTCATTTTTAGATTTTCTCAAGAGTTTCCTCATCAAATGAGAAAAACCAAAAAAAAAAAAAAAAAAAAACGGGAAAACCTATGAAATATGTTTGCACAATATTACGATTTTTTTTTTTCTGTGGACAACTTTTCTACCAGCAATTTTGCTCTGACTTGATGATAGCAATGTTTCTGAAAGGAAATTTCACTGATGAAGTACTTTAGATAGATTGTTTATTGATTTTCTCGACAAATATGAACAACTGGGAAAAAACATTGAAAAATCGGTATAACATTAAACAAATATTATTAAAGAAAATATATAGAGCCTACTTAATTATTTTACTATAAAATGGCATATATATTATTGTCAAAGCATCACTTTTAACTGAAATCCGCTCAGAATCGTTTTATTTTTTAAGTAATTGTTTATTTTTGCTTATAGATATACATTAAATTACCTATAGCAATGGCTGCACCTGAATATTAAAACTTAAATTAATTATTTGTATCATCATTTGATGAATTATAGGAGTAGGTGTATTATAAAATGCATAACAAGTATTTTTATTTTATTATTTAGTAGTTAATGAAATGCATATTAATATATGTTTATTTATTTTAGTCTTTAACTCAATAACTGAAATTTACAACTTTATTGTAAAAAAAAAAAAAAAAAAGTGTTTTCACTAATACTTACCTATTTATTTTTCATTAGATTTTATTTATAGATTCTAATAGTAACATAATATGTATTTGACTTGTTTTATACTTAGTAATTCCATTATGCGCTAAAATGTAATATTATTGCATTGTAATTATAGTAAATACTTAGCTAGATAGTTATAAACCTATAAATAGGTATATTATAATTATTGAATGTAAAAATAGAGATTTTTTTTAAGCATGTAGATTTATTATTCAATTTTGTGTTAAATGTTTTAAAAATATAACTAAATTCATAGTTGCGTATTCCGAATAATATATTTATTTAATTCTGCCTATTATAGAATTTTAAACTTTTAATATTATTTGTGTGATGTTTTTGATATTTTAGGCAGAAATATCTCAATGGATTAGTAGTAAGCACAATATGGGAATGGCATATAATCGGACTGTATGGAAACAGATTGTCAAATGTGCTGGTACATTCTGCAAATATGATGATTATAATTGGGACTGGAGTTTACAGGGTGTATCCAATAATTGTCTCAGTCATGAATTTAAAGTGTTTGTCCTTAAAGCACCTCGAGTTTTTCACATTGGTGAATGGTGAGTGATCAAACTACCCACATACACACACACACACACACACACACACACATGTATGTATGGAAGTAGGTGCGTGCCAATTTCCATAAATACATATATACATACATACATACATAGATACATAAAATAATCACATAATATAAATAATAATAATAAAAGAAATGTATTTTTTTTTTTTTTTTATAGTGGTGTTCATCATAAGAAAAGTTGTTTTGATATGGCACTTATAGCCAAAGTCCAAAAACTGCTTAGTTCAGTATATAAATATTTATATCCAGACAAGTTAGAAGTGACCTATGCACCTATCAAGAAAAAAGTGTTGCGCAAAGGAAATGGCGGATGGGGAGATGTACGTGATCATGAACTGTGTATGCGTATGGTGAACCATCAATGGTGACACTTAGCAATCAGTATTTATAAGTCTAAAGAACTAATACAAGTTCCTATATAATAATTAATAATATATTATGGGAGTTTAGACCTCCTAAAGTCATAGACAATATTATAATACAAAATAATATGAAAATATTATTTGTCCATGCCTAAACCAGTTTCTTATTATATTTATTTATTTTTTGTTTTTATTGTTTATATTTGTTTATTTATTATTGTTTATTATTGGGTTAATTATATAATTATAATTTTTATTATTTGTATGTATCGCGTTGCCATAATCACGCTCAAGAGTTCTTATCATATACTAGTACGGCAACTAAAATAAGTTAATTTTAAGACTAAATAACTCATAATTGTTTATTGAATTGGATATTGATTGTATATAAAGCTATTATGTTAATAATATGTTTTAAATGTCTCCATTAGTTATGCAAAAATGTGTAAGCCCCAGTAATATTTGGAACATATTGACCGCATAGTTGAAAAGTTTATATTGACATAAAAAGAAAAAACAACATACCCAATTTTTTTATGGCTTTTAGAGTTGTTCTTCAAAAACTTAAAATTGGCTTTATTATTGTGCTATTTTCTTTTACCACTACTATTTGTTATTAACTTACAATTTATTGTAACATTATATTTTCCTTGATTTTTTTGATTTTGCCCTCAGCTTCATTATGAACATTATTTTCTTCTAACGCAATAATTTGGTACAGAAATATATTTATATATATGTAATACAAACAGACAACTCTAAAGTTAACTTATCTAGTCGTTTTAAGTCAATCTTAAACTTTTAGTTATGTTTGTTGTCCAACTATAAATAGTCATTAGTTTAAGTTTAAAATGTGATTATGTGAGAATGATGTAAAAGCATCTGCCATTTATTTTATTTTTATCAATACTTAAAATCAGCCAACTTTTGTTAGTGAAAATGATTCAATCAAATTACCAAATCAAATATAGTACATACCTACAATTAGATAGTTCAAAACTTTACCAATTGTACAAAATAATAATATTTATATTTATTCAAAAAAAATGATTGCAGATTAATGTTTTACTAAGTAATAATTTACTTTGGCCTTGTGTGCATCATGTTGAATCATTTTTCATTTCTTTATGTTATTATAGTTTTAAATTTTGGTTAAGTACTTAGATAATATTATGGTGTAAATGATGTATAAAATATGGAGAGACAGCATATAAAAAAAAAAAAAAATTATTCATTATAAATCACAATTTATTACGTTATAATATTATGCTAACACAAATTATTATAAAGAACAATTCAATTTTTCTTTTGTTTTTTGAATAAAAAGAAAATAACTCAATTTGTTGTTTTATTTTTTTAAAACATACGTTTATTGTTTTTTGATTGACTGAATATATTATAAAATATTTTTTTTTTTTTTTTTTAAATTGCAAACAAAATAACGATTATTTTGTAAATTATTAATAAAGCAATGGACAGGCTGCTGATATATATATAATTTGAAAAATAAAAATATATTATTGGCTTTTAAATGAAAAACAAATGATAAAATTGTATCATTTAACATGCTATAATATATGCAGTACGGTTGTGTTTAACTTAAATAATATTTATTTTTATACTAAATATTTAGTGACAATGACTATTATTATTATAATGTTGAAACATAACTAAAGTAACCTTTTTTTTTAATATTATTTTGTTTACTATAAAAAAACTTACTTTATATACTTCCTCTAGTCTAATGATTTACTATTACTCAAACAAAAAAACTAAAAAAATAATGATTTTTAATTGGAAATAATGAAATCTTAAAACCTAAACACAATTAGTATACACAGTTTTTTAGCCACTAATATATGCATCCATTATTCATTTATATCACTATCTATTGTAAGCATATTATAAATGTGCATTAACATATTTAATAATATTAGTGTAACTAAGTTTAATTGCATAATATTACGGTAATTTAATCAGTACAGGCTTATGTACTGATTAAATTTGTTTTAATTAGACAAAGAGAATTTATAAATAATAATAATAATTATTATTAATTCCATATGAATTATCTGAGTGTGATTCATTAATGAAACGAATCACAGAATAATTTTATACAAATTAGAAAATATGAAAATCCATTAATTTATATGTTTAGAATTTTAAATTATCATAATATTTTAATACACTTTTAAGTGTGCAAAAATTAATATTTCAAATGTTTAAAACAAGAAGTGTTTTATGAGCTAAAACAGAAGAAAAACTTTCATTATTTGCGTTTACAATAATATATATGTTCCAATGCTCATGATAATTGTGTATTAGATTTTATTTTCATATGGTTTTATGGTTATGTCTTTCTTTTTTATTTTATTTTTGTAAAATAAAATTTTGTTCATACTAAAATAAATGATTATAATATGTAATTGGCATCTATACACTGAAATCACCCTACTGAATGAAAGTCAGTTTAATTGAAATTAAATTATTATAATTAATATTGACAATATTCAAACATTGTTTTATATTCTAAATTACTCAAATTTGTATTAATCAAAACATGAAACACTTACTATTAAGTTATAAATGTATATTTACAATGGTGCCATCATCGGTGCTATCCAGCGAGTCAGTAGTGAAATATATTATACCTATATATATATATCATATACAATATAATATTTATTTTAGTGTATTCATTTTTTTTTAAACGGTGTGTGTAGTTTTAAAATTATAACAACAATAATAATATTTTGCTTTACTAATTACATTGTGTACCTACTGTATAACGCTTACTTGTACTAATATTATTATGTATTTCATCAATGATGTGTTATACAATTGGCTGTAGATTAAACATGCCTGGATGACCTACCAATGATTTATTATTGAATTGTATTGATTTGAGGTACTTACACGATATATATTTTAACTGTTAAGTGTGATATAATACTTTTAATAATAAGATAATATAAAAATAAGCTTTGTATAAATATACAAGATGGATATTTTCAATACTGTGTTTTTATATAATATACAACAGGTGTATATATATTTTTTTTTTATTTTAAACACTTGTTATGCACCTATTATAAACTGTTTAAATGATTAATAATAAATATAATAATAAAAAGTATAAATAAAAAAATGTTTATATAAAAATAAAAATAAATAATGAATGAATGTGTGTCGCCTGGAGTATTATGATAAGTGTATTATACGACCGGTTTCTGATTAAAAATTCATCATCGGGTATATCACAGTGAAAATGTAAAACGCGACTGAATATGAAAAAAAAATATACCTACATAAAAAAAATATTACAAATTGATCGTTTTACACGGAAACAATTTATTTTAATAGGGCAGATTAATTTAACATGGGTTATTATTAGATATAGATACATTGAGGAATAACAATTTTATGGTCATTATTTATTATCTAAAATGTATTGGTATAAGATATTGTTTTTTAAAATCGGTTTGTACATTTAAAATATTATTAAAATTATTTCTATAGGCTATATTATAGATAATAAAAAGCTCGTGTTGATAATTATGTTTATTTAACGGAATACGTTCGTTCTACGATATGTTTTGAGAAAAAGAATGATTCCCTTCATAGGAAACTTAACAACAAAGAGTTCTTTGTAGCCACCTTCGTAAACATACGCGGCGCTTTCGACTCGGTCGACATTCGCATCCTTATCTCACATCTCATCTCATTACAGTCGCCTCTGAAGTTTTTTTTAAAACGTCGATCACGGGTTGTATTTTTTTCGACTCGACATCTTTCTCGAATCGAGGGACAATTAACAAACTCCGGATTTCCTGCCTCGGGAATATTATGCGTTAATTAAGATCTACTCCCTGCCCCAGTCGTCGAAATAGAATCAAATTGTGCTTCTTTCAACAACAGACGCCGATGGTTAGTCGTCAAATTTCTTCTAAAGCAATTGGCCAACGAAAACCATCATATCTTTGATACGTACTATTCACTTTTTCTCGCTTGGCGGTATGTTTCCAATACATATCCTGTCGTCTACAGCTAATTTCTGAAACTCGCACTGATTCGCCAAATGAGCGTAGCGGTTATTAAACCAAACGTTCGTCATTGGATTCGTGCACACCATAAAGTTAATTATTTCTTTACACTAACTTCGACTTACTCGTACGATTTGTGCATCATCGAAGACGTAGCATAAAATGACCATTACGCAACAGAACGACGATAACATGACGATTTTCGGAACGTAAAACTGGTGGAATAACATCATTTATGTGACGGCACTGCGCGCAGCGTATTGATAATGTACTACTCCGCTCTGCTCCGACCCGAACTTACAAGTGGAATATCTCGTCAACGGATCGACGGTTGATAAAAAATTAAACACCGCGATTTATTTCAACTAGGTACTACCCCATCTATTTATGGAAATTTTTGATACAAGTAGCCATTTAAAAATCGAAAGTAGGTAGTCGTTTCATACCCAAAAATTACGGCGAAAAAAAATAATATTAAATTTAAAACAGCAGAGTTGCTTGTTCCTAGACGTTTCCATAAAATAAATGTCGAAAAGAGTTAGTGCATTCCGAGATAACGAGCGTCCATTATTACAGATCCATCTTTGATAGATCTATTAAAGACCTCAAATCGGACCTTTTAATTACGACAATTACGGCAACAGACACATATACACTCAAAAAACTGCATCGTCCAAAAACGACCATTTTCCCGTTATCGAAGGACAAGCATGACTACCATCGGATATGGTCGACCGGTTAATAGATTACGCCCGCGTCGACGGGGATATGTCATGTCACCGCGAACAATAATTCCCACCCGCGCAAAGGTTTACGCGTTCGCGATCCGTTGCAGTTCGCAATATTATCATATTTCTGACTACGGGTTAACGGCCAATCATAACACGTTTCCCCTTATCGCCCGAAACGTCGGCCCGCGGCGACGCGTGCCACGAGCGTCTCCGCGCTACGCTACCCGGTTTGGTCTCTTTCTGTTCGTTCTTTTCGTTCTTCGTGTCTACACCTCGTCTCGAGATTTCTGTCGCCGGACGGTCTCTGGACACAGTTGTCGTGATGAAATACTCTCGTGTATTACGCGGATTCACCAAGTTTTTGGCCGTCAAGAAAAGGTCGTGTACCTTGGCACGATCCACGACGGTGCCTCGAACGAATCGATGAAGCGAGTGCCGATCTGGTCCGCTGGGCGGACATCTTCGGGAGAACGACGGTAATAGGTATGTTGTAATTTAGTAATTGGCCGATACCCCAATTAATTAGTTTTTAGCGTGATTTAATTAAGTCTTCTCCGTACGAATATATAAAATGTTTTCTTTTTCGCGTAGTAAATCCTTCCGATATACTCATGGGAATCAATCGGCTAGATTTGCGTGTCCGTCTCGTTATGCGAATCCCCGCGTTCTACATCCTAAGTGCGATAGGCCAACCACCCCCCTCCCCCCGTATTTTGTTGTTTTCTCTTATTTCCTGTCCCCTCTAAGTGCTAGGTTTCAAGTGTGTGTGTGTGTGTGTGTGTGCATCTAAAAAAAGACCGTATACATGTATACATGTAGATCGCGATCCGGATTCGGACGCACCCCGCGGGTCCACCGAAACTACGGACCAGTCGAGACGGAACAAAAAGCGTTTCCGCCACCGTTCCCGGCGGTAATCCGTGCGATCCGGCGACCGCACAGTCCTGCCGGTGTCTCCCCGATACACGAGGCGTCCGCGAACGTCGGCTGGGCGCTCGGTTCGGTCCTCAAACAAGGCCGACCGAACCGGGACGTCTCAAAACCGTGTTTCTTATGCAATGTTAAGAAAATAAAAATCTGAAATCCACACGGAATACTGCCGAATTAAGAGCTAGTATAAGTAGATGTTATTTAATGGGAACTTAAACTTTGGAAGACGTTGACGATTGATTAGACGCTGAAAAACGCTGATAAAACAGTTATTAATAATTCGAAAATTAATACAATTGACGTTAGACAATTACTAAAAGACGCCGAGCTATCCGATTCAAGCCTTGATCGGACAGAAAACGAGAAAAACTCACCAACCGCTTTCCCGAGACCCCGCGAATAACACGGCATCTTAAAGTATACAGTATACGTTCATTTTCGGAGTGGGGAAAAAAAAACACAAATAATCGCTAAAAAAAACGTTGTTTATTATTCTGTCGAAAAATCGGGGCCGAGTTTTCGAATCCTCGCGGCGTTCTCTTAAAATTAAAATTAAAAAATAAAAATCAATCCAATATACGTAATAAACCCCGTCTGGTCTGATCGGAATTTGAAAATGACCTCGGGCCACGTCCGTTGCACAGTAACATTCGGCCCGTTCCGAACGGCCAAAAGAGGTCTCGTGACCGCGGTGTCGGGCGTTGTTTGTCAGCCGCGGTTCCGTTGTCGCGGTGTTCCGCGGTCCACCGTGAATCCGGTATTCGTCGTTTTCTTTTTTTTCTTTTTTTTTTTTATCGGAATTCCGAATACAGGGTGCCGCCGCGTAAATTGCATCCGCTCGGTTCGATAATGTCCGCCGCGTCTATCGTTCGGAGGACGGTCGTAACGTGTTTTTAGTTTTTCACTTTGTCGCCGCGAAACTCCGAACGGCGGTTGAAATGCAGGTTCGTCCGATTTAGGATTTAATCGCGCGCGGTGTCCCGTATTGGCGCAATTAAATTTCTAGCGGGTCCGACGCGAACAAATGTTTAACAGTTGTTAAATTAGTTTTTTTTTAAGGCCGCTTTACGTTATACTACCCGCGTCTGTTGTTCGATTCTCGCGATGTTTCGATTACGTTTGCCTGCCGTGTTTTTATCGGCGGACTTTTGTCAACGGTTCCGCCGCCGTATTGTTTTTGCCCGGTCGTATAATGCCCGTTGTTTTTATTTTTTATTTCCGTTTCTCATATTTTCTCGCGCGTTCGATTTCATAACATTCGCTATTGTCCGTTCCCCCGGGAACGTCACCGTAAAGATCTGAAAAATTGCAAAGGGTTATTCCGTTTTCATTATTAACCCGGGGCGATTCTGGCGTTCATAAAAATGCGTTTTCACCCGGTCGTTCAATTGGTTCTATTACGCAACTCGAATCTAGTAGTATATCCGTGTTTATGCCGAAGTTTTTTTTATCGAGCGTTTTATTTTTCGGCGGCATGTTTCCCGGACAAGATTGTATAATTGTTAATTATTCAACTACGAGATTGTATAGATATCGAATACGAATTGTTTAATGTCAATGCAATATCCCAGAAATTTTATTTGGCCGGGCAAAAATGATCATTTAATATTGAATTCACAATGTTGCATGCACATTGTATTACTAATATTAAATGGATCTTTAAAATCAACTCGAATAGATGTTGTATAATTAATTTTTAATATTCAAAAAATATGACCGCAATATTAATTTTTCAACATCTATTTAGTAATGCATATTAAATATTACAATAACATTTATAGGCTTTATCTAATATCCATTTAATGCCATAATAGTATTGAATGCATAACCATAAGATAATATTTTGAAGAAATCTAGTTTAATAAATATTGCTTATAATATATTATTATAATAAAAAAAAATACTCTAAAATGGCNTCAACATCTATTTAGTAATGCATATTAAATATTACAATAATATTTATAGGCATTATCTAATATCCATTTAATGCCATAATAGTATTGAATGCATAACCATAAGATAATATTGAAGAAATCAAGTTTAATAAATATTGCTTATAATATATTATTATAATAAAATAAAAAAATACTCTAAAATGGCAGTTCTTATAAACTCTGATTCACGGTCCCCCCCCCTGACATTCAGTGAATCTGGTAGGACCTATCAATATTATACTGGCCAAGACACAAATAAGGTACTTTTTAGATTGAAATTATTCAAAAAGGAAGTAGTTCATCTGTGANCCATAAGATAATATTGAAGAAATCTAGTTTAATAAATATTGCTTATAATATATTATTATAATAAAAAAAAATACTCTAAAATGGCAGTTCTTATAAACTCTGATTCACGCCCCCCCCTCACCGACATTCGGCGAATCTGGTAGGACTCTATCAATATTATACTGGCCAAGACACAAATAAGGTACTTTTTAGATTAGAATTATTCAAAAAGGAAGTAGTTCATCTGTGATCTGTTTTATAAGAATGCTAATAAAACATCATTATATGTCCTCAAATTAAATGTTATAACATATCAGTTGGGCATATAAAATATTACTTTTTTTAAATGCGTTGCTTATTANACTAATAATTATTATTTCACTTGTTTTATTTTAGTGTATTTCAATGACAAATATTAGAATATTTATACCATATGATATAATAATAATTAAAATATATTTAGTACAAATAATAAATTTATCCATCTTCAGTCATGTCTTCTGGTACTTTTTTTGAAATTTATTCATTTCTTTTGACAACAAATGGTTCTTGTGCTAAGTATTTTTGAATTGTATCTTCTATTTCTCTATCTTGAATATTGCAAAACATTGAATCCTTTCGTATTGCTTCTAAAACCAAATTACAAATACTACACATATAATAATAATATATAATAGGTAATACAATATTCAATTTGTTTTCATTGAGCAATTATAACCAAGTTTATCATTTGAAAAAAAAAATAGAATCAAAAACATTTCAGCTTTGTGAAAAATTATGTTTAACAGAAAACAAGTTAAGAGGACGCACTACCCGCATACGTGTTGTCCCTGTCTTACCAACGTATACTGTACCAAAATATACATTCAGCAATTCCAATTTTGTGTGTTTAATCTTAATGTAAATGACCTATTATAATACGACTTAAGGGTAAGAACAGTGCGGTCTCTCATTGGCTTGAATTATGAGAATAATTAAATGTGAAGGTGAATGCATCTCTTATTAAATTATAATATCAATAATAAAAACGAATATATAAAAATTGTCAATCAATATTTTACCAATAATTACTGAATATATATTCAATGATGAAAATGATTTTTTTGCCCGAATACCATGAAACGAATAACTGCATAATAATTTAGCGTTGAACAATTTTTCAAAAATTCGTTTTATGTTNAGTGCGGCCTCTCATCTCTTATTAAATTATAATATCAATAATAAAAACAAATATATAAAAATTGTCAATCAATATTTTACCAATAATTACTGAATATATATTCCATGATGAAAATGATTTTTTTGCCCGAATACCATGAAACGAATAACTGCACAATAGTTTATCGTTGAACAGTTTTTCAAAAATTCGTTTTATGTTTATGACCAACGGTCTTGTTAATTCTTGTATCTAAAAAATAAATTCAAAATATAAAATAACTTACAATGGCGTACATGTATACATGTATTAAATTTAGCATTATTGTGTTTTACAAAAGTAAAGTACATTTTAAGTAGGTACCTACATTTATAAACAATGTGTGTGTGCTGTTAGATATATACACATACAAACTCAGTTATGGATGTTGTATAGGTCGTGACTTGTAGGTATATGCATGAAAACGAAGATACAATGTAGTTTTTCAATTACAGATATGCAACATACTGTGTAATATGGTGTTATGTATACATCATACCTACCGACAAATACTAAGGTAATCAAAGAATAAAATACAGTACGTACTTCTGACGTTCGAATAAATAATCACTTGTACTAAATAAGAAAAAAAAAAAAAAACAAACTATATACTAGCTATAAATTAATTATCACTAGTCAAATTAAGTAAAAATTAGACTGGACATCTTAACGCGCGCTGTTAATCGTCGGTGCCACAGACGGACTATTTACGATTGCGGAACTCGCGATTCGTAGTTCGTACCGTTCATAACTGTACAGGCTTATCGATTGACGTGACAACGACAATGTATCACACCAGAGACGATCGGTTCTAAAAATACCTATACCCTGTCCGTTATCGCAAATGTGCTGCCACTCCCGGTTATCGGTACCGTTTCGTCCACTCACCCGCCCATCAATCTCGCCGCCATCGATACGTGTGGTGTACAACACGCGTGGGAGAACAAAATCTCGATAACATTTTGTCTTAACGGCCTTTCCGCATACATTTATTTATTACGATATCTATGGAAATCTACTGTTAATTGTTATCACTTTTTTTTCCCGTGATAATAATATAATAGCGGGGATTAAACCTCATTACATCTATGGATTTGAAATTCGCCCCCCCCCCCTTCCTCAGAACTAGGATCTATCCGCCACTGCCGCGTACACGTATATTCTCGCACAAATGCTCCGTTGTAATTCGAATAAACGCTACGATTATGTTTTAAGTCGTGTAATTTTTCAACGTTGCCGTTAATTTGACTGAAACGGTATATGCGTGTATTTTACGATTTATTTGGCGATAGGCATTATAGCTATTGTAACTCGCCGTATACGCGACCAAAATAAAAATATATAAATAATACAATATCGTTTATCGACCGTCGGTTCGTAAAACCCGTGTGGTTGTAATTATTTCCTTATATTTTATAATTAATAAATATTTTCGGATAACGTCTGATGATGATGAATAACGTGTAATAAAATTATTATTAAAATTTAAAACTGTCGAAATTGTATTATATAGCTGGTCTTGCATACACCTATTTATTAACAGTTTACATATATATACACGCACGTAGATAATAAATATTATTACATATATAACTAATGCGCTTAATAATTTCTGAATAGTTTCTTATGAAAATAAAACAGTGTAGGTAATAGGCGATAGCGATTAGTTATTACTGTCGATTAATGTTCGATTATTCTTATAATAGGATATTGAATCGTACCAATGTGTCCTGTTAATTAGTTAACGTTATTTTAATTTTTTTCCAATAACACTATTTCAAATTATTCGATAGTCGTTATTCGGTAGTGTCTACATATCATTAAAAATAGCATATCATATCAAAATATCCAATCAAATAATGCGATCGCAGTGATGGGTGATTCAAATTTATTTATTTCTTATATAAGCTAATCGCAGATCTCAGTTTATCACACGTGTATAAGTACTAAACTACTAAGTAAGTACTTAATATAATGTGTAGGTACTGTGTAACAACCATTTTATCATAAAAAAAACACTAGCACAATAATACAGTTCAAAATACTGTTTGTCGCATTACCCCATCCCTCCATCCGATATACACCATATATTGTTACAGTACAGTGGTATTGTAGGTATACATGCAGCAGTTCATTGATTAAATAATTTTTTAACTTACTCAATAACATGGTTAACATTGCAATTCTATATTATAACATTATCCAAGAAGCACTGAAATTTCAATGTTTGATTTTCAATCGGAAGAGATGTAAATATGATATTGTTTTGCTAACATCGGATTATTATTGTATTTTCAACGTTTTAATATTATTGAACTGCCATTGAAAATGTAATGTTTAAATTCTAATCTTAAATTGGCAATATTGATTTATCAATTAGCACTCAATATCCGTTTAATAATGACGTTGCAAAATTGCTGTCTGGGTTATATTGCAATTTGATACCGGTTTTTCCTGTATATTTTTCCGTGCGTCATTTATGTTTGTCGTATTGTATTCTATATCCCTATATTATTATTGCCGCGTGCGTAGTAATATTTATGCCGCAGTTCATTTATAGGTATTTTGATGTCATTTAATTTCGAGTTTTTGTTTTCGAAATTTTTAATCAAGTTATTTTTGACGTTGAAGTCGTTTCGTAGTGATATTACGCAGTTTAGTCCTTTGATTGCGTACTCATTAATATAGTTTCACTTACGTTTTTAGGTTTTTATTTAATTTTCGGTCGTACCGTTTTTTAATAAAATGTATGTAATTATTTTTTCCATTCCTTTTATATAATTAGAAGTTCCTCGAGTCGGATGGTTTTTTCTATCCCGGACCCTAATTGTTTTTTTGGAATATTACAATTGTCTGCGTAATGTCCTCTTTCTTTACACCTATAACACGAGCAACACTTTCAGATTCTTTTGCATAGCAGTTTTCTCGATATTGTCCCGGCGTTCTTTCGTAACAATTCGTACAGTTTTTATTTATATCAAATTAATAACTTGATTGTTGATTTAGAGATGTTATAAATATGTATGTAAAAAGGAATCGATAATTTATTGGTGACGTCGTAATTTGAATACTATCCAAATTTCCAACTTTTCCGGTAAATTTTTCAAAAATGTTCTTTCATACAGACCTTTATTTTCAAATAAAATAAATAAATATATAAATAAAAAAATGTATACATAATAATAAAATAAATAAATTAATGAATGCGTTGCCTAGAGTATTATAATAAGTGTATTATACGACCGGTTTCGAATTAAAAATTCATCATCAATTCGCTGTTGTTATGGAAATATGTGAAGGCAGAACTGGACGTCAATTATTGAATTATTTTCATCGATTCAAGGGTTACCGTGGTGATACGAACTAATTAAAAAAATATTGAGGTTTTCACATAAAAATACTATTAAAATTTACTTTTCCGGGAAATTTTCCAAACATTTTTAACATTTTTTAAGACCTTGTCTTAACAATTGTATTCTTATTGCATTCTTTTTTTTCTTTTTTTTATGGTTTGGATATAGTAGAAACTCGGTAATATCATTCTCATTGTACGACACATTGTCTCGACCTGTCTATTACTTCCGACGGAATATTTCGTTTCGTTTAAAGTCGTGTCTAATATTTAATTGAATTTGACGACATAATTGGGTCGCAATAATCACAAAAGACTGTTGAAATACTTAAACTCTGGTCAGGTGTATGTTTAACGATAACGATAGTGTCATAAAACCCACTGGCTCGTGAAAAATCACGGTCGGCGCCAGCATTTCGAGTATTACTGATATAATTTTCAATACGGTTTTATTGATGTTCTCAATCTGAGTATTTTTTTTATAGTTACTTTATTTGCCTCGGCGAATGAACGTTTGATTTCACCAAAACATTTGCACCCGAACGCAGTGTACATCGCACTCGATAATTTGTACCAACCCTTGTCGGGTTTAATGGCGTCCGTCACCTCCAGAATAACATTATTCGTCAAGTCCGTAAACTTTGTTCTTTGTCTACCGTCATAAATCTCCCGCTGAGCCATGATGTTTGCGCCGATGTTATTTTTGACAATCTAAATTCGCGATTCGAATATCCTTTCGACTACCCGTAGTTTCTCATTGTTCTCGGTCTCCCTGACGCGCTGCAGCTGATACGCTCCGCTCGTATAATAATTGCGTAGACCGTAAACCAAACCGCGAATAAAATAACATAATTATTACTATTCGACATTTTCAATGAAATGAGTGTGTCGAAAAAAAAAAAAAACTGTACAAATTGGAAAATTATACGTTATAGATTCCGTGTTAAGCGTGGGTTTCGATAACTTAGAACGTCAAATGGGTAAAATAAACTCCCCGGGGCCTTCACGTGAGAAAACAATCGGTTGAAACACTTAAGATCCACTCGTGTTTGCTATTGAACGCATTTGTACAATTTCAGTTCTCATAGAAAACTAAATTCCTGTATGAAATTTGCACACGGCCAAAATTACCAAGAAATATAAATTTTCTGTTATATTACGTAATATTGAATATAAATTATTTGTAATAATTAGGGGTCGGATTTCAATGCATTTGCATATTTTTTTTTTCGGAATGTCTCACATGATGTTTCACAAAGTGCAAATGTGTTACATATTACGTCAAAGGTGCTGTTGGTGCAGTTCAAACGTTACATATTTAACAATTTACGAGTTCTTGCTTTTATTTTTGTGTAAATTAAATAAATATTAAATTTAATATACCGAATGTAAAAGTGCCACGTTGGGAACGACAACGTGGATACGTGAGAGAATTATGGTAATGACATTTTTTTACGGATGGTCAAGTTTTTATTATGTAAAATATGTGACGTGGATGAAGTTAGTCTCCCCACCACGAACGGACTATGAAATATATGTAATAATGTATATACGTAATCATTTTGCAAATAATTTGCCCATCAGTTGCGAAATTTTTTTATTGGAAATCAAAAAAGTTCTGATTAAGTGCGTTTTCTATTATTACGAAAATGTAGTACCACGGATTTCAAAATGTGTGCATTATTATTTTGGTTTAAAACTTCTCTGCTCTTCCTAATTCGTTGTAATAAAGTCGAATATTAATATTATTATCACAAGAAAAATAACGATTTAAATTTTTTCCGGAAAATATTTTTGTTGTACAAGGCGTCTATAGAACATATACCCATTGTAATATCTCTGGAAAAAGTTAAGATAATCAAATTCTGTTTTTTTTAATATTTATATCCAAGCATTTTTATTATTATTATTAAATATTATTTTGTATTATCGTTTATTTCTTCGAAAAGATAATGGGCCCCACTGAACAGGTTCGTGTTTTTTGTATATTATTTTTAATTTTGTTTTGTTTTAATTAATTTAGCATAAAATATTCGTAGAAACTGGAAATTCGAAGAGAATACTTATATTTGTTTTTATAGACGTGGTCAAATTTTCAAAACGTTTGAACGATTTTTGAACTATTTAAGGACATTTTAATTTTGCGAGTTTTTTTATGTCATTTTTGATAGGTATTATGTGGATAAAATTGTTAGACTAAACAGAAATGCTTGAAAATTCAACAGGAGTTTCATTGTAGGTTTTACTTAGTGGCAAACAAGAAATATTTGAGTTTCATACAGTATTTTTCATTTTGTTAGATTATTAAATTATTTTCTCATTCCCCAGTTCCGATTTTAAAATTAATTTTGAGAAAACGAGAACAACGAACAACGGCGTACAGGAAATCAGTATAGGATACCAATGTTAGTTATTGTACGCGTTCCATTATTCGTGTTTAGTATATACAAAGATGACTAGCGATTACAGTTAATAATTCAGTTAAAATTCTAATGTATATTAGAATTAATGTATTTTATTCTATACTATTATATAGCTATTTGTATAGTATAGGTATTTAAAGTATAAATATAATGCGATTCGGAAAGTCAATATTTTCCTCGTATATTTGTATTATCCTTTACGTTGTCTGTTATATTAGACTTGTACTCGAGTAATCGTTTTCAAAAATATCAGTACATAAATAAATCAAATGTAAGCGTATTTTTTAATAAATTTGTAAATTGTGGAATCGACAGGTTGTTTTTAGCCTACCTGTACTGGCGGAATCGATGTACCTTACCCTGAAATACGAAAAGTTCACTCTCTTCCCCCCGAAATTTCTTCCTTTACTGTATTTTTTAAATCGAGTTTTACATTCAACAACATACTATCTTCTACCACAGAATAAAATAAAAATTTAATTTTATCAACAATCATTTATTCAGTAATAATAGTACTGTTGTATTGATACTATGCGCTATCTCCCCTCTACGAAATTATTATAAACTAAACTCCTCTCGAAAAAAATCCCGCGTGCACTATTGTCTGCAGGCGGAATCGATGAACTCCCCAGACACGTTACCTCGCCACCGTAGGTACTCATTGAAATGAAATAAACACGCCGCAAGTGATTAAAATCGTCTCGGTATAGTAATTATACAGTTTATTTCATAAATAAATATTAAATAGAAATTACAAAACTGTCAGCCATCACACTATATTATTGTAATAATAATATAGCTAGTGTAACAAAATAGTTTACCAAATTTGCATTTGTATACAATGTTTTGGAAAATTGTCATTTAAAACACAATAGGTAGTATAATTATAATTATATATTTGGAACTTATATAATTGATCGTGATTATAATATTATATTCCGGTTTTTTCTACGACAAATAATTATATTGTTAATACATAAATCGGTAAAACGCAAATTATGACTTAAGTATATTATATTTGGTTTAATATTATCAACACGCCTTATTGCTAAAAAAAAAAAAAATACACAAAACAAACGACTAGAAGCAAAAACGAACGAGTGTATGGCATATGCGCGACTATAATAATATTATGTGTGTTATAAAAACGCTACTTATCGACGACGTTAGATTAAAATGAAGTAAAAAATGTTCGAGAAATTTAAGTTAATATAATAATATTATAAGTAAATAACGACGAACCCATGTAGATATGAACCACAGACGGGGATTGAGGCTAGGGATACTTAGCCCCTCCGAAAATCATCGAAAGCAATTATTCCTAAAATTTTCTATTTTATGTGAAAAGCTATGTTCTAATATAGTTGATTTTATATTATAATATCAGGACTGTTTTGGAGCCCTTCCCCTCTCGAATAGGCGCCTATCGGATCTCCGCCCACGGTACTGACGACGATAACACGAAATTATAACAACATTATTATACGATTTCGTATATCTTCTCGTTGCGAATGAGCGCATTTCGTTGCTTTCGGTCTTGTAACGATTATCGTGAAATCAAATCGTCTAACGATTCACTCTAAATCCATCCCGTCGCGCTTATTTTAAAAAATATTATTATAATTTCCTTCCTCGTTATCCCTGCTATACGGAATCGCTATCCACCTGCAGTTTAGCTCGATGAATAACGATTTCGGATTTTTTTTTTTCTACCGGGTTTTGCAATCGAAAGGCTAATATATATATATTAATACACAATAATATAGGGGACATTTCGTCTGTGATGTCACAATTACATTCAAACGAATAGAATCGGATTCGTCTCCAGTCGGCGATTCCGTATATAGTAAATTATAATGATAATATTATTATATCTATTCGAAAACCTAGAGATAATTGTTTAATGTATACTCTTAACATTACGGCTGTGCTTACAATATAATATTAAACGATAAACTATGACATAAATGTTTTTTTTTTTCGTTTACACTAAGTACTTTTTATAAAATATGCTAATTACACGCGTACAATATAATAACGTAGGTACCTACTTACGATAAAAAAAAAAAAAAAAAAAACATAGTTTCACTCTTATAATCAAAAATTCAAATACCTAACAGTAGTATAATATAATAAAGAAAAGAAATCACTACACAATCTAAAATCAATTTTTTTTTTTTGCGTTTTTTTTTCGCACAACTTAAAACTATTTAATATTAATTATCGTTAAGTACCTATGCGATATTATATAAAAACAAATGTGATTTTGTTTTTTTTTTTTTTTTTGATATTATAATTGTATACCTTAAATTATTAATATGTTAATTATTATTTCTTATTAATAAAATTAAAATTATTGACGTATAATTTTGTATTATAATAATATTTTTTTTTTATTTTTTTTTTTTTTCTGTAAATCGATAATACGAGAAAAAAAATATATTTATATTTATATATGTATATAAGACTATATTTTTGCAATACATAATGTAATATATAATATACAATGTATATTTTATATATTATATATTATATGTTCGCGTCTAAATCTACTTGATACCCGATACTCCGAACCGTATGAACGACACCGTATGTCGTGTTCATTATATAAAAAAATCGCTAAATCAAAAAAACACAAAGAAAACCAACATTATCACCTATTATTATAAATAGTAATAAACCGACGTATTTACAATAATAATAATACATATTATATAATACGCCGATAAGTAAATCAATAGCTTAATGTCTAATTCTGTGCCGGACAGACGGGGAAATATTTTTGAAAATGAAACGGAAAAACAAAAATCCAGTGGAGGCCGAGACAATACACTCGCATTTACAGAGGTCTCGGTCTATAATTTTCTTATGGGGGTGATGGGGGGGGGGGCGACGTGGTAAAAACGATAATTTCACTCGTAAAGAAGAAAACCGACCGTGTCGTCTAGTCCGAGACTTCGTCGAGTTTACAGCGTTTGAACGCAGATCGGACGGCAACCTCTAACCGGGCGAACGCAGCGGCGTACGCCGCGGATCCAGGGGAGTTAAACGTAGTAAATGTAAATCACATAAACATACATGCAAATATAAGGAAAATATTACGATATCTAGAAGAGTTTATGCGTGTATATTTGTGTTTTCGTATTTCAAACACGGCCAACACGGTTCGCCGCCGGGAGAATATTTACCGAATCGATAGGTACGCGTTGCGGTTTTTCTCTAAGATGTCGTCGCCAAACCGCAAAAACCCCTCGACGCTTCCCTATATATCAGTGCCTGTTTATTAACCGCGCGTGTTGGCGACCCCCTAGGTATTTACCGAATTTTCGAGCGGCGTATGTCAATTGTCCGATTACCGTTGCTATAATAGAAACCATTACCTTTCAAATTTATCTTTAAAGTAACACGCACGGCTCAACGTGTAATGGGTACCTTTTGAAGTGCACGATATTAAACGATCGAGTCCAAAACGAAATGTATTGATTCAATGTGAATCAACAACTTATCGAATTCATTAACGGCGCCCGTGTGAATGTCGACCGATAGAGAATGCGTGCAGCATTGAAAGCAGTTTTCTAGTACAGCATTATGAATTTTAATTTGTCAAGAAAAATTATTTACGAAAAATGTTTCATTGATTATGTTTAAAATTTTTTTTTTTATACGGATAGTTTAAAATCGAAATATTTCAATAGCATTTAAATTATTCGGCGACCCATTCAAAATTATTCGCGACCCAATTTTGGGTCGCGAACCTATGGCTGAGTAACGCTGCCTATGTACGATATTCTACTCTTTAAGTTGTTTGTCATCCGAGATTAAACTCTAATGATTTCAATTTAAACGCCACGATCATGTAGGAAGTAATTTTACCATGTCGCCCCCGTTGTCAACTTCAAGACAGCATAATAACGCGGGTATAACCTCTTTTAAAAATATATACAAAAAAAAAACAAAACAAAACAAAACATAGAAAATATTATAGCGGACACAAACGTATTGATTGCAGGATATGTGCACAATAAAAATTAATTTTCATTATTATTGTAATGATATGATTGAAAAAAATTCCAGAACAATCGGCGTGATGGAAGAATAATGGATACGTACACATAACTTATACGGTTTAAAATTTTTTTTTTTTTTTTAATTCACGTATATTATATGTGTACGTGAGCGTACAAAAATTATAACGAAATTTGTAAAAAAAAAAACTTACACATAAAAGACACACGTACACACGAAGAGATTAAGCCTATAAACGTAAACTTATATTCGTAAACTTACATTCTATATATATATATATATAAAAAAAAAAATTGTTTTAAAAAAAACTATACGAATTTTCGAAAACAATAATACAATATTATACATCCATTAAAATATTTTCCATACGCGCGCCAATAACATAAGCTATAATATTATTATAATATGTTATTTTCACAACAGGGGATAATAATTTTTGTTAAGCCGCTTTCACGGGGGTCGTTATTTTCGACGGAAACGGAAATGATAATGAGATTAGACGATTAACGAATAAAACGATATATTTGATTGATTTCTTGAGTTTTTCGTTTTTGTTTTTTTTTTTTTTTTAAATTTTTTATTTGCTTTACAGGAGATACAGCGGGTTCTTTAGATATAGCTACCGTATCTATTCGCGATCATGTTGCAGCCGTTTGCATAATGTGCACGGAAAAACAATAATTTTTAAACACGTTTTTTCGAATATCATGGCTATAAGAACGACCGATAGCAGCGTAATCGAAATCGCAAAGTTTGAACAATGTCGAGTAATGGAAATCCGTCTAATATAGTGGCGATAATATAATGACGAATAAGTAGTGCGAAGGCTCGATAAACACTGATTATTTTCGTAATTTCTTTTTTTCTTTTTGTCCGATCCGTTTCCGTCGAAGAATATAATGTTTTTCGGTTTGTGGAGAGAAAAAAAAGTCAAAATATCGAACGTACAGTCCCGGGGGGAATGTTTCGACGGATTCAAAGGATATAAGTAGGCGGGTACATAAATAATTGTAAGTATTTGTAGAAAACGAAAAATAATCATCACGAAGGCTCAAATAGTTTTTTGGTGAAAGGGTCCAGCTTATGGATTTTGGCCACGTGAGATTGTAATGACAATATCGATGGGTTTTGCGCTTCTTTTCGGTCCCGCAGAAAATGACTTCAGCTCTTATTTATTTGTCAAGAAGATACGGATTTGTTTTTTAATTGAAATCCCGTACGTCGTTAATAACCCGATTTTGAACGAATCGAAGAAGAAAAATCTTGTTCCAAAGGTGTTGTATTTGTATACATATATATATATTTTTTAAACCGATATTCTGAACAATACCAAACTGCAGACTCGGAAAAATTATCATTATTATTTGCTTTTTGTGCGTTTCATAGACTCCTATAGTGTTTTTGAAATTATTTCGAAATGTGCCGAAGACCGAATAGAAGCTGGAACGACGGGATATGATTAGAAAACACGAGCGGCGCGGCGTATCGAAAATCTATCTTAATAGAACCTTTAAATGATTAACTTTACAAATATTTTCAAAACAAACTTAAATTTATAACGAAAAAAAAACAATTATCTTATCATAGCATATAAATACACAATATCGTAATATTTTATACACAGGCACGTGATAAAACGTTTGTTTGCGTGTGTATAATATTAACACTACTATTATTACATGGTCCCTGATTCTGCTGGCAAAATACAAAATGCGCGTTCTAACTGACATTTTTTTTTTTTCAATAATAAAATATTGTAATGTATAAAACGAAAAAAAAAAATGCTTTCGAACGCGATCGCAATAATAATGACAGTATTATGGTCCCTTAAAACCATCATCATTATCTCGTTAGAATAATGACTGAATAAAAACGCAATAAACCAAAAGAAACGTGCGGTAACGTTTATATCAAAACGAAATAATAATTGAAAACCCGTTTAAAATTAGTCGATTAATCGTAAACTATTATTATTATTATGTTAAATTAAACGTACGCATATCCTAACTTAAAAAAAAACAACACACACACACATACACACATTTAAAACCGCCAAAGATATATAAAACGACCAGATTAGTCTCTAGAAATGGAAAACGCGGACATTGGTAACCGTATTAAAAAAAAAAAGCAAATCGTAAACCCGCGAAATATTTTTTAGTACCGTGAATCACGCGTCACACATACGGCATCTTGAATAATTATTATATTCTTTACATCTTTTCAATTCAGTTACGGTCTAATGAAGACTCACTTCATCAGTCGGTGGATCATCAATCGGGTCCTAATCAATTGTCAATTAGAAGTAGGCATATCCAATAAATTTAGAAATATTAGTAATCTTGTTGTGATTCGAGTTGACTGATCTTTATACACGTTCAAATTCAATATAGCCGATAGTATAATATTACAACATTCGCGTGATCGTATTATGAACAAAAAGCAAGAAAGTTATATTTTTTTTTCTAAATGACTCATAGGGTAGCGTAGCTATTAATCTGCAGTTCCGATAGAAACAGCGGGGTAGTGGTTGCTACTCCTCGTTACCCCGTAATGACGCCTATGCACGTGAGAAAAATGAACGTAATATGAGAAATATTTGAAATTGTTTCTATTAAGTTTACTTTGATGGTTCACACGTATGTTATCATCACATAATTCATGGCATAAAATCAACTATTTCGCGGGTTAATAAAGTCGATTTTCTTTCTTAGTTTATACGGCCCCCAAACATCACATACCTTGTGGGACTCTTATCATACAATCAGTTATCTAGTTGTTTTTATATCTATGAAAACTACTACTATTCCCGAATACGGCATGATTGGACGAAAATTCTTTAAAGCGACGCGGGCAGTTAAGTATACTTCAAAATCAAAACCGACACCGGCAACGGTATGATTTTTTTATTTACGCTCGTTGTTTCATTTTGGCATAGGCCGACTACAGTGGCGTAGCGAAGCGGTTGCTTATAATTTTATAAGGTGGGTGGTTGGATTTTTGTGAAATTTAAATGATTTGGAGGGACACGTTGCTTAACGTATAATATCCAGTAATCGTACGACTACGGACTAGGTATGGGTATTGAACAAATTATTTCTGGATTGGGGCGATAGGTGGTTGTAAAAAAAAAAAAAACGATTCGCTTCTAAATTATTTAAAGTTCGTGACGCCACTGGGACGACAAATGTTGTGAACCCCGTCTGGTTTATGCGGCGCTCATGACCCAACCGTGTTCCATTTCGGGTAAAGTAGTAGTCGCGTTTAAATTTCTACGGCTTAAAAATATTCTATGATAATATGCATATCATATAATTGTATACAATGTCGTTTTCGAGTTGTCCCCTCAAAAACAGATTGTCCGCGAAAAGACAAACCGAGGCTTTCGACTCGTCAAAAAAACGCGCTCTGTACGACGATAACTATAACCTAGCCTAAAAGTAAATTATTTACACGCGTTTCCGCATAACTTATTCTAAACAAAATATATTAATATTATTATGGCGAGCATATGCGCGCTAACGTAGAATAATTTGCCTTCCCGCAGTCTATTCGTTATTTTTCTTCGGAATACGCCCGATTAACGATTTGGACAAAAGTTATTGTATACACTGTTTTTTTTTTTTTTTTTGTTAACTTAAACTTTTAACTGAAATTTGCAACATGATAGTGATAATATTGAAATTTTGTTAAAAAAAATAAAAATACAACAGGAAAATCTTGGAGTTCGTAGACGGATCGTTATTTTAAACGACTTTCCGAGTATAATATTGGTATGCGTTACGAAAAAATATAAAACAATGGCGGTGGAGCGGAGAAAAACTGATTCAGAGCACGTGCAGGTTTTCACACGATTTGGACTTTGAATCTCTAGCCCAAACTTTGCTTAGCAGCCCTTTGACCCGGAGGCTGGTGGATGTTCTGGAGCCACGGTATTTTTTGAACGTCGGCCCGCAATTAGACAACGGCGACTTGGACCGTTTGCGTATCGACGAACCCGACGACCCGCCGACACCGTGTTCCGGCTGTTGGTCCAGTTTCAACCGGATTTGCGTCAGTATGCCGACCAGCAACTCGTCTACGTTGTAGTTGATGATTACAGACGTCTCGATGAACTTGCAATCGTACCGGGTGGCCATTTGTTTTCCCACTGAAACACAACATGTGGTAAATTATATTCGCAAGTGGTACTTTATGTGCCGTAAATATTATAATGGTTTAAAGTAAAGCTATACAGTATCCGGTATCTACGATTTATAGTATGTGTAACGAGTGCCACCGCTAGCATAATAATATTGCGTGGATCGATGACGACCCAATATCGAAATTGTTGACATTTGTTTCCCACTTCTAAAACATGTGTTTCTTTTACGTATTTATCTAACTACCTATACTAATATTAATAACTATAACTTTACAGTTTGTTTCGTAATTTGGCGCATTCGATTATTCGATCATTTTTTAATGATCGAATTTGCTTTTGCGCGTAATATACCTTGTATCTAATGGAAACTTGAGGAAAAAAAATATAATTTTCGTGTTATAAAAACAGACGTTTTTCGTAAATCCCCCTTCCCCTTTTAGTGGTTGAATTTCGGAGAAAAAATTCTACGCGCCTTTTTAATGGAAAAATTACAAATCCAATTATACATCTAAGATGTAAATCTTACCCCGACTGAGCCTATACACCTATATATTCAGACAAACAGGCACGAGAACATTCGAAATTGTACCACCGAAAAAATCAAAATCAAAACCATTGGCAAATTTACACATTAATATTATACACTTTACCTCCCGACGGTACGACGTTAGGTCTTACAATGTCGTTTTTGTTACCGACCAATATGACGGCTTTATTTCTGACCAAATCTGCTTTCCACAGGGCTTGTAACCATTCTTCGGCTTGTTTGAAACTGTCCCAATCGTTTCTCGAGTAAATAATACAATAGGCGTGGGGCGTTTCTTCGAACACGTCGTTGCAATCGGCCGGCTGTGAACATTATATTATATTTAATATTAATACGTTTGTTTTTTTTTTTTAAGGCGTAGTAAATGCAATGAAATTTGTTTATAATAACAAAATAATAATAATATTAGGTCAAAGAACATGTGACAAATTGTACAAGTTTACAGATCGAAAATATCGACATCACAGTTTTTCGTTAATGTATTTCTACACGCTTTCGTTTTTGATTAAAGTGTATTATACAAACAAGTAGATACGCAATTATTATTATCTCGGAGATTTTTTAACTAAAATTGGACAAACGTTCATTGGAAAAAACGACACGAGTTCCGTATGATAACAATACGACGGTTAAGTATAATAAAAACGAAACAAAAGAATTAGATATTCGTGTTTGGATATGTCTATAATTCGGTAACTAAATAGCGTATTAAGACGCGTTACTTATTACACTTATTATCTTTATAGCTGAATTCACGTTATTTTGTATATTGTTCAGATTTATTTTTAATAATCGTTGAAGTGTTGCATAATAGTAATTCCATACGAAATCGACATTGTGCCCGCACAATTTACTACTACGTGTTTCTGTAAGTGGTATCGATTCAATTACTTACGTTTTACTAACGGTTTTAATTGCTAAGTAAAGGTGTAGTAACAAACATTATTCTAATTTGAATTGGTTTAAATCGGTTTATTTTGCGGTCGTTTATTTTAACAATAGCGAAATTTAAACACGGACTTTTTGGTACAAAAATTCGGCCATTTTGTTGACATCAATGATAACGCCACGTCGGCTTTCTATTATTGCGATTTATAGATACATCGGTGTGTGCGTTACACTTTTCAACATTTGATAACATCTGTGACAGGTTCACCGCAAACACCGAAAATCCACGTTCCTTTTCAATAATCTTTTATGCGGCGTTTTAGTGTCACCACTCACCACTGATGCCACCATTCAAAATGTAGTGACAGAGATGTGATATCAAATTAATATAGAATATTATAATACAATATCGTTTAGGTTAAGCAACAATAGTAATATTATTATAATCATGTTTATTCTATAATCAATCCGCATTATAATACACTGTAGTGACGGACGTGAGTACCATAGGCACGTTTTGCATACTATTATCACCGTCATCATTATCATTGTCGACGACCTATCTATTTTATAATACTCGTAATAACTGAAAGGTTTCAGGTCGACGTTCCGAACCAACTGCCCCTGAAGTATTACTAATATAATATCATATAGTAGTCGGTCCGCCGCACGCGACATAATAATATTATGTTATTTTACCGTACAGGACCTGCCGAGTGTAAATAATATTAATTTATGTTCAAATCTCTCTTCCGACGCGGTGCGCGATGTTCATCGACAAACCGACAAGTTAGGATATTGGTGTATACCTAATAATAGTATGTAACTATCTATTCAATTATCATAAATAATATATAATATTAGTTTTTGGTACTACCTATCGCCGCCGCGCCGTTTCACCCGTTTATAGTTTAAAATTAATTCTGCGGCTTATAAGTTATATGATAAGTCGCAATTTAATATAGACATCATATAGAGAAATAATATAGTTTTGTTACGATTATAACAATTTATTATACTACGGTAAATTATACGCAGAATGATTCATTAAGCATACTCGCCTCATTTTTAGCGGCACGCTTTTTATACATTAAAATTCTGATTTTTGTAATTTTTATGTGCATAGTTAAACGCGATATTTTCGTACACTTAGGTTTTTCCTTAACATTTTAGGAGCATCCTGTTGTTGATATCAACTTTTCAACCAAATGAGAACCTATATTGAAAATTCCATAAATATTTGTGGTATTAGACAATATGAATTTTGGTATTAAGATTTTTGATTTCCGCGAACTCATTCACGAGATATCCCACTTTTAAGTTTAGGCAGGGGGAGAGTAGTGGAGCATAATTTGTATAACGAAATAATATAAATAATAAACAAAAATAACGTTTTTTTAATTAAATTATAAACTCTCAAAATCAGAAATGTGTGCATAAATAATTTAGCCCTAAAGTTGGGGTGAGCATATCTTATGAATCACTTTACATGTTACCGGGCCAAGTGACGTGGTCTCTGAATGTTTTCATCAGCGCACCTGATTTCAAGTAACCTTTTTTTAGAGACTTCAATACCATCTTCATATTTATTGTATATTAACCATTTAATGAACCACTAATAATAATATTATTAGGCAATCATGATATTCAGAACTCGGCTGAATTACAAAATATAAAGGAATAAGTACACGACAAATTAATTATAGGAATTGTGGAATCTTCGAAACTCCACAAAAATACGACTCGTATAGAAATTTAATGGGAATAGTTTCGAGACATATTGAAAATTTCGTCAAAACTTTGCGAATCCGTGAATCATATTATAGGTTATTATTATCTACTATAGCGAACTAAGTCGAGTCACGCTGAAAGGAAATATCAAAGTTAATGGAGTCTTTATGTGTCTTACTTCTATAGATAAATAAAGACGATGGCGATAATATATTACTTTACTCGTCAAAATATACGCTTGTCATATTCCGCTAATAATAATAACGTGAAATGAAATTCAATAAATGAATATAATGAATTTTCATTCATTTTTTAGTTTTGAAAACTGTAATAGTTTTTCCATGAAACATTCAAACGAAACGTTGCAATTATTTACGTTTCAAACAATGAACGAATTCAACCAGTTAATCCACGAGTACCTTGTATATGCTAAGGGATTATTTTATTAGTCGCCGTATGAAAACGTAATGTATGTGTGTCAAAAAAAAACGGAAAAATAATGTTTGTGAGATGAATAAAAAACCGTTGTGTACATATTATAACTTGGCAATTCACAGTAAAGAATTTTCAACTATCAAGAGTTTTACCGATTTCATTTTCGATACGAATTTTTTGTTCACGATTTAAACGATCCTGAAAAGATATATACGATTCTCTTACGTGAGCCAGGAGTGACATTTAAAATCGAATGTTAAACGAAATTCAACGAAAAATAAACTATGTATTTGTCATGTGTTTTTGTAAAAAAGTATTGAAATTTCAATTATATTTCACTGATAATAACTGTTTTTTATATCACTTGAACATCTGTTTGCCTGTTATTTTCCATAGAATGCGGTATGACAATTTTAGTTTTTATAAATTTATTATATATTCACAGAAAAATAATATACGAAGTATTTTGCCTGCTATGAAGTCGAAACTAAAATTTTTTCGGTTTTATCTTATTTATATATAAATCATAGCTAAAGCTTTGTTGATTTACCATAACCGAATATAAAATCCGTTATAACCCGGCATATAACGGGCATATTGATTTATCATAGCAATCAAATGTAAATTCATAATAAAGGTAGGTGGTCACACATGATGAAGAAATACTCAAGGTAAAATCCTCAAGGAACGACTTCTAGAATTTCCTCAATAAAACCTCGCCGTCACGCGCATGTATCGTGTGTAGATAAAAAAAACTACGCGGTCTGAACTGTACTGGCCAAATCTATACATGTGGTTGATATTGAGGATTCGTATGATTTATTATCATATTATAAATATTTTTGTATTGTTATCATTAATCATTTATAGTTTTCTATCAGTGTGTTATCAAATGTATTATATTTAATTAATGAGTGTTCCCCTTCAATTTAGTTATATATCTGTCTTTTTATATATGATGGCTTCTTCGGATTACGATATTTTGGCGGCTATTGGATGTTTAGTGGCTGTCAATTGTACCTATCTAAAAAATTGTGTTCTGGCCATAGAATGGCTATTGAAAAGGAGTAAATATTCCCACATAAATATGCTAACAGAACTCAAGATTCTTTTTAATGACTGGCACACGTACTGAAAACTAGGCATTATTAATGATAACAATATAATATTGATAATATAATAATGATATCGTATGAATTCTCAATATCGGGTTTATTGGGGTTTACAAAAATTAATTCGAGATTTAAAAAAATATAAAACACCCTGTTCATTCCGTAATAAATGGCTGAGTTTTTAGTAATATCGATTAAAAGCTTTTGTCATTAAATGCGATTTTAGGAACATCAAAGAGTCTGATAAACTGAATAAACTTTTAGTAAAAGTTGACAAAAACTTCGTAAAAAAACATAGTGACTGAAAAAGCGAATACCTAGGAGTTTCATACTTATATATATATATAAACCCACATATAATTGCTATATAGATTTGATTTCGAGTGAAGTAAGAAAGCTTTATTAGTTTTAGCGAAATACTTATTCATTACTCAGAAAACACGTTTTTGGTTTGTCTTGAAGCGATTGAATAATTATGCCTTTTTTTTGTGTATATAATCATTACTTTGTCTGCTAAGTCTATTCAAGATTTTTGAAAATGTCATAAAATCTAGGATTATGAACTTCCTTAACGGTAATTCTTTTTTTTTTCTGATAATCAATTTGGTTTTTTTAAGGGTAGATCTATAACAAAGCACATTTTTTTGTCAATAAATACATGCATGGAAAGTTAGATATAAATAATAAAGTTATTGCCGTTTTTCTTAATGTCAAAAAGGCTTTTGACAGTATCAACCGTGAGCTTTTACATAAAAAAACTCGATTTTGCAGTAATCCGTGGTACAAAAAATTATTTTATTAGAACTTACCACACTGATAAGATTCAAATAGCTAAAATTAATATTAATTGGGTGTATTGCTTCCTTAAAAATAAACCATGATGATGATGTTCCTCAGGGGACTGTTATCGGGCCTGTCTCTTTATTTTATGCATAAATGGTTTGCTTAGTATTAATGTTGGTGTAAAAATATATTGATTTGTGGATTATACTGTTATTCTCCTACATGATAAACGTATTGAAAATTGTTATTTTAAAGCTAATAAAATATTTACAATTGTAAAATCAAGGTTCAATAATAACTATCTAAAGTTAAACTTAAATCAAACTAAACATCTATAATATTAAAAATATTATACATGGTAATAAGTGGAAACTAAGCATTCATAATACTTTGTATACACTAGTGTGTAATGATCGAGTAGAATCCCAGTATTTAATTATGAAGATGAATACGATATGGACGGAAAGGTCATTACAAAAGGAAATGCGTATTAGCGGTTAATCGGTTTGCATTTTTTCACATATAAGTATAATCAGGTATATATGTTGTAGAGTTTGATACAGTAAAGCGTTTTTTTTCTGACAAATCGAGATTGATTTCGCAATAGGTACCGAAAACAAAACGTTACCATGACGAAAAAAAAAAAAAAGAATAGGTGAAGTTTTGCGTACACATTGAATTATTACTCTTAACAATAAGATATAATCGCCGCATACACCATATTTACCCATCTTTCTGACCGAGAGGGGGGATTGTAAGGGGCGACGGGTATGCGAAAGTAGTCAAAGAGCGGTAGTGGGGATGAAGGGGGTGAACGTGGCGATGGTGCCATGCGTGATGCTATGTGTATTGTGTAACTGATAAGAGATAATCATTATTTTTGTTACACCATCGTCGGAGTCTTTTTCACCGCGCCGTCGCCGTCAGTTGTTAACAGAGACCCTCGAAAACCCATAATGTCAGAAATAGCCTTTTAAATATGTAATTCGATGTTTTTCCGTGCAACGCGCTACGTTTTCTTTGTATTTTTTTTTACTATATGTCAATGCGTGCCTAAAACACTCAACGATAACAGAGGATTTGGATGAAAATTACAAAGCGAGATAAATAAAGTCGATAGACTCGGATAAAACGACAGATTGTAGAGCTGATACCATTACTACAAGGCGTGCTGTAGTAAGTTCAGTCGCCTTATTCGAATATAAACTATGAGCCTATACGACAGTCGAAAAATGATCCGACGGTTGTGTACATATTTTATTCCGAAGATATCCGGTTAAAAATATATTCCGGTCAAGACGGTTTACGGACAACTATAGTAAAATCTACGATATCGAATATTTTCAAGCGACAGAAAATGACATTATGAATGTACGACGTGCAGTATCGGTTTCGGAAGATAAGAACGGAAAACGAAGCGCTGATTGAAGTACAATATTTAGTTACAACGGGAAACTAGAAAATTTAAAACGACACAGTAGACATTAATATTATAATAGTTGTTTACACGCCGATCAGAAATGCACGTTGAACAAAACCAGGGGAATCACGCACGAATCTATGCACCGTGAATTGCTGATCGGAGTGTTTTCGACATTGGTAACCCGCTGCGGGAATCCGTAGTTTTCGTTTAATGTTCAGCGTGTTTAAACGTAAAAGGAAAAAGACGGTATTTATTTGCGTTTTTCAACGCGAAACATTTCAAAGTAAATTCAACAGAACAGTGATGTACACGTCGATGTCGCCGCGTCGTGCAATATAAAATATATATTGCTTAAGTTTTATTCTTTAACACCCCCCCCCCTTGAATTTCCAAAATGTCGTTTAAACCGTTTTGCTAAGCGTCAACATCGGTTTCTCGAATTTCCCACACGTACGCGGTAGTGTTATGTTATATTATGCGCTATAGAATTTGAATTTAATGAAAGGCGCGGGGAGCGGTCGCGAAAAAAATAACCCCGTACCAATGTAATACAATAACAGTATATGTGATCGATGCAAAACCGAACATCCGTTGCCGGCGTCTTGCGAGTGTAAATGTGTAACACAATTATACATTTCGACCGTCACTTTGATGTGCCACAACAGCAATAAGCTACCTAACGCACAAATTGAACAAAGTGCTAATTCCCAGTCCGCGTACGTATATAACATAATATTATATTATATTACTCGGGACCGTTAGTGCTAACAAAATAATATTATACAAATCGAGTTAAAACACATAATATAATCGAATCGAATCGCGACGAAGAGTTTGGTTAATTTATTGTTTTATATATATACGTATATATAGAATGTGTGTGTGTGTGTGTGTGTGTGTGTGTGCGCGCAGAACGCGAAATCGAATTAGCCTCGGACATCAGTGTTGTTGTATAGTACTTAGGGTGAAGTGGACACGCGAATAGACGGTTCACTTTATTCACTCGTATTCGGGTAGGACTTACGTACTCGAGTAGAAAATATTATTACACATTTCTGGGAATCGAAATGTCAAAGACGGTTATTTTTGGAAAATTTAAACAAATAAAGTTACCGGAAACAATATCTTTGGCGTACAAAAAAAAAAAAAAAAAAACGAATTGTTTTTAACAAATCATTTCGACTTCTTTTGTCAGATCAGGAAAAATCAATTTTCCAGGAAAAAGGCCGCTGGTTTCCCAGTTATTTCAGGAAATGTCGATCTCAATACATTTCTACTACCAGGTTGCTCGAAAAAAATTTGTTCGTTTTTAAAAGATTTATTTTTATTATACGTTTTGTATACGGGTAGGTAGCAATTGATATTATTAATTTTCGTTCGTCCGAATTTATTATTTTAAACGTCATTATAGGATTTTTACTCGCCCGTTATTAAATGTTCAGTTAAAATAATGTATATTCATTCATGCAATGTTTGGTCGTCATTAAAAATATTATACCAACTCGGGAAAGAGCGAGTATCATGTTTAGAGAAAATTTCCGAAAAAAAATTCCATACTATTTGGATTACGATCGTATTCCATTAAAACAAGCAATTTTCTGTGCGGTATTATTGATCCACGAAGAACATTTCCAATTCGAGTATGACGAAAGAAAAAAGGTTTACATTTTAGAGTCGACGATGGAGTTAACTATACAGATTGTCCCACGAAGATATACCCCTTGAATATCTCCGGAGATAATATAATAAAAAGTAATTTTTTTAATAAAAAAAATAAAAAAAAATAAATTCAAATATACATGTTTGTAGTCTCTACAGTGAGTAATATTTGAGTAATATAGAAAAAAAAAACCTGATTATCTTTACTATGTCCGGAGATATTCAAGGGGCGTATTTTCGTTGGGACAGCCTGTATAAATGTGTGACATGCAATTTTTAGACTTTCCGTAAATATTTAATTGTAATTCTGGCGTCTATATAATATTATGTAGCGTACGAAAGTGATACAAGAGAGGCCTTTGTACGTGAATATATTGCATTATCCGCGATATCAATCATGGGCGATTTGACTATATAATACGCCCCTTTGACGTTACACCGTATTATCATCATCGCACATTTTTATTGAAACACGAGCGCATAGGTGAAATACGAAAACGCGGAACACCGAGGGTATGGGGGCAGGGGAGGGTATGGAGGGAGGGGAGGGCGCTATTGATTTTCGAAATTGTTACAGCCTTTTGTGTGAAGTGGTTTTCGAAGCTAGCTGCTGCTGCCGGTACACTGCTGCAGTTGCCGATACACGTATTATTATTACTCGCATAAAGAACGAGCGTTTAAGTTGATTACCGCGAGCTCATTTACGTAGATCGCGCGCGCCCGCTACAGATTGCGTTAGATCGACTGACGCCGGAAACGTGTTAGCGATTTATTCACGTCGTTCGCTATGCAATGCCTATTAATATACTATAGCATTGAACGTAGCCTTTGCGATTGATTCAAACGTAATTATCGTTGTTATCATTACACGCGACACGGGATATCAATCATTATAACTATCAGCCATAATATTATACGAGTAGTAGTATATATTATAAGTGTATTGATAATATGCATTACGGCGTGTTGAAAATATTACCTACAGTCGTCGATATTGCCGCACATACAGACGCGCGGGTTGAAAACCGCAAACGAAATTGCCGTTTTTCCGATAATTTTTTCTCTCGGGTTTTTTTCAATTATTCCGAAAACCCCTTGGAAAATCAAAAAATGACATTCCCAGCGCCTACCAACTGGAGAAAATTGCCTATCCGCGGTAAAGGTGCGATTGTCTAAACTTCGGAGCAAGTTTTCTGGTAAAGAAGTCGTTAACAGGCGGAAAAAAAAATGCCAAAGCACACACCAAAGTGAACCCAATAAATCCCTCGGCGATACGCTCCAAATCTGAAATTGTTCAAATATTTGTTTGACACACTGTCGCCGTAAAATTAATTTATGAATCGTAATACGCGTAATATACTGATGAATTTACAAAAACTAACGTCGAAAAACAAAACATAATCTTATAAAATTAATAACAGACCAGATCTGTCTGTCTGTAACGTCTCTAATACGTATACAATTTAAATTTTGACGTTTAGGTTGAAATTGTAGATTCAACAAAACTAACAAAATTCAAAGAGGAGTATATTTTCGATGGTCGGCCGTATTTGGTTTTTTCTAAAAAATTGTCTCGGAAGGAAGTTACAGCCATGTTAGTTTTACATTTTTAAAATACATTTAATTCTTTAGATTCCGTTATTTGGAATTAAACTCGAATTCCAGTTTAAACGCCACGTCTAATTACATACTTAATTTTGCTATATCGTGCGTTAGTAAGACGGAGTGTGAGTATGAGATTAACCAACAAATTGTAGTTATATTCAAGTCACATTTATTTAAAACGTACTCATTGTAATAGTTACGACAGCAATGCAACTTTGTATCAGAGTGTAACCAATTTCTTGAATTTTGAACGCACAACAAAAGGCATTGATTGTTACAGCCAATTTTTATCAGATGAGTGCGATTGATGGACTCCAATAAATTATTGTAAGTCGATAGTTAATATTATTCAAACTTTAGTACATTTTTAAAATCGAACGCAGTTTTTCTACGTAATAATAATGTTGTTTAAATACAATTTTGGTTAAAACATTTGGTTTCAATAAAATTCTTGTGTAAAGCATCGTGCAAAGCATGTCCGTCTATTTCTTTATTATTTTCAGAAAAAAAAACAAAACATTACCGTTCGTTGGACAAAATGTAAACATATTAAATTATATATATCGTAAAACTTTCATAAATTTTGACATAAGTAATCATTTTTTTTTTTCTTAGAAGAACAAAAAAGCGCTATAAAATAATATTATACAAAATTAATAACCTATCATAACCTTAATACAACTCGTGTACGAAGTAATAAATACATTACTTACCGCATCATTGGATTTTATTGTTTTTTATACGCAAACAATTGTGGTAAAAATCCATATATTTTTTAAACGAGACACCGACAAAAAAAAAAAAAAATTAATCCCGACTACCATGTACATTTTTTTATATTTTACATTTGAAACGTGCACTCTGTTCGTACAACACACTACGGGATTATAATAAAACGTCTGTTGTACGTATTGAATTGTGGGCAAGTGTGTTTAATTCGTTTATCGAATTACTTCTATCGGCACACAAAGTTTTCGCGGTAATATTTAATATAATATTTATAAATATTTTTTTTTTACACGACCGAATAAATATAATAGTATTTCCGGTCGAATGAAATAATATGAAAAAATATTACCGTATTGTATAGGTTTTAATACTGCAAACAAAATAGATGAAATCCGGTTTTTACCGTATCAGGAGTAGTTTAACATATAAGTTGTATATATTGTATGATGTATACGAATATTTAATATTTATTAATAATTTTAAACTTTAACAGGGCTGAGTCAGTTTCATTTAATCTATCTATATAGTTTGAATACATGTTTGTATATTATTATCATAAAAGTAGGCGTGATTTAATAATTTCTCAATTGATTTCAAATTGTTAAATTAACCTGAAAAAGAGCAGATACTGCTGATGGATGTGCTATTGTTGTAGGCGGGAAATTGAGAAGATAAAATACTTAGAGTTATTACATTTTTTTATCTGTACGAATCGTTAAACCAATGTCTACGAAAAACGATTATTCACAGAAATTCTGTTATACATGTTTTTAAAATGCCGTGATTTGTAGGATTTTCGTCAAAATTTGGTCTTAAATAGAACAAATTAAAAAAACCTACATATTTCAATCTAAACGGTCCGTTCAGAATCTAAAAAATGAATGAATTAAAGTATTATAATAGGGCATTGTCATGCAAAACTATTGTTTAAATTTGTAAATTTATGAATATATATATATATATTAGAACTCACCATGTTTGAATTGTCTAAAAATATCAACTCTGACTCTTCTGCGTCCAGCAATACAGAAACTGACTTTTCTCCGTCTTCATCTGAAACAGAAAAAAAAACACGACCTAAATAAAATGTTCACATATATGAGTATGATATAAACTCACGATTCCGAACAAAAAGGGGAGTTTTTATTTCAATCATTAACCAATGCTCAATATTGAAAACTAGTGGTGTGTCCTTTATTATATGGCAGGTTATAGTGGATAAAATATTTGGCTGCCATGGTAAATCAATATGCCACGTTACATTATGACGGACTACTGTGGATTTTATATTTTATTGCTAAGGTAAATCAATATGTCTGCCATATTATGACGGGAAATTGTGGATTCTATAATTTGTCGCCATGGAAAATCAAAAAAAAAAAAATGTTACAGACCTCGGATTTCGTATTATAGTTGAGGTGTTCCACACGGTTTTGCTTGTGCACACTATTGACCAAAACCAATTTTTAAAAAATGATCATGCGTCTCCCCGTGTTTCCCCGTGACATCCTTATTTCTTTGAAAAGTCTATTTGACTACACTATCAGATTTCTTCGAACAATACTTTACAAATGTCTAAGTTTGCTCTACATCGACATAATATGTTTTTGTTCGATTGTAATTGATATTGACATAGGGTGTTTTAAACTAATTATTATTTATTTATTTATGATGTATGTAACTATCACGGTAACCCTTTTTTACTTTCTTATTAACGCTTGCTAGACAAATTCAACCTGACTATATTTGAAATATGCTAATAATATCGACACCTACACTGTATATTTTTTACACTTATATCGGGGGAGGAGAGAGGCATTTATAAAATGCCAAAAAGATTATCCAAACCGAAAATAAAATCGGTTTTATTAAAATTTCGTTATAAAAGAGATAAGATCTAAATTTATTCAGACACCGTTTCGTCGTTTCATACGTTAAGCAAACGTGTTTAATTAACGACTTTTGCAATTATTTACGTGAGCGCGAGTCTCCACAGAGCGGCGGCTGCGGTGAAATAAGATAATTGTTAATATCATTGTTATTATTATTCCGTTCCTCTCTCTCAGATTATTTTATTTTCACGCGTTAATACGCTTTTCCAGACAATTTAATTAAATAAAACCTTTTGAAGATTATCATTATCCAGTTCTAACCTTGACTCTATGGGCGTGTTGTTTATACCTAGAATATTGCACATTGCACAGTTTGCACCACTCGGGTGAATGTTATGGAAAATTAAAATTAATTTGGTATAGATCTCGAACGACTTTATTCCAGAACGTTTATTGGTGTTTACAAAATTATGTTATTCTTTTAGATTCCGAGTGGAGCCTAGTGTAACGAAAAAAAAAAAATCCACCGATTGTGTACTCCCCTTCACCGACGCATTTCCCGCGAATTGCCGTTGCAACATTATTATTAACCCGTTTTTAAGCGCGTACGCCCACCATAAGCATTTTTTGCGCATAATATAATATTCTATAGTATTTTTCGCAGACAAACCCGGGCCAAAAATTAATAAATAACAAATATCGCCAACGTGTTTTGATGGGGAAATATTACACACAACACGGAATGATAATAATTTATTATAATATTATGACGGCGGCAAGTGAGTACACGCGATTTCAATACGATCGACTGGCCATCGCACTGACACAACATTGTAATAAAATAAAAAAATAATTGCGCACCGTTGCATGCGGCACGATATCGGAGTCCGGTGAGCTTTTTCAGCACGTGTCAACGATTTGAATTGTTATTATTGCTATTTCACGGGCAGACGATGTCGTTGCGCCGACAATACTGTCTTTTCCGCGGCGATTCGGTTATTCATTCGCCGTCGCCGCCGTAGTCTCCATTTCCCGACACTCACTTATTCACACGGGTCGCTGACATTGAAGTATACTAATATCTATTGACATTACTAATATATACTAATTGGTATAACAACTGCTGCGCCCAGAATCGTTTTTTCCGTTTGCAGTGGTCCGTCGTTGCATATGGTACATAAACGAAATTACATTTTAATGTATGCTACCTTATTAACGACCCGCGTGACCACGTACAACAGTGGCATAACCATGGGCAGTGTAAACTTTTTCAGAAAAACGCCGATAAAAACGCTGATATTTCATATTCGATTTGTTTTCGAAAATTTCCAACGGGCAGCACGCACATGGTTTGTTTAAAAGACCACCTAGAATAGATTGATGCGTAGATAATAGACATTTACGATAAATCAATACTTCAGTATAGATATAGTGAGTAATATGTTGGTATGGGTAACCGAAGTAAACGGAAGACGAGTATTATTTCGGAAATACAATGTACCAAGAAAAAAAAAACCACACAAATAATAACTCTTCAACGATTAAAAATAAACCAAAATCGAATTCATATTCAATCTTCACGGGACATTATTAATTTATTATTAAAAACCCACTCTGTATAACCACTACTAAAGTTATTACGATTTCATTGTAAATAAATGAAATTATAACGCCGTTACCCTACCGTCGTTGAAGTTCTCCTCGATTATCGTTACAGTCAAAAGTCGTTTACGGCTTACATTTTCCCGTTGTTTTGTATACCTATAGTAAAATGTCATTTAGGACCGTTTTTTTTTTTATTTTTTTCAAAAATTCATATTAAAATAAAAGAATATTAAAACTTTAAAAGCGATTTTTCAAGGCGTGTCGGTGTTATTTTTTTTCGGTATATTACCTACCTACCATAACAAATTAAACGCTATTCACTCTCTTTCTCTATTTATAATTTTATAATATAAAAAAATATGTATTATAGGTATATAATAAGAAATGCATGAAAATAATCATTTTGATAAGGTCGTAGGTAATGGTATTTTATAGTAGGGTCACGATGAGAACGAAATAAATAATCTAAAAATTGAAAACGATTTTGTGTACTTATGACACAGCGAGTATAAAACTATTAGGAAATTAAAATTTAACGTTTGATGAAAATTACAGATAAAATATCCGTTTTTAGTGCATCGAACGAGGAAATGGAAAAAAAAATCTTCTTTAAAAGTACATATACTAACCATCCGTGTTCAATTATTTGTCGATACATTTTCCGGATTTGTTAAAAAGGTTTCCCTAGGGTAATAAACATCCTATAGTACCTGTATTATATAAATAATAGCTTTTTTTCTTTTTCTTCGGGATCTAAAATAGGATAGTTGTTTTCTGGTAGGTAGGCACTTCGTACTATGTTGTACTGTTGATATTCAATGTTAAGGATTTTTTTCTGCACATTTCGCGAAACGTATTATTATATTTTGTAGGTAGGTATAGAGTATTATTTGATTTGAATTATTCGCCAACGACGTGAGGATAATGATAACATAAAGTTTTGTCGAAATATTGTTTAAGAATTTATTATACTTTCAAAATATTCGCGAAAACAGACTGGAAAATGTGATAACCGTGTAATATACAAAGGTGTCTATAATATTTTTCATTGAATATTTATGTAAGAAAAAACTTGGCTGTTCAGTATAGTCTATGTAGTCTTGGCGAAGAAAGTTTTTGGTGAAAAACTATTCGCTATAGCATAATAATATATTTAAAATTGTTCGAGTCCTCAAAGCAGTGGTGCCGAAATATTCTTTTGTATGTGTGGCAATAAACATTAATTCATTCCCACCTACCTTTACACGGTATTAAGCGTATTTCGTGAGGGGCGTAGCCCCCACACCAACTACCAAATTCCGAAAATATAAAATATTATTTTTACAATTATAATGTTATTTACTGAATAATGTATACATATCTGAATTATTTAATATTTTAATGCACGAATACTTAAATTTATGTACATAGGTACTTACATTTTAATTAGCATGGAAATTATTGACATTTGACAGGAATATGCTTTTACTATTTATTTATTTTAGGTTCTGAGCATAGCGAGGAACCTAATGGTTTTAGAGTTTAACTACGATGTGTGTTTTTGTATTATTATTGTTATTGTTTCTTTTGTGTGCCTGTAAACAACTTTTCTACTGAAAATCTTGATCCGATGTGTAGGGTATAACATTTTGTCTGAAAGGTGATTTTGTCTAATAAGTAAATTAAAGACGTACATTTTTAAATTTTCTTAGGGGTTTTTGAAATAATTTGGAAAAACCCGACAGACCTAAATTATAGGTAAAACGGAAAATATTGACACTGCGCCACGGCGTTATCGATTTCATTATTTCAAATTTGTATACAGTATATTTTCTACCAGAAAAATTGTTCCAATAGAAAAATTACAAGTGACATTTTTTGTTTAATTCTTGATTAGGTTGGTGAATTAGATAGTTTTTTCATTTTCCGTGTAGTTATTTTAATAAGTGAGCAAAACAAAAAAAAAAAAAAAAAACATAGAAAGAAGGAGACAATCTACGGAAATAATGCTTTTATTATTTTCAATTTCCTTTTTTTTGTTGTGATTCAGTTAGGAATATTCGTAGCAACTTGAAGTTTGGACAAAGAACGTATATTTACTTAATCTAAAAGTAGTAACATATCAAAACATTTTTCTTAGAGCTATTTATAAATGTTATAATTTTGGTAATATTTTACGTAATAATTTGGTATACGTACTCTTTTGATACAATTGTTAGACCAAACAGAAATGCTTGAAAATTTGACAATAGGTCTAATTTAAGTTATACTCGGTGGTTAAAAATAAATAAAGTGTAATGTAGTATATTTGTTTTTATAAGTTTTAAAATCATATTTTTACGAAAATCGTAAATATCACCTACGGTCTTTCGAAACATGTATAACCGTACTCTGCTTAGAATCGTTTTTGGTTAGCAATAATTAATTATTACGCACAGACATACATTAAATTTCCTTTTTATATCCCATCTTTCCAACTTCTTACCTACTTCAATGGCCCACACATCTTGCGAAGTATATCCGTCTTTTTCAATATGAAATATATACGTTCAATGTTCATTGTTTTTCGTTTGATTAGCATAATATTTGTATCTTCTGAATGCATATAAAATCATATTATTCTTTTGCTACAAAAATGTATAATCTCGGATATAACCGAAATTAGTTAAATAATAACAATACTATTGTGTATATGTTTTCATTCTGTATAGTCTGCTTACAATACCGTGAACTAGCTGTAGCCGCTGTTGTAGATTTAGAAATGTATTACATACTATTGGTTATTTATCGATAAACCATTAATTAAATAGTTATAGTTATAGTTATTTGCTTTGCTAATGCAGTCACACAGTACACGTCATGTTACGTTATTTGTAATATTATGTCTACGGTTCCTTACATTAATTGTAAAATGTGTAATGTTTTATACTAAACTACCCGTGATAGGTGGTATACCCACCCCTTAAATTAGGTGTGGCAGCCGCCACACTTAATATATACGTTCGGCGCCACTGTCCCAAAGTATGTATTTTAGCTCGTCACGTTATACCGAACCGTTATTTAATTCGGTTAAAGGACTTCGCACTAACATTTGTTTCTCTGTCTGTCTCGCACGTAATATAACAATGAAGGTATTTGTTTAACGTTTATGAGGACGTCTTTTAGAAAATTAGAAACAAATTAACAACGCTCTTTTCTCAATTCTATTTTATTCGAACCCAACATTTTGGCTTTTTTTCGTTTATTTTTAACAGTATATTGGAATAGTGTTTTCTTTTTCAAACAACATAGGTACATAAAATATGTATTTTTATCAGAAATTCTTAAGTTGGTTGAAAATATGGTTTTTAAATAGATATTTAAATGTTTAAATGACATGCTGTTCAAAATAAGAAGATTATATTGCGTATGCACATACTGAAAAAGTTAAACATTTTAAATTTAGTCTTATGTATTTAGGTACCCCTATCACATTCCAAAAACAGAATTCAAGTCCAAGTAAATATCTAGTGTTACTTAAGAAACGTCAACACACTCTATATAAGTACCTCCAAATATATTATATTGTGTTTTTGTATTTTTCAAAGAAAAACGGGCGTTGAAATCATGTATAGGAAAGAGAAGTGTAGTCGCTTGCAGACGTGAAAACACTCAAAAGTGGATTCAAACCCATTTTCGAGTATACGGAGTAACTGCAATGGATCATCGGAACTTTTGCGTTCAATTCACGAAGGGCAAATAAAAAAAGTCAACATGCTCTTTTAAATTAAAAATAACTACGAAAAATGTTCGATCCTACTGGTTATTTGTTTATACCAGACAGAGCAGTAAACCGTCAATAAACATGAACTAAAACGTACTAAAATATCACATTGACCCAATAACAAGATTATAATATATTATTAATTAGTTTTGTGAACTCGACTTTTTTGTAGAAAAATAGTACGCAAATTGTTGTGATTTTCACGTTTTTCGTTAAAATTGGGATATTAAATACTTTTCAAAAATATTGCTCTCAATTTTCTTTTCCTATTTTTTTGACCACCAGTTGTATAATGATGATTCTCGTGTAAAATTTTTAAGGATTCTTTCTTGACTAAAACAATTTTATCTACATAAAACAAAAAAAAAGAAACAAAAATAAAAAATAAAACAAAAATTTCCAATGGCTATAAATACCTCAAAAATTGCCAGAATAATTTGAAAATTTACCACATCACAAAAAACTAATATAAGTATTCGGTATAAATGTTAGAACTTTTACTGAATTTCAACAAAACCCATTATTGTGTAATTATTATTCCTCTTTCTTTACTTTGTTTCCATATTATTAAAAAACAACTGTGAACAACAGAGCTCTACCACTAAAGCCGAATTCCCCCCTCCCTCCCTATGTTTTATAATATCAATCGTAATAATAAATAACCGAATACTATAATATTATTAAAGTAATAATACAAAAACTAAATTTCTACTAAAAAAAAAAAAAAATTGTAATATTTGATTATAAAAATGGTAGGAGTAAGAGTTAAAATGTTGAAGGACCAAAGTGGCACATCATTGATATTAATGTTATGCGTACATAATTTCACCACCTTTGCTTCATTAGGGGTGTTTTCATGTATAAAAATACAGCTTCCTGCAATGGCACATTAAAATTATTCATATTTATATTCAACTCAACTTTAATTACATCAATCCACCTACAGAACCACTCAAATTGCCAAGTTTGAGTTTTCCATTCGATTCAGAGGGAACCGGTAGAATTGTTGAAAAATACCGAGAAATATTTGTATACGATTGGTACAAGACAGTACAATAGTTTCTACTGAAATTCGGGAGGAAATTTTACGAAAACTAAACACAAAAAAAATCATTTTATTAAAAACCTTATCTATCTATCAGTTGTATTTGGAGCAATATTTTGATAGGTAAATTGTTTACAAACAGAACAAAACCACACATCATTGTATAACCAGTTAAGTACTTGCTACATTCTGAATATAAAAATAAATATCATCACCTGACCGATTAAATGTCGTGGGTTTACTGCGTCTATTTCTTATCACGGAGGTCGTTCGAAACTCCTCGGTAGATGAATGACGGAGTGGGGGAAGGGAGAAGAGGGCAACAGACCGTTTAATGTTCTGTGGGAAAATCACGGGAACGCCACCGGGGAAGACGAAGGCCGGCATAAGTCGCCGTATCCTCCCCTCGTATTGAAAACCATGTACCCTTTTCGCCCGAAATTGACAATGTCCACTCTCTCCTCGACTTGGTAAACAATACGTTCGGCCATAGACGACCTTTTAACAAGGTTTATTTACCCTATCGTCTGTCACTAATAAAAGGTCGGCTTATCAGTAATATAATTTTATGTAAAGTAATTGTTGTTAGTTTGGTTTCCGAACCGGAAAAGCTGTAACAAACAAACATCGCAATAGAGGGTAAAATATCAAGTGACAAACCGAAAAAAAATGTATTGTTATGTTTAAAAAAAAAAATCATCTTCACTGTTGATTTAACTTTTTTAGCTCATTTTTTTTCCCTATCCTCATATATTGTTACTTTTTAGGCAGTAAAAAGACACCATCATAAGCTTCTTTTAATTATTCGTCATTATTTTAATATTTATTTATAATGTCTCTGTTTGCATTTAAATTATTCATAATATTCTATATTATATAACTATACACAAGCACACGGCTAAGAACCTAAGGTACGACAATTAGTATTACATGTCATCATTTATTTTTCGTATTAACTTTTTAGCTACGCACATATGAATGTGAGACGTCGTTAACGCACGAAACTCGGTTCCAATATACTGCGGTATTTTTTATATTACACTCGAACCGCAAAGGCAATAATCATAATATATTCGTTTTATTCGATCTAATTTGAATAATTTGATGGCAATTCTTTTCATTCCGACTGTGTGAAACTCCTAAAAATTGAGTCTCCTAATATTATTTGTAAACTAAAAGCTCAGAAACTGACAGTAGAATAACTGTATTGTTATTATTGTGTATCACTAAAAAATAACTCGCATTTTTACATATCTAATAAAGTTAAAAAGAAAAGAAACATAATTTTTAAATTCTGAGTGTAACGAAAAAGCTTTAATTTCTAAGTTTTTCTTTTGTTGAGTAAAAATACCTCAAATGGTTCAAATCGTATCTTTAATATCGAACATTTCTCAACCACTGCAGTGGTCCTTTATTCAAACATTTTTTTTTATATTCCCAATTGTGTTTTATAAAAAATTAAAAAACTTGAAAACTAATGTAATTATATTGGTTGTATTTTTGTTAATTTAAAAGTTATCTTATTAGTTTAGTAACGCTCCGCTCAGTATCGTTTTTTGATTACAATGATTTATTATTCTTTTCAATACATAAACAATGAACTAAATTACATTTTACGTCATATACTTGCCAAAACCTGTCATCTAAGACAATTGTTATGATGAGTGTTTGATATAAAGTGCCATTAGACCGAAAATCCGCATCTTATAAGGTACGACGTGACGAAATTGGAGCATTTTTACTAAATGAAAAAACGTTTTCCAAGAAAAAAAATGTATGCATCATTATAAAGCTATAATAACTTCTTCGCTATACTCAAAATCGAAAAGTGATTATTTTACATTTTGATTCCGACAAATAATTTCAGTGTGTCGATAACAACGTGTTGTACCTACCGGGATTTTAATAACAGCTTGAGAACGCGGATTTTATTTTTCTCTTTTTATGGTCTCCCTCCATGTCTTGCGTAAGCGTTACGAGTTTTTTTTTCATCGCAACGCGATCTTTTGTGTTATAACCGAACGCGCGGAAAATAAAAACAGGTAATTATTTTGTCGGGCGAACAAATACCGAAATGCATTCTGACGAATTATATCCGATCGATAATCTCATTTTATTTTATTGCTAGGCGTATTAGCTTTTTATAAAGTTCAATTATTTTAAAAGTATACTCCCATTCCGAGCGTCCGTGCCGTTTGGATTCGTAAAGGGTTTTAGACTATTACTTTTTGATAATATAATAATATAGTATGCTAAAAGTGAGAACATATTCGTTTGATGGAGTTTTATTTTTCGTTAATTTCGACAATTTTACAGTTTATCAGGAATACAATTGTGCATTGCGGTTAAGTAATTTTTATGTTTACATCAATTTAATGGCACCTAAATGTATACCATCGGGAGATTTGAAACGATTTGTGTCTATTTGATTACGGGCGGTCATTGTTTTTACAGTGTATCAATTTTGTTTAAAACAGTTTCTCACAAACCACGATGGTTGGTGAGAAACCATTCCATTTTCGGTTTCTTTCCACGTTGATAGATTTAAGCAGTCTCGTTGATCCGATAGTTGTATCTTTTAATACGCTATTTTATAGCTGTAAAATAACGGCCAAGATTGCGGCCGAACGAGTCTTATACATTTTTATATTTTATTTGCAATGTCAAACCGGAGTTCATCGATTCATCGTCAGTCAAATATTTTATACTTAATATTTGTTTGAGTGAATTGGCGAACCGAGTAATCTATACGGATTTAATACTATTCTTTTGTAATTTTTTTTTGAAAGCGACCGTAGACGCGTAGACATTTTTAGAGTCTGAAGGGAGCGAAGAATTTATTGGTTTTATAATGCTGTTAATTTTTTATAGTGTGTACCAAAGTAATTCTACCAGAAATCTAGACCCGAAGTATCAAATATAACACCTTTTCTAAAAGAGAATTTTCCCGGGGTGGTACTTTAAAGAAGTAATTTTTTATTTTCCCAGCAGTTTTCCCAATAAATGGGAAAAAGTAGGAAAAAACGTAGGAAAAATGGGGAAATTTATGAAAATAATACTTTTATTATTTTCAATTTTGTTTCTTTGCTATAATTCAGTTCAAAATATTTGTAGATACTTGAAATCTTGACGGAAACCTTATATGCATTTAACATTTTCTTTAATAATATTTCTTTATTATTGTATTTATTTTTCCGTTTTACTCACGTTTTTCCCGGTTTTTCCCATTTATTGTGAAAATTCCCGGGAAAATTGAAAAATGTCCTCTTTAAAGTTCCTCCCTAATCAAATTTCTTAATTGAAAAATTTCTTTTATTGTAAATAGAAGCAAAGTTGCTAGTAGAATATGTGTTCACAAATAACAAAAAATTTTTTTAAAAATAAACATCATTGTAAAATCAATATTATGTTACTCGCTCCACTCAGAATCTGAAAATCGAAATGTATATTAATGAGATTCATTTTTGAATACTATATAATTCGTAGAATATCATTATTATTGACCCGATTTTCGTTTTCAAAATGTGGCTTTATAAATAAATAAAAACACGGTAAAAAGTTAATTAATTTACTGTAATACAAAGTTTTTTTTTTTTATTCAAGTACCTTTTTATTAATAATTAAAGTCAAAACGTAAAATATAAATTTATTTACGGATGAATTAACCTATAGGTAGGTGGGTAATAATTAATATTCAAATAATTTCGTTTAATTAATTTTTTAGCTTTAAAAACGTATTTATTAAAATCATTGTACGCATAAACAATATCAGAATAGGTAGCGTATAAAATTAAAAATAAAACCAGCTGAAAGAACAATGTATTATAATATAAGTGATCTCGTTAGAAAATAATAATTATAACGAAAAATAAAAATGGCGCAATTAATTGCGCGGGTGAAATAAAAAAAACGACTAGTTATTTAGGTAGGTACCTAATTAATATTATATTATATTTCTTTTAGAAAAAAAAAATAATAAATAAAAAAATAAACGGCATTTTGCAAAAATAATAATTACCTATACAGCCGTATTTTAACGCTTATGTTTGATTCACCACAGTATCGGACTAAAATGTACAAAACCGCTTACAATAAACGATCGTCTGCACCGGAATCATTCATCATGCCCTAGCCAACAGTTTATTGATGAGCAGATACCGCAACTCATTCCGCGGCTCCCTATCCATAGATAGTAAAGAAATGGACGGGCCAATCCTATTGTACCCGAACCGCGATTACAATGAACTAAAGAAATTCTCAGAGAGCCGTTGTTCGAATATGATAAGGATAAATAATGACGGACCGAAAGCGTAATTCCTATACTTGTACAATTTTAAAATATTTAAATCTGTAATATTTGATTACTAAATACTGCTATATTTAATTGTAATGTTGCTTCGTCAGGAGCCAAGGACAACTGACGAATCGGACGGAGGAAATTAATTGAAAATAAATCCCGATTCGCTATGCAAAACCACGTTCGTCGTTCAAGTAGTATTTTATTTCGCGGGGCACTGTGTTTAATGTATTAATATGCGACCGGGCCGTATTTCCGTATTTTTCTAATCGTTTTTCAAACGAATGCCGTTCATCGGTTCATCTCATCTGTGACGGAAGAGTTACAAACACGGTTAAACAATATTTTGCAATGGTTTCCGGAATCATGGTTTTCGACAAACAAAGTTGAAGAAATTTAAAACAACGAAACGTTAAACGTCACCGGAAATATTTAACGGTTTTCTTATACGTTATTTCCAGGATTTTCATTCAATAGACGAAAACGACTTGGGAAATTGAAACGAAAAACCACCTCAACGCTATACTAAATTTAAAACGGTAAAAAAAAAAGGCCTCTTGTTATTTTTTGAATGGATCTAGATTTCCGGTGAAAAATTACGCGCAGAAAGAAAAAAAAAAATTAAAAAAAAAACTGAAAACACGTTCGAACGGGAAACGATTCAAAGATAACATCGTAATTGCATTATATTATTTATATATCATAATACAATGAATATTGAAGTACAAATCGCGAAAGTGTATGGACGGTTTTTAAAAACTTTGCAATCGCGTACAATAAACCGCGATAGAATAATAATAATAATAATAATAAAAACAATTCTGCAAACCTCTGAAAAGCGTTTAAACGACAAAGTGTAGATGTGCAGAATATATTGTTGCCAGGCGACGACGTATTTATTAAACACGCGCCCATCATAATTTTACACGTTTATAAAAAGTTTACGTATGAAATTTTTATTGCTTGAAATATGATATTTATATCGAACCGAATAAAATATACATTTAAACTTTGATCCGGTTTACTGCTACGACAATAATAACAACAATAATAATAATAATAGTAAAAACGTCCGAACAATTTTTTTATACAGCCCGCAATGGCCGCACACGCCGCTCTCCTTGGTCGGCGGGAATTACGCGGGGTTAAAATACGATATCCGATATAATAATAACAGACGTCGTTGTAAAACCAACACATTCCCCGATCCGCTCGGAGTTTTAAAAAAACTATGTTGACGCGCGCAAACGGTATACGTAAAACAAATGTCATTGATGTTATTTCGATTTTTGTATCGTACGGCGTTTGTGAACACCACCGTTCGGCGAGAGACGGTTTTTCCGGCGAACGTCTTGCGACTGTTCGGCATTCGGAATCGAGCGGGTCCTTTTTTTTTTATTCTACGCGCGTGCGACACGACGCGAATCGGCCCCGGCGACAATAGCGTACGCATGTTGCCTATAGACGCTCTTGGGGGTGGGGGGGGGCTTAACCGAATTTCAATGTCGCGCGCTCGAGAAGTTCCAAAATGGGGACAACGTTCGCGTTTCCGACAATAATTGTACACGGTACTTGGCGCCGGTACGTGTCCGTACGGCACGGTGTAATACTAAAGTAATAATAAAGAAAATACGCCCGCCACTCGACGGTAATAATACAACACCCGGTCGGCACGCGAAAGGACAGTCTACGAGAAACGCGTCACGACGGGTTTGTCCGAACCGCTGTGGTGTTCCGCGTCAACGCACACCGGGACCCGGTCGAAAAAACCGCCGCGGACGCCGACTGTAACGATAATACGGACGGAACCGGGAGGCGGGGAATTTTTCGCAAAAGCATTTCTTTGCGATTTTTTTTTTTTTCATTTTTCGCGGTCAGTTTCCCGCGACGCGCCGCGTGAAACGTTTTCCGTGAAACACATGGCGGGACGCCGCGTCAGACGCTCAATCGGGTCGGAGCCGGTCCGCGCTAATACGTTTGGCGAGAACAATATTACGACGGGCGGTAGACGGCGGTAGCGCGCCGCGTCCGGCGACTTTGCGCGTGGCCGCGACTCTCCGGAATGGCGGCAATTACAGTTTCGAGGAACAATCAATGTCAACTGACAATAATATTAATTAAATCCAAACTTCTCGAAGACTCGACCTTTGCCCCACCGTGTTATTAAACGCCGTCGCCGGTGCTCTTTCGATCAGCGCGGATTTTTTAATTTTAATTTTAAATTTTTTTTTTTTTTTTTTCTAAGTAGAACGGCAAAAAAGGAATGTTTAATGATATCAACATTATTACGTATATTTACCGGTAGAAAGGCGGTCGCTGCCCGCGCCAGGCATCTCGGGACTCGGGCAAATTAATTACGTACCCAACTGACGTCCGTGATGGGGAAAAATTAATAAATGCCAACGTCAGCGCTAAAACGAAACGCGCGTACGTAGGTAATATTCATATTATAATATACAAATATATTAATAAGATACGCGAAGCACTCGCCCCGACCGCCCCTCTCCCGTAATTAAAAAAAACACAGCGCGACTTTGCAAAATAATTCTATTCAACCGTATTCCGATTATTGTTAAACAATTTCGGCGATCCGATGGAAAGCGTTGCGAAATTTGTTAAACGTTAAGTTTATATTGTAGCGATAAGTATAATACGTGTCCGTCACTACGATTCGTATGAAACAAAAACCAAAAAAAAAAAAAAAACAAAAAAAGGAACCCGACATTGATTTTCGGACGCGAGCATTAACCGTGTAAAAACTACTAGGTCGATATTTAGAATTTTTGTTTTACACATATCCTTACGGTACCGCGGTGTTTATAGGCATCAACAATAAAATATAAACAGTTGTTGGTTTGAAACGCGCCGCCGTAACACATCATCACGCACATGGCGACCCGAAAAAAACGCTTCGCGAGACAATCCCCGGGTCCCACTATAATGTTATGAGCAATATATTGTTCACCGAAATTATCCGCAACTAAACAATTGTAATTAAAATAATATTAGAAGTGTTTAGGTACTCGCGGGCCGATTAAAAACGAACAGCGGTCGTGTACCCGTGTACCACAAAGTGAATTATAACGCTTCAAAAACCTTTCGGGTCGAAAGGGCAAAAGATGAATAGTTTTAAACTTCTTTTTTTTTTTTTTTCTTTTTTTTGTTCCCGTTCGACTATTTTCACTTGATAATAATATTCGGAAACGGTCGCGATATTATGCGCGCACGTATTATTATTATTATTTTTATTATTATCATCGCTGTCGTCGTCGTCGTCGTCAAATAGTGCGTGACGCGTACCGGAGTGTAAATATTCAATTTCCCGCCCGTCGTCGCTTTGTCGTCACGTCGTTGGCTTTAAACGATTGTTTTAAAAGGACGCGTGGCGCAATATTCAATAATAAACGATAATAAACGATAATAATAATAATAATAGTACACAATAATATTCTGATTATACGGTCCGGAAACACGACGGACCGCGGTACAAAAGAACGGTGGCCATGATTACTGTGGGTTGGGTCGCCGCGCGCGTCCGGCAGACAGGTGAGCCCGCCGACCGATCGTCCGGGACGCAGAACCCCCTCGTACACGGCCGCGGTCGCGCGGTTCGGTTGGCTATAACGCCAACGCGGTACGTACCTCGATATTTTCTTTTTTTTCTTCTTCTTCATTTATACGCCAAGGGTCGGTTCGGAATCCAATTCGCTGGAAACTGTTTAAATATAACGAAACGGTTGTTTTGTTATTACGTTACGGTAAAAACGTGTTGATACTTGCCCATCTATGTGTTTATCATTCAACAAACGCGACGCGCACAATGTTCTAATACGTATTGTAGTGCGTACTGTAGTGTATTACGCGGTTAGCGGGATTCGCGGTTACTGTTTCGCGATAAACACAACTCGTGCGTTGACAGTGACAAGGCGTTTTATCTGTTATTCCGTGATGTTATTTGGCGAATAATAATTGTCCGATTATTACGCGCGTTACATACGTATTTTTGCACTTGTATCATACGCGACCAACAGTGAAACTTACTCATACGGGCACCCGTTGTAGCCACTTTATATGTTGTGAAGTGTTGTCAATATTTGAAAATTATTAGTTATATACCTAACAATTCACAATATATATACTTAATATAAATTATGATGACAAAACGGTTTCTCGGAAAAAAAAAAAAAAAAACCCCACCTGTATCTAACTGACTATGTATAGAGCCTATATAACGTAAAGTTATACATCATATTAAGATTATGGTTAATATGGTTAATGGTGTGTGCAAATCTGAGTGAAATATGGACCGTAAATGATTATCTAGCACCGTGAGCATCAGGAGCCCGCCATATGTTTAAATCTAGTGATGCAATATCAAAAAATGTTGAACCACTGGTTAATTCAATAGTAAATTAACCTGAATGGGCAACTCTTCTAGTGTACAAACTAGGCTCAGTAGTGGATCCAGAATTTAAATTTTTTAAAGCAAGGGCACATTATTTATATTTTCACCATATAAATTATAAATCATAAAAATCAATATAAAATATATACGTAAAAAACTGTAGTTCATTGACAGGGGGACGCGTGCCCCTAGGCTCCACCATTGGATCCACCTTTGACTAGACAATCAGGGACGTTGTTTACTTTCATTTACATTTTAATAACACTAAAATATCAACTATATAACAAAATGCACTTGTTGTAAAGACCGACGGTGATTATAAACACGTAGAATGGCCTAAGAACTGATGTTGAAGAAATCAAGAGGGCGTTACAATACCCGATGACCTTTTTTTTTGTAAACCGGTTCTCCCTTAAATTCTTGCATACTATACAAAAAAAAAAAAAAAAATTGACTCCATTATTATGGTCACTGATATATAGAGATACAAGTTTCTTGGAAGAAATCGATTTAAAAAAATAAATAGTTTTTTTGCGCTCCTCACGCCCGATAGATAGGCTTCAGCATTTTTAGTCTATTGGTTAACCAGGCCCTGATAATGGCGTAATATACCTACAAGAGGCTGTGATTTTTTTTTCATGTGTTCACAGTTTTCCAATGCACACCCACCAAAATCACCGCATAGAATTGCTTTTGAGCCTTTGGTACTCCGAGATTTCAAACAGTTCAAACTTGTCAAATACAATTTCAGCATTCATGTACGTAAAAAATGCATTTTTGTCTTATATTATTTCTCTTCTGATTTAAAGCTATACGCACATGACGTATATATTGAATTATACGTGATCTATTAAAAGTTGGTTGAGTATGGCTTACGTTAATTTTTAAACTGTGAATATGTAAGACATATTATTTTAAAATAAATACGAGAACATGGAACAATAATATATAAAATATACTTAATCTAAATTACATTCAACCGTCATTTACAATTGAATATTTATAAACATTTACAAAAAATAAAAACAGTTATTTATCAAATCGAAACTATTTAAATTCAATTTCAAATAAATTTGTGTGTAGACCCGTAAACTCAGCCACAATTATACGTTGTGCAATCATGGAATAAATCTAGGAAAGAAATTCTGAAAAAGAAAAAAAAGAATTCTGTTGTACTCTGGTACATGGTTTTATTTATTATTTATCGTATCACTGTAGAGAACCAAAATAAAATTGACTTACAACTATAGTAAATTAAGAAAATAATTTAAAAAATGCATACTAGAATTCTAATGTTTTAAATAATAAAAGAATAAAAAAAATAATATCAACGGCACGTAGTAGTATTTCCAAGTGGCAACCATCTAAGAACTAACTGCGCCCGACGTTGCTTAACTCCAGCGATCGGACGACAACTGGTGTATTCACTGTGATATGGTTGATATGTGGCGAAGAATTTTGATGAATAAGTACTAAGTAAAAGAATATAGGCAGAGCAGTCTATTACTGTGTCGATAATGTCGATAAATCGAAATTGTCTATTGATCCGAATTATCGGTTATTTTAAGACCCGTTTCAATATCTTGCCATAGGTACTTACTTCAATCGTTTTAAAATAAAAAACCGCTGTCAAGATTCAGGCATTAATCAATTAAATTACTTAATAAACACAAAACATGAATTATAAGAAAATATACGATTTGCATATTATAAAATATGGCATTCACGCCTTTATAATTAATTTCAAACATGCTTAATATTATTGCATACTATTAATGGCACACGCTAATAGTTCGTTGGTTAATCCACATTTATCTCATAATATACGGTAGTTTCCCTAAATGGTTATTTAAAATTGTATAAAGTACCCCGTACGCGACCTACGCCCTCTATCATTGAATAAACTTGCCTATAATGCGTATAATATACAAAACGGTCAAAACGTGTACAAAGCATAATAACCGTGATATAGAGTGCAGCACTTTGTTAAATACTTTGTTTTTAAACTTCGATCATTTTTAACTAAAAACAAAATGCCAAAAAGACTAACGGAACGTAAAAGCGGACAGACTAAAATTGAGTTTGCTGTTCAACTGTGTAGGTAAGCAGATAGACTGTTGGACCTGTAAAATATGAGATCGTCGGTTAATCGATAGATAAAATTCGAACTACAGGTTTTTGGTTTATAATACGTTGTATATGAGGTGCCCGCAATTAATTTTATAACCGACTAAGCAAATTAAACAGAACATATTGTATTTAAAATGTAAAAACGCCAGAAAAAAAACCCAGAAAGAATGGACAATTTTTATACCAGAAGACTTGCTCCGATATTTACGTGCAGCATCTTTTCCGAAAGGAAATTGGTCTTGGGAGGTACTTTAAAGAGGTCGTTTTTCGATTTTCTCCGGAGTTTTCTCGGCAAACGTGAAAAACTGGGAATAATCGGTACAACATTAAACAAATATTATTAAAGAATATACATATATATATATATATATATATTGTTGAAAAAGCATCACTATCAACTGGATTCCGTTCAGAATCGTTTTCCCGTAAGCAATGGTTTATCGTCGCTCGCGGGTATACGCACAATCACCTATAACGGTGGCTGCGCCCGTCCCCGTTGTCCTGGGACGTTTTTCGTAATAACGAATATCGTAATATTATGCATTATTCGTTATTATTTTATCGGTTCAACGGGAAATCTCGCGGGCGCGAAATCGAAAAAAACAAAACACTCGCCACGTATGTGTACTCGATACGATCATACACCGTTTCATATGAAATACATTTGATACTTTTATCGCGGTCGGTAAATCCGCGAATACCTAGGTAGTGTGTTTCCGACGGCGACGGTAATATCGTGTTACGCGCGTTGTTTTATTTCGCTTAATGCGGCCGTACGCCCCGGTCGCGTTACGGTGTACTCTCTGTCGGCGTTTACTTCGTCCGCGGTCGCAAAATCGATACGGAACGTATGGAGTGTACGTATGTTTAAACACGGCAGTCGCGGTACCGGATATTTACAATACACATTCAACGGCCGAAAGGGAAATTCGCGTTTCTACACGGCGGGAAAATTGCAATTCCGCAGGAACCGTTAAAAAACGACAACTCGCGCTGTGCGCCGGGCTCGCGCCGACGACCGGACGCCAGACGACGGTTGTTGTTGTTGTTGTTGTTGTTCCGCTTTTACCCGAATATCATACCCGTGTGGGTGCGCGCGCGTTTCGAGCCCGAGCAAAACGAACGGCCGCGCGTTTTAAATCCGCCGCCAATAAATCAGATAGACCGCCTTTAGATACCGTGTTATTATGTAAGCAGGTATATTGTGTTTTTTTTTTCTCTTTCGCTTTCTAAAGGATACACGCAGTTCATGAATGGTTCGGGCCAAATAAAACGTAAAGCCGGAAAATATATCGTTTTATTTTTCTATTTTCCGCGGAGGTAACGCGCAGATCACCCTCCGTATTTTATCCACCGACTGCTATGGATCCGCGTGCGTCATCGTGATAATAATAAACCTTCACATACCGGCCGGCCTCGATTTTTTTTTTTTTTTCGTTAAATACAGAGTGTCCTACAGTGTTATATGAACGTTATATAACTCTATCATTATTTATTATTTTTCTTTTTTTTTTCTTTTTTTTTTTTCAATCGAATAACGCGTTACGCGATAAAGAATCACAATTTGTACGGCAACTCCTTATTTTTTTTTTTTATTGACAATTAATCGGTTTCGCGCCAATTTGCTAGAAATAATAACGGCTGTTACCCGGTCGCCGATTGATTAGATATAAATGCACGGTACATTCAAATTTTTAAAATGATACATTTTTTACAAAACGGCTATTTCGAAAAGTGAAAAACAAAGTTATTTTTTGTCAGTGATTACGTGACGGAAATAATGATGACTTTTCCCTGCATATGTGTCCTACTGGCCCAAAACCCGATTGAAAAAATGAAAAAAAAAATAATAATATAAAATAACGATCATAGGTTAACATCATTAGTTACATAACGTTTATATAACATTTTAGGACAGCCTGTATATATATATATATTTCTTAAATGGGGTTGGTAATGGTGTACATTTTAGAAATATAAGCCGGAGAAAATCGCAGGAATTGCGTTTGGTAGGATTAAATTTTGAAAACGGATTATATGATTCTCTAGACGCTCTCTAGGAGAATATGTTGGAAGTAGATAATTGAGTAATTATTTCGCTGGAAATCCTAAACAAATTTTATTGTATTTTCGAACACTTTTCAAAGGTGCAATTAACAAATTTTGCTTTTACTCATGATAAATATAATTAAAATTCAAAAAATAATTTCTACGTATCCTATGGTAATAAACCTAAAGAATCATTAAAATATTCAATGAGAACCTGTCGAACAATACAACACTATAGTTTTATTCGGCTTTTCGGTATACAACGACATATTTGTCTTCCGCTACTTCTTAAATGGGTATCGGGCGGTAAATCAGTGGAAAAGCCTTATCATTTTATAAACTAAATAAACCAATGTGGAATACTTTTTCTCGTTAACGACCACATCGGAACCTCTTTTAGTACTCTATCATAATAAGCTTTCTTCAAATCTGTAAAATGCATACAACATAGATTTTTTTTAATCTGCATACACTTTTCGACAATCTATCTTACACAAAACATTGGTTTTGATTTTGGTTTGAACGGTTTTGAATTTTCATTGTATGAAACTAAACTTGTTCTTAGGTATTGATGTTTTACTTCTATTTGTTTTAATATATGACGTATACATTTTTCACCTCTATATTATGGAGTCTGCAATTTTCTCACTCTTGTACGAAGAATGTAAAATAATAAGAAGAAAAGTTACTTTTTGCGAAATATTTGTTATTACATTTAATTTATCAAGGATGATTTGATTATTTATACTGCAGAGACTTCACAGAATAATATACGAATGAATAGTATTTACACGTGGTTTTAATTTAATTGGATTAATTCCACCAATAGTCCAAATAAAAATAAAATAAAATAAATACTTATTTGATGCCGAAGCTTTTGTTTGTGTACGAACTACTTAACGGCTTGTATTCACATTTTTTTTTGCTCTGCGTTTAATACGCTCTCGTAAATCCGTTACCGATCAAATTCGCACTCATTTTAATTATGAACAAAGTACGATCAAAAACGAACATAATCTAATATAATAAACAACTATACAATATATATATATAGATATTTACCTAATTAAAGTATATCGAAGTCTCAAGTAGTTTTGAATTTATTACGTAAATAATATATATGTTAGACAATTGACGCTTTAAACACTTAATTAAAAAAGTCTATTTCGTTTTCGATACTAAAACAAATGTTCATTTTAATTACGATTCTAGTTAATGGAAAGTATAAACTTCACAATTTTGAATTAAATAAAGAATAAGATTATTATATTTAATCCAAAATAGAAACAAAGTGAACATTTTTCATTAGTTATCTTTATAATATTATAATAATAACGTTTTATTTAGAAATGTTGTTTTAAAATTTTAATGTATTGGGTCACTGCAGCTAAAAACAAAAAAAAAAAAATTAGGTATAGTGGGTCAGGTAACCATTTAAAATTTACGACCGAACCCGGAAAATGTACGTAGACATTTTTCTGGAACTTAGATTATGGTAATGAAAAAAAATAACCAATTATAATAACGGTATATTTCATATTTTTTTTAATCGCTTATAACTCATCGAGGGTCGCATTGTCACCAGTTATGCGGTAGGTAGATAATATTATTTTCCTTAAATAATTGGTTGGCTTAAAAAAATGCCGTGGAAACATTTATAAGTGGGTATACTTAGAATATTATAATTTTTTTTTTTATACCGCTTTGTACCCACTGCGAATATTATAATTATTTATATCAATCATCGTTTATTACGTGATTACGTATAGTGTTGTATGATGCTAATGCGTTTGTATACGTGAATTTTGAATTTAGAAATTGGAGAAAAAGAAACAATTTTTGGTGTTTGATATTCGTGTATAATGAACCTACCATTAGTACCTATATATAAATCGTATTTATATGTATACACGATAATACTTATCCTTTCAGAACATTTTATTCGCGTTATCGACGGCGTAAAATTATTTAGTAGCCTATACACACTGTTCTATACAATTTAGGCACTATACATACAGGTAGCTGTAAGTTTTCCAAACCGTTTCACTTCCCCTAAACTCCTCGCAAGACCATAAAATGTGTACCAGAATCATTTCCCTCGTCCGCCAGAACGATAAACACGGCTGATAAGCGCTACTTATCACGGCGTTTGGACGGATATTAATCGCGATAACGCGCTCAGTAATGTCCACTTATATAAACTACGTGGGTTTATCTACCTACAATACCTACAATAATATTATAATATTGTTACCGAAAACCAATTTAACAGCGAAATCCAAAGCGCTTTTCCCGAACCCAAAACAACAAACGCAGGTATATATGTAAATCTCCCATTAATTATTATATGAGTATTCTTACCCGGTGTAGCCGAACGTACCTATTGCTTTGAAAATGGTCAACTTGTCTTCGGAACGATCCGAAAATCTCCCGATGATCGTGTTACACGAGTAGATAATATTACATTAATATTTTACCGTTTACACGATTTCTCGTTCACTACCTGGTTCAATGAAACATAGATGACAGTTTTTTTTTTATCTCTCCTTTTTTCCCCCACCGAAATGTCATGTATAAAACGAAATATTTTACTATACGTTGTCCGTAGCCAATCCTCAGTGTAGTTATGTAGAAAAGAAAATGTTGCTCAGCGGGGATTCAGTTTATTCAACTGAAATTCGTATCATAATATTGTTGCAACTATAGAATATATTACAATATATTTTACGACAGAAACTGCTTGAATACACTTATGAGAGATTAACTGTACTCCCAAGAGTAACGGGCATTCGAACGGACTAATGAGTTTCGTTGGGTAGTGGTTAAATAACCTGGGGTTACCCACCCGACGGCGACTAAACCCGTAAGTAGACGGTATATGAATTGGGTAGTGGTTGGTGGGATCACGTTCTGATACGTTGATACGTATCCGGGGCTTGCCCTGATCCCTCTAGGTCTTTTGAATAGCTACCTTTATCTAATATAAGGTACCAAGTTATACCGGTGCCGTAGGCATGGATTAAAAATCGGGTCCCAAGAACTATGAACTCCCAAGAAGTATGGGGTGCGAATGGGTTGTGGTGTATCTTGGGTGTATTTTTGTATGATAAATTGTTTGGATAATATATGCATAGATTTATACATATTTTATAATAAGTCTGTGAGTATGCGTCAACCCAAGTATGTGGATAATATTATACTAATCCATGGCTAAACAAACGGCATGTCAGCAAAATTGTTTTGTACATAAAGTATGTCCCAGACATGAAATATAATATGTTATTATAAACATAAAACTGATTGGACACTAGTTATATTGTCCAATATGAATAAAGATAATTCATAAACGACTCTATCTAAAATCATATAAATACTTAAAATGTAAATACTAAATGGTAAAATCCAGTAACGTCATGTTTGTGTTATACCTTATAGTACGGACATTGGACGTATTTCGAGTTTACACTCAAGACGTTAACTTCCATAGAGTATCAGTATCAGGTTTGGAATTTGGGACGAGATTTGTATGGTTCAAAGTCGAAATACCCGGATTTCGATTTTCCGGTCGTTTTATTTTAATTTATTATTACCCGGGCAAAAGTGAGTATATTTGAGCGTACACGCGAGTTCACGCCGACGATAGACTTATTGGAAACCGCGCGAAAAACTAAAAAGCGACGGGAAAAAACGTGATCTTACCAATGGACGCGTCGTAAATGTGCAGCGATTCGGACGTCATGAACTGACACACCAGCGACGTTTTGCCCACGCCTGTCGCGCCCAACATGGCTATGCGGAACGGCTGTGTGATGCCTGGACAACTGGCGCAGCTCGACTCCCTGGAAGACGCCAACGACGTGCCGGCACTGGTCCTCGCCGATCCCGGATAGGAGCCTCCTCCTCCGCCGCCACCGACTACACCGCCGCCCACTCCAATCACCGTGCAGTTGGTGGTCGTCAAGTGTTCCGTGCTGTGAAAATATGACGCGGAAATTCGTCAGGTGTTCAACCACACACAATCTTTTTGTTTTGTTTTGTTTTTTTTTTTATTTGATGAAATATGAACATAAATTATTATATCTCGGCAATTGAGTTTACCATAAAACCCACAGATCCGTAAATTTTCAAACCATTTGAGCAACGAAACCGATTAATTATTTAATCAATACTTCATTATTGGAGGAAAGGGCGTCGGAATATGAAGAATTAACGTGAAACGAAGAAAAACTATTTTTCAAATTAAGCCTATTGGAATGGAGAGAAAGGCAAAATATTAACAAGCGGTAAAAATCGCAACATTCACCGCCGCAGTTGGTGAGGGTACAGCGGGATTACCAGTGGCGTTCCTCGACCTCTCCTACGGGGAAGGGGCAAAATATATTTTCACCCGTTCTTAAAGTATAACATTTCTTACAAATTTAAAAAATATAACAATGCACACATATTGTCACATATAATGAATTATACGATCCAAGGGGGAGGGTGAATGCCCTCAATCATACCTAAATGATATAGGTATATTTGGGTAACAGTTTGTTGCCCATGAGTCTAGTGTACATGGCAATTATAGACCGGTTGATTGCCCCTAAGGTAGACTAAGATATTAGGAGTAACTAATCTATATGTAGAGGCGTAGGAGTCAAGAAGATTTTTCCATTGTACAATATCATAATATATTATAGTCTTGTACTTTTCAAATGTATTCAGAATACGTTTTTGAATACTTGTGTGAATTGTAAAAATTCAATAGCTTAGTATACTCTCTTTTAAAAGGATTTAAATATAAATACAAATAACTGTTAAAAATAGTAAAAATGCTTTACAAATACGGTTTTTTTTTTTTTAATATTCGATATATTAAGTATGTTTTGAAAGATGTCTACACTTAACAAATTACAAATGAACGCTTAAACTTATTTATGTACATTTAATTTTTATAGGTTCAAGAATTTCAGAAGTTATATATTAGTAATTAGCTTATTGGATTAACTTTATCTAGATAGATTACATTGCATTAATTTTTATAAGCTAATGAGTTTTGTAAAAGACCGTATTACAAATTTTTAGAACACTTAGAATTCTTAGAATTTTTAAAGACATTTTAAAACAACAATTGCTACAAAAGCAATTTAACATGCAACGTACTATTATGAACAAAGTATTTTAAAATCTGTAATAAAAATATGATAAAAAAAAGTATTTTCAGATTATTCGAAATACATCAGACAAAAAGTTACATACTCGTATATATAAATATATATAATATACCTATATACGAATACTATAGATATATAACCAGAGTTTTGTGTTTTTTAAGTTAATCTGTTGTATGCTGTTTTTTTTCAACTATTTTGGAACTGTTTGAAATTTATTCTGACATTATTTTCAAATAGAGTACAGTTAAAAATTAATAATCGTGTAAAATAAAGTTTAAAATTTTTATAACGATTGAAAAAACAAAAATCAAATTGGCTTAAAATCCTCTGGGAAAATCGTTGATTCGTGTTATACGAATCATCTATACCTCTGTGTTATATTATATTTTTCTAAAATATATGTAAGTACATTGTTATATTCCTCCGATTATAAATCAATTTTCGGTTGTTCTAGAAAATTATGTACTTAATATATCTACACGAAATTTATATGTATAGCCGGTTTACCGATTAAAAAGCATTAGTATTGAACTAATAAAACTTATTTTAAACTTTATGTTGTGAACTTATTGTTTAAATGACGGCTAAGATCAACGAGAATACGACTAGGAAAATTAGAGATGACGCGTGAATAAGTTCTTTACTGTTGTTGTTAATTTTGTGAAACTGTGTTATATTTATACGGAGATTATACGGGATAAAAGATGGAAAGAAAAGTTTGTTAGTTCATTTATTTATTTACCGTGTTTATAAAAAAACGTTAGTATTTTAAAACAGTATTTTTAAAAAAAAATATTTTAGTACATTACGTGAGAAAAAAATTTTTTTCTAAATATTTAAAAAACGAAATAATGATAATATTTTGCTTAGATTCTGAGTGGAGCGAGAATATTTAAAAACGATAATGTGTATTTTCTTTTAAACACTTTTCGAATATTACCTCTTATAACATAGTCTTTGACGGGAAAAACTAAATATGCATATTTAGTTTTTCCCGTCAAAGACTAATATTTTATTATTACTTTTTTTTTTCAAGTTTATCAGTATTGTCATTAAATATTTTTGTTTTCAAAGAAAACAAATTTGAATAGAATAATTTAAAATATACTGTCGAAATAACAAATTTAATAGTACGCACGATTTAATCTTAAAAAAAAAAAACAATATTCGTATTTATAGAATTTTATATGTTTTCGTGCCCGTGTTATAATATTACCGCTTTCATATTTTATTTATAATATTCAATCGAAATGAAAAATACGACTGCGAAAACTAAAAACTTTTTTTTTTTTATATTCGAATTACATATTCATGTAACTCATTACACTCGCTGTAGTTTTACTACAGTAATTTATCGTACGCTCGTGTGTGTGTGTTTGTGTGTGTGCAAACATTGTACCGATACATAATACATTGCATTATATACGATGGATATACTTTTGTATAGTTTAAACAAAAATACATAGGTACGTTTTATACCCGCATTTAGTTTCGCGAGACTTTTATACTTATTATTATACGAACGTGCGACAAATTACCAAAAGTTGTTAACAAAAAGTTTTTGATTGTTGTTATACGTAACTACCTATATATGTATATATATTATTATGTATTCGAATAAACGGAAAACTCCGCGGGAATATTAAATTTTGATTGTAATATTATGTATTCGGAGTGTTCGGTTTTAAGTACAGGATATTATAATATTGTGCATACGGACCCGGCAGTATTTCATATTTTTTTTTTTTTTTTTTGTATATTACTAAATGTTCAAGAAATTGATACGGAATATAGTATTTCATTGTTGTCAACCGTCTCCTATAAACATACCGCAGTATCACAATTTCGTATATTATTTCTTGTGCACGTTATCGCCCCGCCACGCGGATTATGTTTGCATAAAAATGTGACTTATCAGTCGTGGAATTTTCTTTTTGCCACCCAACGTTTTCCCATTCCTTTTATTGCTATTCGACGTGGTTTCACAGCGACCAAGGGTTTTGGGTTTTAGGTTTTTGGGTGTATCATATTAGGACGTGGTGGATTATTTTTTTTGTCAACGTTGATGTTATACTACGGGCCGATGTAACATACAATTTCCGATATGTAGGCTTCCACGACCCACCGCTTCTCACTCCTCAATTCAACACTATTCTTTTCTATCGATTTTTCTTTCTTTCCGCTCTTATTAATAAATTCTGGCCCAATACAACCGCGGAAAATATTCCATATACTATGGTATGAATAGGTTTTTAATATTATTTAAAACGATCGCTTTATATAATAATTTAAAAAAAATCATTTTGCTAATTGGTATTTTAAACTTTAAAGTAAATGGGTTTTGTTTTACATTTTTTCCACCGGCGTAATTTTTCATAGAAATATTATTAATTTTTACTTTTTTTTTGTTTTATAATTAATCGTTACGCAAATACAATATTTGTACGGAAGCTGTTAAAATAATATTTTAAAAAGTCGGTTTTGTATGTATTAATACATAATATATTTGATACAACGTAGGTACAAAACAAAGTTAATGAATTCATTTTTAAAAACTATTCATGTTAAAGGTCCGGTTTCTATTCATAATAGATTCAATAATTATAATTATTCGATTCTTACAATGAGATGTACAAATAATATTTTCGAATAAAAAGAAATTCCCGAGTATGCCCGGTTGATATGAAAAATCAAAAAAAAAAGAACCATCCAATAATGTCAGGTAATTAAGAATGTTGATGTCAAGTTAACTGCAAGGGAAAGTGATGATAATACTCGTATAATTAAGACGACCCGAACTTTGGTTATACGATCGAAGAGTTTTTGCAATCGTGGAGGTAGATGTACAGGAGGTATTATAGGGGCGAGAAAATATTTAATTTTTACACGAATAACTTTTAATCGACTTTGACTGACTTCCAAAATACGAGTAAGTACTTACATAGTAATATATATATATATAGTTTGATGTCTTGAATAACAATACCACTTATCGTTATAGTAACAGAAAGAAAATACAATGACATGATAATAGAATCAGAACGGAAAATTATTGTAAAAAAAAAAAAAAGAACAAAAGAAAGTCTAATACGGTTGATGGATGTGTCATTGTTTTAAAAGGGAGGTTGGAAGGGAATATACATACTTAGATTTATTTAATTTATATCAGTACGCAATTATATACCAACACAATTGCTATCAAACGATTCTAACCCAGTGATTGAATTAGTGGGAGAGAGGGGGCGCAAGGGACGGTAATTTCTTTTAAATCTTATATCTTTCTTTTTTTTTATCTCTTCTAGTCGACCTGAGTGTAGTGTTATTGGTCGTATTTTTTCACTTGCACTATGCATTTAATAGTCCGAAAATCAACAGAAAATAGTCAGTTTTACTCATTTATTACGAAAACTAAAAAAATAAAAAAAAATAATAATAATAATAACCTTCTCGTGATACCAACTAGATAAAAATTATTAGAAAAAAGTTCTTATTAAGTAATTGATTGGAGCAAGATTTCGGAGGGAGTGATTTACAGACCCATACACAAATACATATATCGTTGTAAAATCAATACATTCCTCGCTTTGCTCAGAATCTAAAATTTTAAACTAAGAAAATTATTACAGATATGCATACTTCCGTAAACTTAGAGGTGGGTAGACTCAAATTCGTTTTGAAAATTTACTCAATTATATATTAATGTACATGTACGGTAGCTAATGATAAAATGTAGATAGATGGTAATGTTAATGCAAAATTTTACAACTCGAAATTTCGCGACTGCAACATAATAGATTATTAGTATTATGATTATTATTTCCGTTCCGACGCGTTTATTAACTTTGGCGGTTCAACTGTAATATTTTTAACCATTTACGTTTTTCGTCCGCTCGGAATCCACGCCGCCGGTAGCAACGCCTATAAAACTAACGTAACCGTCGCCCGGCTGTGTACGAGAAAGACTCCCGAATAACCGTAAACGACACCTGTCAGAGAAGATTTTACTCGCAAAAGCATCGAATGTAATTATTAAAGTAAACGTAAAATATCTAGTCGGAACAGACTTCTGAACTCGGTGGCCCGCAACGCTCCAAAGACATTAGATTTTTGATAAAATTATTATTAGTTTTCTTTTTATAAAACCCGTCATATGTAATTTTATCGTTAATATTACCATTATTAAACGCAATCGGAAGAATAATTAATTAACGAATTACGGAAATTATTGTTTATAAATTGTTATACACTATTATATACCTTATTGTGTCCCTTTTGAATTTATCGGAAGACTCGATTTGTAAGAATTCGCCAATTAATTATGTCATGCCCTTAAACATTAAGTTATGTTCGTTTGTATGGAAATTGAATATCCGTAAAAATAACTCGTTTAAACCAATTTTTCGAATTTCTATCGTAGCTCGCAGAAAGTTTTTTTTTTAAATTTGGGACGGATGGCAGGGTTTTTTTTTTATAATTTATTTATCCTTTTCGCGCTACATTATGAAAATAATAATTTTAATTGACTTTGATGTATATACTATCCCATTCTTGGAAATAGGTTTTTTTTTTTTTACATAATATTGACGAGAATAATAAGTACCTGGAGATAACTGAATATATTTCGAACATAATAACTTACGCGAAAAATGATTTTTAGAATTCAGGATAATAAAAGTTAAGCCGGAAAAATAAATTATTTACATTTAAAGTCTTTCATGTTATAGACAAATTTTCCACGAAATACTTATTTTTTCAAAAAACGACTTGTGTAACGTTTTATAATCATAACATACTCTTAAGTATTACATTAACCTTTTTACCATAACCTTATTTTGAGGATAAAACTACCCGCTATTGAATTTCAAATAGAAACCCATATTGAAAATTCTATAAATAAACGAAGTTTTAATTTAAATACATTTTGATATTGAGATTTTTTAATTTCCGTCGACCCATTGACGAAATTTTCCACTTCTAATTTTGGGTAGAGTGAAAATAATGGAGCGCTATTCAAATGCCGTCCGCTGCACAGCTACATACATGATAACGTAGGCGTTTTCTGCATCTATGATCAATCCCTTTCAGCATGGGTGCCCATAAGTAAAATTTCAGGTAGGAGCAAGGAAAAATAAAACAATTTCCCATAATATACGCTAAATGAAGGTTTTAATTTCAATTTATTAAAATTATCAGTTCATGTTATTTTTTCAGGATGAAGCAAGTGCCCCGTCTCTTCTCCCCTCCGTGGGCGCCCATGCCTATCGACTGTCATTTCTTCACCATCAAGCTTATTCCTTGCAAGTTGTACTCTATTCGCGAATCTCTGTGTTGCGCATCCTACAGCGGTATTTTATTCTTCGGATTCCATTATACTCCTTCTTGGATCATACTATGCGCTCGCATTATTTCGTACGCCACACGTGTTTTGCCAAGTCTATTCAAATATCGCTACTATTTTATTTTCTCTCTACACATTTCTTAGATTTTGGTTTTTCTTTTTTCGTGTTAAGCTACCGTTTTTTTGATTTTTGGTCATCGGTGTGGCGAGCGTAGTTAAACACGTTGTGTGTACTATAATTTGTACGTACGTATTACTACGATAGGCGTGATTTGCGGGTTAATAATTTTCAGTAAACAATTTGCTGCATTTGTTTGCTATTGTTTACTACTACGTTGTAGGTTATTCGCCGAAACGACAAAATAAAAAAAATATTTGCTAGAAAATGTTTACTACACTGATGACACGCAGACGTTTTAAACGTTATGATACCGAGCAAACAAACACCGCTCGTGGGTGTTTATCGGATCCGCGGCAAACGGTCCGTCGAAATGCGTATATGTACCTGCCAAACGTTGTTGCGCACTGAATAATAACGCCAAAACGTATTGTTTACTCAAATGAGCAAACAGTTTGCTGAAATTGAATCGTCGGAACGCGCGTTCGAAACCCCTGGCTTTGACGGCGCGAAGTTCGAGATTTGAAAGGCTTCCGCGCGCGGGTTTTGTGGGACGCGTCAACGCGGACACAATGCGGAAAGACGTTTGAAACGCGTGCGTGTTACACTGTACGGTGCAAAAACAACATAAAGGACCGCAATTCCGGTCACGACGTACCGCCGCGCCGTCGCGCGGCCGTGGAACCGCGCACGTGGGACCGGTGTTGCTGCAGCCAGTGGTACACGGGGACGCAATAAAAACAGTCGTCTCTCCGCGCAATAATAGTATATAAGCACATTGATGGCGGAGACGGCGGCGAGTGCAATAAAAATAAAATCCCGATAAACGTCCCGCCGGGCTATTTAAAAATATAAAGGCCGGCCGGCGGCGTCGGAATTGTCGTCGCGCGTGTAATCAAACGCCACCGCCACCGCCGCCGCCGCCGCCGCCGTCGTGCCGATAAAATACGAAATACAAAAGTCCTCGGCGTTACCGTCGACCTCCTGTAGCAGTTTTTTTTTTTTCTTTCATTTTTTACTATCGCAATAATATAAATACGAGTATATAATATAGAAAATTCGAGCAGGTGGAATACTGATGTGTGCGCGCGCGGGCGTGTGTGTGTGTGTGTGCGTGTTCGTGCGCGTGTGCGTGTTGTGACCGTTTTCCCCCGAGTCCGTTTTGTCGCGTTTTAACGATCTCGCGTTACATAAAACGGCCGTCTCGCCGCTGCCGTCTCCGCAGTACGCGATATTATTGTTTATTGATTATTCGGCGACGGCTTTGCCGTACAACGGCACGTATGGTTTTCTCGTATAAGCTACAGAAATTAAATAAATAAAAACCGGGAGCAACGGATCTCCGTCATTGTAGTGTCGAATTTACCCGCACGGCTACTTTAATTCTGTGTAATGCCGACTATCCGATTGAACCGGAAAGGAATATCTATCCACGCTCTTGTTACTCGGTTCTACAGCAGCAAAGCACAAACTCGTTTCTTCAAGCGTTCCGATTTCGTTGAATTTTCCCCATAAATAGAGAGCACAGCCAACTCGTTGTATAACGACGGTCGATATAACGAAAATCTCGAAATAACGAATAAAACTGCCATTCGTTTAGATACTACTTCGCGTTATACTTACTGTATTGTGTCTAATCTACGTATTATATCTTTTTTTTTATTGTTTATTTAGACATTTTAGCGGCTCCTCTTTTCGAACTTGGAAATTAGAGTTTTTTTTTTTTTTTTTTTATAGATTGGTAAAATGATAGAATTTCGATTGTATTTCATTACGAACTTAACCATGTTGTTATGGGGAGAGGAAAGCGTTCTTCCAACTGTGTACACCCCTACAGACCTCCTGAATAAAGCTATGAAGACGGAATTTAGTAAATTATGGTGTATATATCGATGATATTATGTATTTTGGTAGTTTCAATTTTTAAACCTTTGGTGAGGAGGGGTCAAATGGATGGTTATCATTATGGGCGGATTTCAATAGCAAAAAAATCTTCTCTGCAATATCATTTTACAAAAAAAATCGCATGACGATTGAACGAGTAGCACTCGAGATTACCTCGGACAAATATCTGAATGCCTACGTCTTTATAATATATTAGTATAGATTTGACAGACACAATATAGCTGTGTAAAAGTTCTTGTTTTTTTTTGGAAAATTAGACAAAAATATAATAACGTGTTTCCCTCATGTTTTCCCGAGACTTCCCATTTCCACCTCCCTTCATTTCGCAGTTAACCATGCTTATCGGGTTATATATTTTTTAAAGAGCATACTTCATTGTCCGTGACAACCGAATAAATTTATAATAACTGTTCTTTTTCATTCATATTATCATTGTATCCATCACAAGTACCTAACCCATAAATCAAAAAAAAATATTCTATTATCGTTTTAAAAATATCAAAAACCCTGTGTCAACTACCCTATAGGGATTGAATTTCGGAAATTTGGCTTCGAGGTGCTGATCCGTATGTACATTTGAAGAGGATTGCGTGCTAAAGATTTGGTAGTGCATCATAATCATCGTACACAGACAGAACAATTTTTATTTATGAATATAGATAGCACTCAATTTCAACTGATGTAAATGAAAATTTGACAATTAATATCGTAAAATATAATCAAAAATGATTAATAATATATCGTTTGCACTTGAAGTTTCTGTGTAAATAAATGTGTTTTGAAAATCTTAACCAGAGTATAGTGAACAATATTATATTTTATGTGGGTGCGGTTTATAAACGTTATTTTGAAACGAAATCGGGAAACTTGCGGAGAGTTCGTCAAAAATGATAATAATAAACTTCAACTAGTTTGTATCACCTCCGTATAAAATACAATACTTTACTGTTTGATTTGATCGATAATCAACTTAACAAGTTATAAATCGACAGCGAAATATCGTATAGTTTACCTCGAGTTGCTGGAGGCCACGCTGTTGTTAGATTTTGATCGTCGGCTCTTCAGCGAATCACCCCGGTTTATGATGCCTTTTCCCGTAATGGAAAACTGACGGATCCGATAGTATTCTTCTTCGACGCCCGTATTTGGCATACTCGCAACCCTGGACCTTTGCTGTGGCAAACTCAGCTGGTTGGAACGATTTTTCGGTATACCGTTGGGTCCCAATTGCAGTTGTACCGTACTTTTGCTACCGGGTGTTCGAACGCTCTGCGATCGGCTATGATGTGGACTCCCGTACCTTGAACATTGCACAGTAAACAAATCATTAAACTTCTACGAAATAATATTATATCGTGTCTGCCCAAGCGAAAATTGTCTAGCAGACCGTATACACGAGTAGGTACCGTTAAGTCGGTAAAATGGACATTGACGGTAAATAGAAATCGGTCAAACAGACGTTTAAATCTTAAAGAAGATCCTCTGGCAAAAGTTCTTTCTTTTTTTATTGTTAATTACAGGTTAAGAATACCAGTATGTTCAGGAATTTCTGTATAGTAAAAATTTAGAAACACAATATTTTAACAAATGAACTTGCTGTTGAAACTTTTATTTATTTTAAAAATGACCTTTCTAATGCACCAATTAAATAATATTTAGTTCCGAGAAAGTGCTTTACAAAATGTATAAAAAAAAAAAAAGTAGCCACTAATCCCATTACAATCGGCTGTCACAGCATCGCACCGAATGAACTGATTTTTAAATCAGTTATTTTTAAATAGATTAAAATCAACCGTTTAAATACCGGACGCATAATTTATCTGCGCCCGGGTCTATCGTTATGTGTATACGCCTTTACGGTAATCCTTTTAGGGTCCTTTGCTCGTAAATCCCACAAACTGTAATGTTTGCTGGTCACCGTAATATAGTACGTATTTCTGATGTTTGCGTATTATTGTATTAATGAAGCGCCGCCGGCCCCGAAGTCAATAAAACCGGCTACGAGCTTATAAAATATACGCACAATAGGCCGAATAAGCCAATATTATTATTAACTCTGTACGCCGGTGGTGAATTGACGATTTATTTTTTGGGAGAGGAGTGGGAGGGGTGGTAATGATTAAATACAACGAAAACGGGGCGTCAAAAGATCTCTGTCAACTCCTTTATATTCGTTTCCTTAAATTTACGTTACTTCCTTCAAATATCGTCCGCTGAGTAAAGGTACAATCTACAATATCAACGAAATTTGATTACGGTTTTATGTGGCTTAATTTTATTGTTATCGTATCATTATTAACATCAGTATATGTACACATCGTTCAAATGTTATTAACCCATACCCCTATTGATTCACTTATATAAAATAATGGGAATTAATAACTTTTAGAAGTATGCCACAGCCTAATTATTTTAAGATTTTATGGTATAGGAAAAATAATCTCAAATAAATGCTATGCGGGTGATATATTTATATCATTACGGGAATACTACTGTTTTATCTTTGTCTTATCTTAAAAGCTAGTGAAACTATTATAGGTAGTTTTTTTTATATTTCAATACAAACAGACCACCATTAAAAAATTTACTAAAAGTCGAGGATAAAATAAAAAATAAAAAATTCACTTAACTTTCGAAACAAATTGCAAAATCAAATAAAAACCGAGTGAAATTAGTTATACGGATGGAGAATGTACCGAAACTGTAGAGAGACTATTGATAAATAAGAGAGTGGCCAACTCGGGGACATTTTTATTGGTCGACCTATTAGTTACATCATTGCCGGGTTTAGCGCAGAACTAATTTTTTTAAACAGAATACATAGGGATATAACATTTGAACATAAGACCATAGTTTTTGCAACGTCAGCGCTATTCTGGTTTTTTTAAATATCAATGGATGTATTAGCATTATTAAATTATGATATTTCGCAAACTCATTTCTCTCTTACAAATTCAAATTTTCATTAGCATTATTAATTAAAAACAATATTAAAAACCAATGAAGGTACATCTATTGTATTTTTGTTAATATTTGGGTAACCTTTGGGAGAAACACACATTTTACTGGTACAACCTTTTACCAGTTTATAGCCTTTAACCAAACTTCGCTCAGATGTCGATTATAATATTTTAATGGCGACATTTTTCTTTTACTGTTTCATTATAACAAAAACTTCAAAATTAATTTTTTTTTTTCATATTTTGTGTACCGAGAAAGCCATTTTAGTTTTACTAAGAAACGATTTTTTTATGTCTTGGAAAACACTTTTTCGGTTAATAAAAATGGTCTGATATTTTCACGCATTAGGTAACGCGTGAAAAAACTTACTTTCTACGTAGGTATATAAAAAGATATTTTACCCGTTACTACTTTTGACTCATCCAACGTTGCCTATCTTTACCGAAAACAAACAATTTGCGAGATCATATTATTATTTAATAACAACTCAACTAACTACCATCAAAACGTTATTTAAATTATCGTGGTCGATGGAGGAAAGGAAAAATTAAATTCGAATTTTCGACTATACCCGTGCAATTTAAATGTCGTTATAATTATTATTTTTTTACATTGGTCGTATAAACGCATTACACACACATGTTCAAAATTATTAAATATTATATTATTATATATTAAAAAAAATATAAGTATTTACAACCGCGGTCGTAATTCGTGTAGTTTTGTATAATATTTCTACTCTACAAGTTAAAAAAAATTAAAAAAAAAAAAAAAAAAAAAAAAAAAAAAATGGATGTAAAATTTGTATTATGGTCGCGGTATAACGATCGTCTAATCCGTAACCTTTGGTTTGACTCGATGTACACAATAGTATAAAGCGAACGATATTAATTTAATAAAATAAATACACAGTTATTTATAATACTGCATAGTGAATCTATGTATAGTGAATCATTCGATCCGAATTCAATTTCGAAAGAGTACAAAAGTTTTAACGAGAGTTCCCTGCACTATAAACGCCGAAACGTCGTCAAGTATTTAGATATTACATGATTGGTACTACAATAATAACATTTTGCATATAGATTCGAATTTAAAAACTACCTACTTATAAAAGTTTTTACTCCCCACAAAGAAAGAAAAAAACGAAATTAAACGAAAATAATATTTTCCGGATATAAAGTTAATACGATTTAGTAAAAACTTTAAATGTGTATAGGTAGTTTGGTAATAAAAAAAAAAAAAAAAAAAAACAATCCGCCCGTCATCAAAACATTTCCCTGTGAAAATATTCAGACACATAATTAGCACCATGCGTAGGCCATTGGGCAGTTGACAAAGTACGTGGGATATCAGGGTAACTATTTATCATATAGTTTGTATGCCGAAGAAACGATGAATCGTTGCAATCTAACAACGATTTTGAGTCGCGAGTTTTATTTTTCCTGTGTATCTAAAGGAACAACCCAGAAATGAACAAAAGTAAAACACACGTGCCGTTATACAACGTCATCTTTTTTTTTTTTTTTATTTAAAAAAAACCCTGTTGGGAATCTGTTAATATAATTGTTCGAACAAAGTACCACCAGGCGAACATTCTACATAACTTTTAGGGTGTGACGGGAATTATTTGCAGCATTTTCACTAATCGAAAAAGTGTTTTCCGAGGGGAGAAAATGCACCATAGTAAAACTAATAGTTTTTCCACAATGCATACTGCAAAATATAAACGTTATCAGTATTAACAACAATTAAAATTAAATAATTGAAATAAAAAAATGCATTGTATTTTGGTAAAAAAAGTGGTTTTCCGATGAAATATTTATTTCATTTAGAGATAAAAAAATAAAAAGGCTAATAATCTACAGAGTTTATTTTATTTTTCTATTTACAAATTGAATGCAAATGACGTATGTTTTGATGTACATAGTGTTGTATAGTTTAAAAAATTATATTGTTTTGAAACATATATATGTATAAAAAAACAAACGCACTCATAATAAAACATTAAATAAAAAAAATACTGCCGAACGTCAATCGCATAGTATTATTATGACATTTCGATATTTTTCTATAGATTAGAATTTACATTTTTTTTCTTACTAATATAATCTAAACTGAACATATTCGTTTTGTTTTTCATCGTTATTTTTGCAGTCGAACACAAAGCTGTACTAAATAATTAAATTAATTAACGACGAAAAGCGTACCTACAATGTATATTGTGCACCAACATAATATACGATCACATTCAGTAGCGCACATAGGATTTTTTTCGCGAGAGGTTTTGTTTATGATAATTTCCTATAGCACATATTATAAGTACAGTATTATCACTATTATCGTTGGATAAATGATTTTTGATTAAATTGAATTTTATTTTATTGTGCCCTATAAGATATTATGTTGTTAAATGCAAAACTTGATTTAAAAAAAATGCCGCGAAAGAAGACATTTCGGGGGGGTAGGTTGACCTTTTAATCCCTCTGCGTGCTCCACTGGTCATATCAAAAGCGGTCAAATAATTGCTATAAATATGTTATGGATAATATAATAATATATTTTACTATGCATATTGAAGGGAAATGAGGTCAGGGGGGATATATTTCTCTCATGCCCTCATACCCCCACGTTTGACCGCCCCTGGGTCAAATCAATAGATATTAAATTAGAAAATATTATACGTAAATACGAATTGTACAATTTTACACACAGCTGCAGAATATTATTATTACAACATTACCTACAACGGCCAATCGTTACCTAAAACGAATCGTTTTTATAATTAAAATATCTGTTCGGTTTATTATTATTCAACAGAATCGTAATCGTTGATCTCGAACTATAAAATTGCAATATATCAGGTTATATAGGCATTTCGCGATATTCCAAAATATTATAGAAAACCGTATTGAACGTTCACCATTTATTAAAACCGATAGCTGTCGTTACCCGGCGTAGTCCAGGTTTAGTAGTAATAATAAATTAGTTGTCTAACTAATCTCAAAAAAAAAAAAAAAAAAAAAAAAAAAAGAAAAAAAAAGCTAAGCCAAACTTAAACATAAATCATAAAGAAAATAAATCAAAATACGCTTGGCCGCGTGCGAATAGAGCCGTATGCATCAATATTTTATTATTATTATTTATTAATCACCACGCAACCGAAGGAAACCAGGATTCATAGAAAAGCCCCATGAAAAAAATTAATGAATTAAAAAAAAAAAAATAACCCGTTTTAGTATCGTTTTTTTTTTTTTTTTATTGTACCCAGGAATCATCAAAAATTAAATCTATGGATCTTTATTGTTATATTTAAATTTTTAATAAAAACTGTTAGGATCTAGAAAAATTGTTCAAACACAAAAGATACTACTTGGTAAAAAATGCGCATTTCTGTGTAAAAAATCTGAGCATTTTTATCAACCGAAATATATATATATTACTAATAGCTTCTTTGCTTCACTCAGAATCCAAAAAAAGATCTGTATTTACAAACCCTATTCGAGTTCGTCCGAAAAGACATTAAATTCCGTCGTTTGATTTTCATCGATAATCGCCCAGATTTTAAGTTTATATTTAGTACACCAATTTCTTTTTGGAGAAAACTTCCCGTATCAGATTTGACCCGACCGGTAGGATAATTAGCTATTACGGTTTCCTGTTTCTTTATCTAAACCCGTGGTCGCTTTTTGTCGCTTGGGTAATAGGATGTAGGTTTACACATAGATTGATAATTTCGGAAAAGTAAAGCAAAGACAGTTCTCCCACGGGTAGCGGGTTCAGCATCAAAATTTAAGAAATGAGACTAACAAGTACGTTATGGTTTTCAAACTATCCAAAACGTCGTAAAAACTAATTTATTTATTTATTTTGTATGGCTTTAAACACGTATCGACTTACCTAATTGTACTACAGCTGTGCGTAACATAACATGGAATATACATATATACGTATGTATAATATAAATGATGTATAGAATTACAAAATAAAGAACGAAAATGATAACAATAAGAATAAGTCTTAAATACAGGAGATAGGAATGGTGGCAACTCGTCATAGAAGTATGCCGAGTTCTATAATCCAGTTTATCGCTTCTACAGTCGCTACAATATGCGGTCCTACGAAACCTCGGCTGAATTTTTTCGTGGAATTTCGTTAAAATGTCGTTTACGTTTCATTCCCCGTTGTCGCCGTCACATGCCGGATTTTCGGAAAAGTTGAAATCCCCGTTTACACAGAAGCGCCGCGAACCCAAACGAAATCTCATAAATATCTCAAACTCGACTCGATCACGTTTTGGTTTGGGGCAAATTCGAACGAGTCTGTAAACACCCGTCTTCGTCATAATCAATAAAGAATTTTATTCTATTTTATTTTATTTTTTTAAAAATATATTCAAATATTAATTTATTAAACGTAGAAATTAAACATTGAAAGTTCAAAAGTAATTTTATCGAAATGTGTTTCATTTAGTTTAAAGTCCACAATATTTTACTTTATTTTATATTTTGTACCTGCCGGATGTTTTTCAGTTTCCGAGAGAACGCCTACATATTTCCATATTGTTCTTTTTTTTTCTATATTCCTAAATATAAAGGTATATTTTATGCTCTGTTAATATATTATTCGTCTTTCGTCGTGATAAAGTTCGCCAAATATGTTTTGCATAATATCGCATTTTGTTGTTTCGATTCTCGAATGCACTGCAGTTATACACCGGCACTAATTAATTAAATTCAAAGTTCTATCTTTTCCCAGGGCCAATGTTTCGAGCATAAATTATTTAACTGCAACTCAACCCGCAGCGTCAGTCGAACTGCTAAACACTCCTGCAAAGTCACGTTTTATCCGTTGTTCCATCATGTATAAATATATTAATATTAGTATTATAAAACTGGAAAAGGAACATCAAAAATGTGTCGGGGAAGAAGATCTCGAAACGGTTGCAAACGTACATTTTTACCACACCCGTTAACTTTCGTCCGCGTGGATTAAAATAAAAATGTCCATGATTGGGTTTTCCCCTTGTAGATAAAACGTGTTTTTTTTTTTTTATGTATAGGGAAAACTCGCATTGACGTAGAGTATCGATCTGTTTCACGCGGGAAATTTACGCGAAGAAAAATTTGTAGTGTTAAGGAGCGAATTGCTTTTTTTCGAAACCACAGACAATGTCGCGGAAAAATGTTTAAACGGATCGAAGGATTCTTCGTCTGCTGTGTAAAATTTTGAAAAACAATATTATATATATATATTTAATAAAAGCTTTTTACTGAAAAAAAAAACGTATCCAGCAAAAGATTAAACGAATCGAAATATGACGATGACGTGCCTACTACTTTTTTTTTATTTGGCCAAGTTATTTTTAACTGAGAGTTGATATTTATTTCTTGTATTTCTACGCTTTGAGACGTGTCTGCAGGTTAGACATTTAACGTGTTATTTTTCCGTATACAGTAGAACATCGATTATCCAAACCTCCGTTATACGAATCTTCTATTATCCAAACGCCGATACGCGTCAATTGATGTATCCGAACCCTAAATTATCCGGACGTTATAGCGGCTGCGGGTACACTGATTTTATCATTTGTGTCGCAAATTATTAGTATCACATTACCTTTACATGCATAATACAATAATTGGTATTTTATGCGTTTAATACATATTTTATTATTTTTGTACATAATATCAACGGCCGTTATTTTACGTTCTACATACTTAAAGTGTTTTGCCTTCAGCTTTTTAAATCTTTTAAAAAATTTCCAGTCCCCGAAATTCCGCTTATCCGAACTAGGTGTGGTCCAAATTTGTTCGGATAATCGAGGTTCTACAATACTTATATTATGTTCTTTGATCATAAACTTAGCAGGTTTTTTATTTTTTAGGTTTCTTTATGATTTTCACGGGCGTACAATAATGGAAGTGATACATTCGAAATACAATCTAAATCCAATTTCCACAAACAATTGTATATACTATATATATAATCAAATATAATACCTATAGATAACTTTTAAAACACTATTATACTGTTCTGAAATGCGATTTTCCTCAGAAAAACAAACCAAACGTACAGGCGCACTGTTAGAAAACCAATAACTTTCTCACGTTACGCCTACCGCAGTAATTTAAACCGAAAGTTTGTGAAATATCGATTATTCACTCATTCAGAAAAAATTTAAAAGCAATAAAGCTCTCTGAAAATCCTTTAACAAACAACTATATATCCGGTTTAGATTTCGAGCGTATAGTGAGAAATGTATTGGTTTTATTATGATGCGTTTCGTTTTTTGTATCTTTAAACTGCATTTCTACTGCTGGTAATCTTGCTCCGATTATTACCTTCACAGGTGGTTTGTACCAAATTTTGTTTTGTTGGTGCATAGGGTATGTTAAGTCGCGAGTTTTCTCATAGTATTTTTAATAATTGGATTCTTTTTGGGTGTTTATATCTTACCGAAAGTATTTTATATTGTATATGTTATTAAAATCGATTCTGTAAAAAAAAAAAAAAGTATTTTTTTGTTCTCACACCGTCCTCAATTATTAAAGTGACAGCATATACCAAATCTGAAATCTTTATATATATATATATATTATATATATTTCGTTTATATACCTAACACTGGAAATTTCACAATAACTTCCCGCTGTCACTATTTCTTATTATATTATTGACAACATGATCCCGTGGGAATATCACCAGTATATCATTCTCGTATTTATATATATATTTTTATAGAAAATGCCAAACGGGAAGGAAACCCTCGAAAAAGTGAAACGACCGACAGCGAAATGTGTGTTCAGTGAGTCGTTTTATACTATACACTAAGCAAAGAAATCTGGGCGTCGAATGTTATAATAGTTGGACTAAACTTAATAAACTTTGGACTATTTTCTTCGGTCTTTTTTTCAACCTAATTAACAGGTCAAAATTCAATCGAAATCAATAGTTGGAATTAATAAGATTATTATTAATTATTATCTTATTAAAATAAGATGGAATTTCGTTCGTTTCTATAAAACGCGAACTAATTCGAATTCGAAATTTGATTTAATTTTATTATCAGAAAAAATAAAAAAAATACACATTTTTAAAATGCTTTTTTTTTAAATCTTAAAAAATTCAACAATAAAGAAGCAATTAGAGCGAGAAATTACGTTTTTACGTGTTACACGGATGAATAACAAAAACAGATATTAGGATAGTTGATCATCTAATTATCACGGGCAAGTAAACAACGAAAACCGTTAATTGTGATCACGATGGGGATTGTAAACGGGTAGAAACGTTAAATTGAATCTGTTATACTTGATTCGAGTTTTTTAAAGGATTTTTGAAAACATATATTTTTAAACGGTCGAAAAAAAAAAGCGGCAAGGGAATTAAATTGACACAGGACCACTGGTTAATATAAATATCGTTTATTATTTAGCTTAACATTTTCGTTTGCCCTCTATAGAGTATAAAAGCTCAGCGCGATACTGTATAATAAAGCTAAGACATATCTATAGACCATCTAGCCAATGCGTTTTCGGAGAGCCTTTGACGATTTAATATATCGCGTCCATTAACTTAAGGCCACCGCAAGATCGCTGAAAACGCGTATACAGTGTATGGTGCATGTAGGAAGGCGACGACGACGTCGCGTGTGTCGTGTTCATTCAAACTTGCCGTCTTTCTGTAAAACCGGCGACGTGAATATTAGCTTTCTGCGGTGCTGTGTGTAGGTATACGTTGACGAATGAACCGAATAACGCGTAAACATAAAGAGATAAGTAATTAAGCAAAGTGAATTCTGTCTCCTAAACATATTATATCCTATGTATAAACGATATATTTGCAGTGACGCATACACTCGATTTTATTTGAATATATGTGGATTGAGTTCAACTTGCACGACTTTCTCGACGTCATTAAGTTGTAACCTGTAGTCGGTGTCGGGTTTTATCTAGATAGGTATAAATTTATCTTTTATATTATCTCGGTAAATAGGGTACACGAGCCGTTAAATCGGAGATAAATATTTGAATCGTCTAAAGAAGTCGTTTTAAATCGCAACTTTTTATATTTATTAGAAACGATAGGTAAAATACGGGGTGATTGTTTTTTATCGTGAACCAGCAATTATCTCAGAGGATTTTAGGTGAATTTGATTTCTGTATTTATTCTAATCATTATGAAATCGTTTAAGCTTTATTTCAATAAAGACTATTTTTCTAAAACTTTTGATATACACTAGATTAACATTAGATGTACCGTTTATGAGTTATAATAGTTTAAAGTTTAGACCGGAGGAGTAAGGCAGGATAATAAATAGCCTATCTAATAGATTTAAGTAAAAATATACTGCAACCGGACGAAGTTGTACTGAACAATTTGTTTTGTTTTAAATAGATTCCAGCTTTTTGACAAATATTATCTTTGACGGCGATAGACGTAAATCGTCGATTGTATATTTTAGTAGGTAGTTCTAAAAATGAAATTTAACAAACCAAAGAGAAATAAAAATATTACACAGTATATAAACCTAAATAGGGAGTGGGGGGAGTATTATAATATACTAACTAAAAAAATAAAATAAAGTAAAATTGAAATTGAAAAAAAACACCGTGAAGTGTAGTTTATATAACATGCTAGACTCAATAATGATAGGAAAAATGATTCTACTCATAACATTTTACAAAGGTCGTTTTATGGATCATAAAACCGATTGGCGACCGACTCGGAAGATGAACGTAATCTATAGAGATGGGGGGGGGGACTTTAACCGTTTTATTATACCGATTTCAGACGAGAAAATGATATTATATAGCTGCTGTTCCGCTTTCCAAAACTCGTCTGTGTGTTTCTCGAACCCAATTCCGAAATGATTTTTCATTAATTATTAATATTGCTGTACAGTAAATTTGTTATTATGGTATTGGATATTATATAGTTTTGGTTTAAATTAGTGATCACAGAATTTACAATCAACAGAATATATATATAATGAATAAATTAATTTGTTAAATAAAAGAAAGAGCAAAATACGAATTTAAATTGTTTTTGTCAAACTTTTCGGTAAAGTGAAAAGAATAGAATTGAAAAAAAAAAACATTATTACAAATATCACGACGGAATTATTACCTATACGCTTTGTACGAAAAAATACAATTTAACAATCAAAACATTGATTATTCATTCAAACAAATACTATTGTTTAAAATAAAATATAAACTCAAAAGCAACCAATGTCTTGACCATGCCCGGTGATTGAGAGAGGCATATCGGATCCTAACAACTCGGAAATTTACACTACTGATTCGGTAGTTAAACAATAAAATTCAATTTTAGAGTCGACAAAATAAATACATTTATTGGTTGTAATTTTGGTATTTTATTAAGCAAATATCGTGAAATTTACCATACATTATCAATGTATCATTTATCAAATACATTTTTGGAAATTACCAAATTTGTTATTTAGACCTGAAATATTATTAGTCACACCCGTCTACAGATTTTGTTAACGGTGATTCTGATAGTGATCTTATTATCCCACGCTGTGATACGTATTGTTGTTTCTAAAATAAATTTGTGTAAACTAAAGAAGTGTAAACCGGACATACTTTGCACTACGAGACAACCAATGTTGTAGATGTGAAGTTTATATTGCATTATATATATGGTAATTCAGCTTAGGTACTGTAAAAAAACGATAATATAGCAACAAATAAAACGATTTAAGCTGAGTTCGGTAATCAGATAAGGGTTATAGTGTTGTTTGTCGTGTGTTTCTCCCCTATAGTCAGAGAATTCGGGAAATCGATAAAAGTAACATTACTATATGTAATATTGTTATTCGAAGTTTTTAATATTATAGGTTATACAAATTTGAGCTTATTGCTCGTCAAAAAATTGTTTTCCGAGAAAAAATACTTCTCAAGAAAACAAAATATAGTTGCTTTCTCGTCACATTCAGAGTCTAAAATTTATCTCGTAATAATTTATTACAATTTGGTTGTAAAAGTGAAATGACAATATTATTATTGACACGATTTGAGTTGAATAGTTTTCTTCTGTGTCAAGGTCTACTCGAATTATTATATTCTACTGCAATAATTTGTCAATCATTTTATCAAAATTTAAATTAGAAAAAAATTCTTAAGTCTCCGAAGAGTCACAGTAAAATGAAAAATATTGAACTTACATAAAGCATGTCTTATTATATAAAAAGAAAATTATTTTATAAACAAGTTTAAAACTCGCCTAATGATTATTGTTTATTATTTGAGTATACAAAAAATTGTTGTTTAACTTTATTTTGTCTGAAAATAATGCCTTTATTCTTCATTATCATACAGTGGCTAACCGTGGTCTAAGTGGTGTCTATGATGTTACTATTCCTTCACCCCGAAATTTGAGATTTTTATCTACCTAAGAATTTTATCTAATATGTAAATAGTTGTGTAATTATTCGTGCTCTTAACCTATTTATTTATATTTTACTATAATTCATAATCTCTTCTCCTCCCATCATCTCCTTAAAATAAGTTCCCGTTGCGTCACTAAATAAATATACAATTTATTTCGAAATAAACAAACATAAGTAGATTTAATAAGTATTATAAATGCAAGATTATTTAATATTGATAAACATTGGATTTACCGCCCGTCACACAATATAGTTTTTCAGAAGTTTTTTTTTTACGAGTATTAAGCGATTGCGTTTTGTTATTTTTTGTTATGTTTTATTGTGAATGAAAATTGATTTTCAAATTGACTAAACTCAAAATGTCTTGTTATTATCAGAGCCAAGCAGGTATTCAGGATTAATTTTCAGAGGGAGGAGGGGGTAAAATATGTTTTTATACATGAACTTGTAGTTAGTATTTGTTATACTATAAGAACACCACTTTAAGAATTTGGGGTGAGAGGGTGAACCCCTCCCCCCTGTTACTGGCTTTCTTTTATGCAACGTTTGTAACTATACCGTAAGTACCAATACAATACAACCGATTGAGAAATCGACACGACGACATAATATTAAGTCACAAACGACGTTATAATATATACCTGTCCTAATACAGATCGTAATACAGTTAATCGAATAATAATATGTGAATCGTTAAGTTCGGTAAGGGCCAAGTGCATGTTCAAATTTTTAAATTATTCTAGAAAAACAAAAATACTAAAACAGGACAAAAAAATTTCATGTTAACTTTCACTGATGTCATGGTGTAAGGTACTATTGTCAGTAAGATTTTATAACTTTTTTTTATGAAATTCTATAAATCTCTCTAGGCGTTCAAGAAGTTTTGTTTTTCTTGGAAAATTGGAAACATGTGCGGGTCTTTCGGCATTAAGCAATTCATATATTATTATGTATTTATATAACCCGATAAAATCACAAAATACTCCGCGTTAAATAAAATGCATAATATATAGTCGTGTATATATATATATACACGTAAGCTATCCAAAAACCGCGTTCGTGAGGATATTTACTAATGTCGCCCCGTTAAGAAAATAATAAAAAAAAAAAAAACCTTATAGACGTTTCGTATTTTTTGCCAAGTCGTAAATCATTACACGTTACGGGAGGGAAATCTCATTAAAAGCGAACAGTTCATTGCTCTTATAGCGACGGCAGTTCGGTAATTCGGCAAAGACACATCGGCGACGGCGTGGCGTATAAAATGTAGCAAATATTAAATAAAAATAAAAAAAAAAAACCCCGTGGAAATATGAAAAGTAGATGCACGCGTGTAAAACGACGAATAAAAACGATGCTATTATTAAATTTGACATCGCGGAAACTTGTAGATATATATAGGTTACAATATGAGCGAACCCTTCGTTTTATATTATAATAATATATACGCATCGGCCACGGGGTAAAGCGAGTCTTTCGTCCTTTAACGGGCGCGAAAGCCGTAAAAAAAAATAAAAAAAGGTTGATTAATGATTTCTTTTTTTTTCTCTGCTGTGCAAAAGGTTAAATGAATGGGCAGTTAAGTTTGGATCGAAAAAAAAAAAATAAATGCATAATAAAATGTACTACACAGTTCGTGACGTAGCAGATGGTTTTTTTCTAACAAAACGTTACTTCTAACGCGTAGGTCGACTTCCGTTTCGGGGATATATAGCATTTAAATTGTCAAAAAGTAAAAATAATAAAAAAAGGGAGTCGTTTCATAGGTATTGAAATTCGCAAACACATTTACCGTAGGATCATATTTTTAAAAATTGTTTTCCTCATCGCTATTAAAAAATTAAAAAAATTAATTATTACAGTACCTTTGTAGGTATTATGTCTTACGTGTAAGCGCTATCGATATATCAGTAAGGAGAGTGAGAGAAAAAAAAAACGTTTACTAACCTGTAGACGATCCTGCATTTTTTTTTTTTTTTTTTTTAATGACATTATTTAGATTTCGAGAATAACGAAGAAGCTTAAAAAGCTATTAATTTTACAAAGATTTATTTCTTTTTCTTAGAAAATGATTTACTTTTAATGAAATTGTTCAGATTTATTCATATTACACATTAAAATATGTGTATTTTTACAGATTGGCATTTTATTTGAAACATTTTTCGAAATTTCCAATACATTTTCTAAATAAAATGATTTATGTGTGTGTGGGTTTTATATGCATTTACAGTTAAGCAAATGCTCAACATTTTGAAAATATAGGGAAGGAATTGATCATTGCTTTTATATATCAGATTAGCTGTCCCGTACAGCTTTGTCGGTAACAGTATTGGACGAACAAAAAATAAAGACATTTTTTTCCATGACTCCTTGTTTCCATCCCTGTCTCTATTAATGGAGTCAACTGTTATTTTTCCGTACATTTTTGAAAATGCGTTTTCTTTAATTTTATTTTCTTTCATTATGGGTTCAATTTTGAATAAATCCTTACTCAGTGGTTGCGTTCTGAGCTTTGCTACAAACCCACCCCGAGTCTCGAGGAATGTGTATGCGGAACATAATTTAGAGGGCTTGGCTGATCATTGGTGTACCAAGTTCGTCGAGCTCTCCCTCTATTTGTGTATATACTACAAACCCTCTTCAGAGCATCGAGTTATACATATGCGAAATTTGGTGCCGATTGATTCAAACATTTTTGAGTCCATACAGACTGTCTACTATAGTTCACTAAAGAACATTTGTTTTTATACATAAAGGATAATATTATATTCTTGCTACTTGTGGACCCTATTTAAGGGATCCTTATAGAATCAAAAAATTACAAACTCTGTTTTATAGGCAAATTAAAGTGATACGATTTTGGTTTAGTTGTTTTTTATCCATTGTTTTTGTATTGGTTTATTTGTTGATGTTTTCTGGTAGAAAAGTTGTTCACTGAGACAACAAATAAAATATAAGCACACATCCATAAAACCAATCTAATCTTCGCTATGCACAAAATCTAAATAAAAAAAAATTAAATGCATTTACGGTGACTAGTCCGGTAAGGGCTAATTCGAATTTTAGTGATGGAGCTCTATAAACTGTTTATGGGTGTGTTTTTACGAAACGAGGACGCGTAATAACAGTTTTAAGGATGAAATTCAGATTTAATATTAAATTCTGTAAAATATTACAGGTAGCAAGGTTATAATACATTTATTCGTATATTAATGTCCATCTGAATTTGTCTACCGCCGCCACCATCGTTATCAGGTTAAAACTAACACGACATTTGACTGCGACATAACAGCGTGTAATATGTTTTTCGTTTTTTTTTTTTTATGATATTTTACAAAGGTAACAATAAAATATATTCGTATAATATACGAACTACAAGAAAAAACTAACCTCGATGATGTATGATATATTCACGACACGGGATAATATAATAATAATATGTTCTACAAGAAAAACGTACAAGTAACTACAAGTTTTTATTTTTCACGGGATGATGATATTATATTATGCACCTGCACAACTACTCTCTGAACAGTTGCCGGTACAAATATACAGAATGATCAATTTATCACGAATCAGCTAGAAGAAATTTAATTAAATTCGTTTTCTGTTTTAGTTTTCAACCATTATATGGTACATGGAATCATTTTTTAATTTAACATAATTTTTAAATTTTTATCTATAGCTCCTTTATCTTAAATGACTATATACTTTTGATTTTTAAATAGGGACACTTCTTTTTAAATACTGGGGATCAAGCTCTGATTAACCAATAAGGTGAATGTGCTATAGCCCAAGTCGCCAATCAGCCAATGTTAAATGGGGAGAGAGCCCCACAGAAAGTTTTTTTTTTATCGATTTCTTTCAAAAAACTTTATATTAAACTCTATATAATACTAACGATCATAGGCGTAGACAAACTTATTTTTAGAGTAAACGAGAATTTATTGGGAGGACTGATTGACGAAAATTTAGCGATGATCGCAAAAAAAAAAAAAGGTCATCACTCAATAAAACCCGTTAATTGATTCCTGCTGAGAATTCGGACAGATTATATTTCAGCATAAATAATACCAAAGCTGTTGAAACATTTATATTAATAGATAATTATAAGTTACACTACTCTAAGTTAATTTAAATTAATTATAATAGGTACCATCATAATTCATAATAAAGATAAATTATTATTAATACATTTATTTATTCAACATAATGTATATTTTTTTTACTTAAAATATGTGTGAAATTTAGAATATTAAATAAATATGTTAGGTATATAATTTTAATTTCCTCGTATTCAATTCTTATTAAACTTCAGGTTCAATCAGTTTTACCATGGAAATCATAATGTTTTACAAAATAAATTGAACTTATATTAAAAAATTACTTATATTTTAAAATCATATTTTAACTAGACTTAGTTAATTAGTATTAATACTAATATACCTCGCAAAGTTAGATTAGCGTATACACCTTTTAACGTGTAGCTTGTTCATTTTTTCAATTACCTTAATTTAATTAAATTAATGTTATTAATTTACTTTCCCAGCTTTACAAAACATTATGTAATATTAGATTGATTGTTAATTTATAATATAACTTGTTAGGGACTTATAATAAAAAAAAAAAATACTATTTAAAAACGTCAGAAAAGCCTTTAATAGTCTTCTTTTTAAAGACTCTATCTTAATGAATACAATTTTCTAATGCTACAAAAATTAATAACTCATTGTAATTTTTTTTTTTGTTTTTATAATACGTACAATTTCCTTAAAAAAATTACTTTTGTGTTAGCCATTTTTGAAGTATTAGAAAATTGTATTTAATAAATAAGAGCCATTAAAGAGGGAACTTATAAACCTCTTCACCATTTTTGCTTTTTAAAATATTTAAACTATTCTTCTAGGATTTTTTGACGTTTTTAATCGGTTTATTAGGGATTTTAAAAGCAAATAAATTCGTTTCAAGGAAAGGAATTATTTCATTTATTATTAAATGTAACACTGCGAGTAAGATTAGTTTCCGAAATTCTAGATTTAATTTACAATTTTTATTTATACAACAACATTTTTCTATTTTATTTGCTAAAATTGTATGAAAGCGAAATTTGAAGTTCATAATTATTACTTATAATGGTTTATCTTTTTCACTTAAAATGTTGAACATTTCTATTCGTAAAACATTTTATGAGACGAATAACCAAACTTACCATACAACACTGGCACTATAAGATAATACGTAACAACAGTACAATATATTATACTGCAACTGCGTCCGACTAGCTTCGCAATATTTGATTTTATATGCTTTTTTATTTTTTATGGACTGGAAAGCACTATTCGTGCCAAATATTGTTAGCTCGTGTGAATGCGTTTTAATGTATTTATATCAAAATACATAAAACGTAATCAAGGGATTTATTTAGTTTTAATATGTAATCACTTAAAACAGTGTTTCTTACAAACTTTTTACGGGCCAAAATTAGGATATGGAAAAGGAAAAAAAGAGGTCATTTTAAGCTGCACTCAGGCGACATCCGTCTATTCGAGGAAAATCATAACGAGTACTTTGCGCGGTCAATATAGGAACAAGTGTAGTATTAAAATGATTATTTTTACATCGCCCAAAATATTCGGGTATTGTGTTAAGTGTCCAGATTTTCTAATATACTTTGACCGCGTAACACACCTATAATACGAGTAAGGTTTGTGAAAATAAATGTGTGTCGATAAAAGTTCTTGATAAAACGAAAGTTATATACGGTTGCTTATATATAATATACATGTCACTTGGTGTGTGGGTCTTATATAAGAAACCGACAAAACTCGCAAAACTTTAATGAATATAACAATCGTTTCGCGTGCACGGTCTTAAAATATAAATGAAAAGAAGGAAATGAAAGAACAATTATTATTTATAGTCGGTTAGACCGTAGTAGAAACTTTCGAAAACTTCCCCGCCGTGATTTTGATGCCGAAAATGTCAAAAACACCGTTTTGGCCGTTGCTTCGTTGACCAGGTTATAGTACCTTCATAATTGCAGGGAGTCGAGGCTGTGATTTATCGTACCTACAGTAGTAAGAACTGAGGATGTACTGATGTACATTTTCACGAGAAAATGTTCGACAATTTATTAATTTTTCATACTAAATAGATTTCTATTTATTTCCGATAAACGTATTATACGAATTACCTTTATTTTTCATAACATTATGAGTAAAAATATTAAAAACTGTATTTTATCCATTCTAAGTAATATAAAAACATTTATCTTATTGTATATTATAAAATATTTTCATTTTTCACTTTTATATAAGAGTGTTCAAACATTTTCTCACATTAATTGATATTAGTGTTAGTTATAATATTAGTGTATTACCTTTAATATAGAGTTTGTATAATTGAAACTATATATGATATATTTTATTAGATTGGAGTTATTCGGGATATTCATGTTCAATATTCACTACCATAATAAAGGTTATCAGCACTTAATTTTAGTCTATAGGCGATCGATTGAGTTAACATACGAGTATAAACGAGATGGCGAGATATAATAACAAAACAAGTAAAATAGTTATTACTTATCTCATGTGACAAAGTCGTCAGTGGTATCAATCTCATATCGATTTAATGTCTCTAAGTACATTCTTGACTTTTCGGGGTAATGAAGAAAGCTTACTTCTACACCAGGAAATAAAAATACCATTTTAGGAGGGTAAAATGGGATAACAAATTCCGAATTTCAAGTAACAAGCTACAATAAGTTATTAAATTATGCCATCACATTATTTTCAAATCGAAATTTCAAAGTCGGGTGCCAGGGTAAGAGAGCTCAATACATCAAAATTAAATATTTAAAAGAAAAATACAGTCCAACTGTTTTAAAATTAGGAGTAACCAAAGTTAAGTATGTAGTTTTAATGTTGTACTATAATTTAAGATGGGATTAACATGTATCAAATGTTAAAATGTTTCTAAGGACAATCATTTATAAATATTATATAATTTGAACAAAATTAATTTCACACAGTAAATATGAAAATTGTGTATACTTTATCAGTCTATATTACAATATGGTATAATTATATGTAGTGGTGCTACTGAATACATACATTTAAACTAATAACTTTGATTAATAAATATGTATTTAATGAAAAAAAAAAAAAAAAAACCATGATTTTCAATTATTCACCCTATTCAACGAATGTTCATAATAATTAAATTATTGAACGCGTCTCGCGCTATTTCATACGGATTTATATCAAAACTTTCAATAATAATTTAAACGCCGGAGAACTCAATTATTTTGTATTCGTGTCGTCGTCATAATTGTATTATATTATTATTAACTGTTTTTGAAAATATTTTACAAATTGCATAGAATCGGCACGCGGCGAGTACCTCTATGTACAAGATAAAACAATTAAATATTCTATTGAATACGAGTATTTACTTAATTTTATTAGTTTTAAAATAATAATTAACGTTATTTAAAATGTGTCTTTAAAAAAAAAAAAAAACCCCCGAAAAGAAAAACCGTTTTTGTAATACATAACTTAATTATGTAACTTAATAATCGAATCGTGCAACGGCATCAGAACCGACACAATAATATTACTTATCAAAGCGAATCGGGTTCGACCGTTTAATATAAAATCAATTTGATTTTTCAACGATTGCGAGTATTTGTCTACTAAAGAAAACGAAAAAAACTTCGGCAGTGATTTTAATACTATATTGGATCCAAATTGATGCAATTAAATTTAACGGGAAAAAGAAGTACCGAAGTTAAATATGGACAATATCGTTTTTGTCGATAAAAATCGCGAACAAAATATTTCTAGTGATCCAAACCAACATGACATGACGTATTAAAAGTTTTTCAATACTGCGATTAGATATTTTCGAACTCGCCAAGAAGAATATTCGGTAACGAAACACGTGTTCCGGTGATTTTTTTTCCGGTACGCAAACTGCTCCGACGACGTAATAAACCCGAATCCCTATTGCCGACGAAAACTGCACGTGCGGTCCGGCCCGTCCGTGATATTAATGGGGGTTCTGAAAACGATCGGTAATAAAATAACACCACGAAATTCGAAGGTTTTATTCACGAAACAAATCAAAGGTACGTTGAAAAAAAATCAATCGATCACGAGAAAACCGCAGTAGGTTTGCCGGTTTTCGTGCATGTGTTTTCGCGTAAAATTCGAGTACGCAGACGGCACACTTTGGTTTTTGACAAGCTGGGCGGCGTATTTTACGTTTGATTCTCTCGAAAATAACGACAATAGTCCTCGCGATAGGTTATAGCAATATATATTATTGAGTTTCAATATTTAAACGATCCCGAAATACCGCACATATTGAATTCGTCTGGAACGTGTGATGTCGCGGCCGCCTGCTGGCCCGTCGCCAGAAACGTGCACCGTATAGATGCAAATAACTCAAATATTTCAAGGAGGGATGAGGGCTTAAGGACCTGATCTAGAGGGGCTTGGCTGAATTTCGGAAGGCTAATCCCCCTAGCGCCTCCGCCCCTATTTTTGACTATGACCAGTTAGTAAACGGGTTTTTTGAACATGATCCGAGTATAAAACTGCGGTCGAACTGATCGAAGTATGGACGTTTAATCGAATTAATTTTGGTTTTTTGTGTATTCCATGTCATTGCACGGCCTGTAGTGTAATCGGAAATTTCATCTTTTGAAACGAACGTGAATTCATGTTGCCGAATCCTCGGTTTGAATAATATCGTCCAATCAATATAATATACTATAGTATTTCGTAAGTCCGTTCCTAAAATTCTCAAGCCATGTGCGTTTCTTAGCTACCTATTGTACATACATATCTATATTAATTTTAATGATATTTATTGCGCGACTCACTTCATCTGGAAGTCGTGGAACTGCTGCGAGTTGAGGCTGTTGGCGAAATCGGGCCACCGGTTGAAGTCGATGGGCAACTCGATGGGGGCGGTGTGACAGCCTTCGTGTCCCTGGTCAGGCGAGTTGGCCGACACCGACGGCTGTTGGACGACGATTGTGGCCACCTGTCCCGTGTCCGACATGACCACCGCGGCCGATTGGCTCTTGTTGATGATGAGTGCGTCCAACAGCACGGCAGAGTTCTTTCGTTCCTGGTTGTTCCAGTTCGGCGTCCTGTTGTACGCGGCCGAAGGCCTCCTGCTAAAAAAAGTAAAAAGGCTCGTGACGGTCGCCATCTTTCGGATAGTTCGTATTATCTTAATTATAATAGGCATTTCCTCCGAATCATCGTTTTTAACGATTATTATTTAGATATAGGTAAAATTGTATTATGTATAGTTTTCGCGATATCGTATTATCTACATTATTTCAAAAATATCGCATCCGTTTGGTAACGCTCGCGGAGTTACGACAACATGACAAACGAGCCTACAAACTATAATATAATATGAAAACGAAACGCTTTGATAAAAAAAAAAAAGAAAAAAAAAGTCGAGTGGGAGAATTCTATTACGACCGGCAACGACGTACATATAATAGTATATAATATAATACGAGCAGTTCAAAGCCAGCGAGCGCTATTGCTCCGCATGACCTGGTCGGACGAATTCCAAAAAAAAAAAAATTCTTAGACCACCGAGTACGTATAATATCGAGTTGCGGTTTATTATCATCGCGATTTTGCAGTACGAAGATAACAGTCTAATGGCGTTTTGGCAACTATCTACAGTAATGATTTTTGTATGTTTCTCATTGAATGCAATAATTATTGTCAAATCGAAATTTTCCGAAATAAAACACGAATTGAAACTTAATATATTTTAGTCATTTATCTTACAAGTACACTGTTATAGACGGCAATATTATAAAATAGTAAGATTTTAGGACACACTAGCATAGTCATGATTTTAATTTTTGAAATGTTGAGTGACACCCATCGTGGGCCAAGAAAACGGGACATTTTGGAGTAACTGTTATAATTATTGTAAACTGAAAAAAAAATGAATATTTAAATTTTCTTGTTGAAAGCTACAAGTAAACGAAACGCCATTTAGCTAGAGACAAAACAATTTTAATTTTCAACTATGATTACAATTAAATGAAGACTGTTTATGCGCAGTATGTTTGTTTTTTTTAAAGTGAAATAAATTTGATCAGAACGATATGATGTACGTTATACATCTGCAATAATTATTTCCGTTAGGAACTCACAGAGATGAATTTGTTGGAATAAGTGAAATGAAAATCGTGAAATCATTTGTTACGAAGAGTCTTTGTCGTATGGACGATGATTCGGATTTCTTAACGATGAAGATATTTCAATTTTAATAATATGTGATTTCCGTCACAGAAAACCATTTTTCAGTAAATAGAAACGTTCGGACATTTTCATACCGTGCCCCAAAAGAGGCGGGCGTTTCGTCCGGTGATAGTTTATTTGAAACATTTTTCAGCAAATTAATGACGCATCGTTTTTGTTATTGTTGATCTCTCGGTTGCAATGGGGAAAACACGACTAATAGTGGATCGAAACGTTTGATTCCGTCTTACCAGCTCACCGAACCTCACTCGCCTATTCGGCGGGATCGTTATTCGACTGCAATCGCGTTCCGTCGATTTCGCGGTGTACGGACAAAAATCGCCTCGCGCGCTTCGTGCGGGCCCATCAACAGCGTGAACAGTATATTTACGGCGTTTCATTTTCGCGAGGCGTACGCCCGAACGTTTCCCCGCCCTCCGGCCCGCCATTCGCCCTTGCACCGTGTAAAGGGATTGTTATAAGCGCGGGCGATATTGTATATATATATATTTGGAAAAAACAGAAAGAAAAACGATTAAAATTACAAAAAAAAAAAAAAAAACCGTCGGTTTACGGGGAAGGTTGTAATCATAACAGAACGGGTTTCGTTTTGCAATCGAACGCGCCCGCGAGTGTATACAATAAAATGTCCGCGTATTTTATGCCCGACGGTACGGTGCGTTAACGCGATGTCATCAAGTACGGCGGGCGGGCACGGGTGTTTGTACGCGGGCGAATTACGCGACCGAAAGAACGCGGTACTGTGCGCGAGCGAACCGATTGCCGCCCGGCATTGTTGGCCCGTTGTTACGGCGGCGGCGACAAGGACGACGACGCGGTGCCGAACGTTATTGAATACAGACAGCCCGCGCAGCCGCCGGGCGGGGGCGTGTGTAAATAATATTTCAATCGTTCGAACGAAAATCATAGCCGTTATCGACATCGCTCGGCGGAAAAGCGTTGTGTTCCGTCCGGGCGCCTGTCCGATATGGGCCCAGCCACGGGCAAATAAAGTATCCGCGCGCGCGATGTTTGATAATTTGATTTTAACGCCGTTATTAATGAACGCCGGATGCGGGGGAAATCTTTTAAACGCCCGTGTCTCGTACGCGGGCGCGTGCAGGTATCATTTGTAATCGTTAGGTGTGACACGACCGCGCGCGCGTTACGGGATATTATTGTAATTTCACGGCGATATAATAAATCTGATATTATGATATTACGTACGTCCGCGATTATAACGCGTTAACAACGTCATTGTGCGCAGATATGCGCACGCGCGACTGAATCGAACGAATTAGTTTACGCGCGGCGCACACAAACCGCGGTAAATAATGGCCTGCGGGGGGTTCGGCGGCGGTTTTCCGAATTCTCTATACAAATTTCAACTGTTTTTTTTTTTAACTTTCAATAATCGCCTCAACGACAAACACTCCAGTTTCCGCCCAGTAGCGTGTTTAACAGGAGGCGATACGAGGGGTATCACTCTCCCACGGAACTGTTTTTGTTTTATATTTCGTTTTCCTTATACGCGGTTAGTATCTGTAAAGTGTCTGCCGTCGTCCCGGACTGTATGTTTTTCTATTGTTAGATGAACGTAGATCGAGGGTATTAATGCTTGATAGATAGATCACATTTGAAAAATAAAATGCCATTGTTAATCAAGTAGCGTACCCACTGCTGCAATAACATGGTACGGAAACGATAAAATTGAGCTATATAATTGTATATGATCGAATTCGATTGTTTCGATACTATTTAACGCAACGTTTATCAAATAACTTTTACACAGTAAACATTATTTTGAGGACTGAACTTAAACGTAAGAAAACGAACAGGGGGAGTGTGATTCCCCGACGAGGCAGCTTTAATATTTGATCATCACGACCCTCCAAAATAAAATTGTGAATACATCACTGTTTCCGCTAGTCTACTGACCAATAGCCGCGTAAAGGGAAGACGTATGGTTGTTTTTACCGACGAATATGAGGTTTCAGACGGAAGTGGCAGGGAAAAAAACTTACGTGTTGCGTTCGTTGACGAAACTCAATTTTATTTTTAAACCGTATTACGATTCGTTAAGTTGTTAACTAGGATACGTTGGGGTTGACTGATTTTAACTACTCGTATCCTAAGTAAAAGGCAAACTACTTAAAGTATATTTTTTGAACGTTTTTCAAGAATATAATCAAATTTTTTTACGATTTTCATTAGATAAAATTCATACTCTCATTATATCCCGGTAAAACACTAAATAATCATAATTTTTTTTTTTTTTTCAAGTCGAATCCATTAAACATAATTATTGCGGTTTCTTCTGGATTTTAGGTCTAAATTGACTAAAATATACACCGTCATCAATCTCTTTCAAAAAATATCACATTATATAGACAATGTCCTACATACGTGTCGTACGACTATACCTATACATGTTTCGATTTACAATCAATTATGCGTATGAATATAGTGATATTTGTTTTAAAAATATATTATTCGCGTAATATTGTTTTATTTTTTATACATCATCACGCATAGTTTATACTGTTTACAGCCCCCTGGTGTATGTCCCGGAGGAAAATATCAGAGCGTACAAAGCTCGTAAAATTTTCCTTGGTAAACGTAATCTCGGTTTTAAAATATTCGTAACTTATCCGCCTGGCGATCCGAAAGAAACCTAACCAATCGGTCAATATTTCGAAAAAATATATTTTATTAATCTGTATTTTTTAATCTTTGATATTCTGTATACGTTCTCATTGTAAAATGTTTTCTTACGTGTAGGTAGGAATGCATTTCAGTTAAAACTCAAAAGAAATCGTCTCAGGTTCGTATGTTCACCTAGGGCCTAGGAGTTTTGGAAAATAAGATTCACGCTTAAACCTTCACTTATCTAATACTCTGTCTTTGAGAAATTTTGATTTGTTTTTTTTTTGCCAATCGACTTTGAAAATCGACAAATATAACATTAACAAATATAATATTTAGTAATGTATAATTTTTTATTTATATGCAATAAATCAAACTGTGCAACGTATTTTATTTTATTCGTTCATAATATATAATGATATTATTATTTAAACCTGCAAATTTGTTTTAAATTGTATGTTCGAATGCTGTTGTTTCGATTATAATAATATATATAAATAATACATTTTATGAATTGCACGTATGAAGTAATAAAAGCGGAATTTGGCAAATTTTCAAAACTAGACTTTGATATTATAGTATTCGCACGTTCTTCAGTGAGTATGATAATCGCAAACAAAAAAAATAACTAATACTTTTTAATATTATTGTTAGCCTTATGTAAAAACAAACATTATATAAAATTATATGTGATGCATAAAATTATTTCATTTTATCTGTGCGCAACGATAAACCATTACTAATTAAAAATGATTCTGAACGAAGTTTAGTAATACAAAAACATGGTTTATGAATTTCAAAATTTTTAGTATGTCCGTTAAAATTTTATCTTAAATGCTTATAAAAAAAAACTATTACGTACCATTATAATATTATTATACAGCAAAAATGTTCGTTTTCTGACGTATTTTTTTTTTCAGATTTTCGCTATAGTTAAGAAAACGACAAGTAAATAAAAAAAAAAATAAAAAAAAAAAAATGAGTCCTCCAATACAATTAAATCAGGAACAATAGCTCTTGGAGCTGATAATCGGATCAAGATTTCTGATAGTCAAATTGTTTACAGTAAAAAAAAATAAAAATAAAAAATGTCCACCCTTTCTTAAAATCCATTACATTTCATCCGTGTTTCAAATTAATCGATAAATCGACAGAAAAAGTGTATAAATAAAAAAAAATTCAAATTCCATTCCAAACACTCTGTATCAGACACCATGTAGTGGTTGAATTTCGATAATCATTTTTCGAAGAACACACGGTCTCGTTCATCCATTGTAATGTGTATATTTCCATGCCTCAACTGTGTGCGATAAATAGCGCACTGACATATAAACAAACTGCAGATATTTCCTTTTATTATTATAGATTAAAAATTTGCTAAGGGCAATGTTATACCTATTGATTTAAAAAATTGTGTACGGCTTAAAAAATAATATAATATACATTAAAATTAACGTTGCAAAAATAATGAACGGATTATCTACATAGTTTATAATTATATAGAATAACTACTGGCAATGGCTAACGAGAACCATTGCTCACACTTATATGTGTTGAAATTCAGTTAAAAATATTCGTAGAGATTTGAAATTTAGACGAAAACTTAAACTTATATTTGCCTTTTCTAGACGTGGTAAATTTTTAAAAACATTTGAGCCATTTTTGAGCTATTTATGGACATTCTAATTTTGCGTATTATTTAAGTTTTTTACGTAATTTTTGTTCACGTGTATTACTCAGATTAAACTTGATAAGCAAAACGAGGTACTCGCAAAGAAAAAATGACAATTTTCATGGTTCTTCGTTAAAAAATCATTAATTTTAAATTATTTAATGTATATATATATATATATATACTAAAATTATCACAAATTCGTGATCATCATTCGTACATCGTGAATTATCATAAATAAAAAAACAATGTTATTTAATAATAACAATCTTCAAGGAAAAAAAACATAAATATTTTCGTTTTTCTTCCCAGATATCCCTTACTGCTTATCAATCCCATAGATGAGTGCTTCCAATACGGAGAAATTCTTCCTTTCTAAAAAGAAATTAAATACCTACTGCGTGAGGGGTAATATAGCTATGTGAAATGGTAAGAATAAAATATGAAATTTGCAAATTTACTATATCTAAAATTTAAAAACAGACGTCCATATTTTAAATTAATAGAAAATGGCCCGAGTATTTTTAAAATCTACAAGGGGGTATAGAATGAAAATAGGTGGGACACACTGCCATAGATAAATATATGTATAGATATACAAGGCGCGGTCCACTGTTTAGTAAACTTCTGGTATTTGTAGAGAAAACACTTTTTAAATATATCTTTTATAATATACTTTAACGTATAAAATATAGACATAACACTATTAATAAAACGGGGAAAAAATACCCAAAGAGCGAAAAGGTGATAACAAAAAAAAACAAAGTGAAAAATACGCGAAAAACCGAAATTAAAACCAATATTGGAAAATAAAGCCTGAACCCAAACTTAAATATTATAATAAATGCTCCAACCGGAGATATTACAAAATAATATTCTGAATACAGTAATTATACAAATAACGCACCTCCCTTATAATTATAATCGGCGCTTAAGACATGGGTATTTTAGGCAACAATAATGCATTACGGCATTAATAATAATAAATGTACTAACTCTAATTGCTTTACTAAATTCTGAATAATAATTGTAGTAATATGATTTCTCCGTAAAAATTATACTCCTTATACAGAGTAATTCTGAATGATTATACGGTTGTTATCAGTATACGTATTTATACAAATACTTCTAGTTAATTTCATTTTGGTTTTCTGCTTTCGTCTATAAATTTTAAACATTTTTAAATAAATAAATTATGGCTAAACATTAGCAAAAATAAGCAACCTGGTAGTAAAAAAAAAAACATTTATTATTTAAAAATACCTTAGTAAAATATTTATGTTCTAAAGAACATAAATATTTAGATTATCAAGATAAATCTACAGTGTGAAATATGAAACGAGTTATTACAGCTAGGAAAGCATTGTTACATACATATGAAGAGGTTAAAGCTATGGAGTGTGAGTAAAATGTTTGTTAAAATTGACTTGGGTGCTTTACGCAATTTCTTAAAAGCCCAATTCTCTGGTAGACAAAGTGAATTTAGTCAATAACTAACAATCACAACAACTAGATAGCAGCAAAATATTTGTATTAAAACGAACCGGTCATTTTGTTAACTTTAAACTTTAAAATTAATATGACTTACATACATAATATGTATTGGATAAATGATATTTGAGGGGCGGTAATTCAAAAGTCAACAACTTCCAATACTGCTTTAGTTATAAATTATAACTCACAAACGAAAAATCAAATATTATAGTGGTACACGTAGATCAATTTCAAAAATAATACATTCCACTCATTTTTGTTTTGAGTTCAGCAAAGTATGGAGCTACATGAAAACTGATAATATTAATTGATATGTGTTTTTAGAAATATACGCGGAACAAGGATAAATATTTTGAGTAAAAAATGATTTGGAACATTAAACGATTCTATAATACATTATAGTTCAGGAAAAAAAAAAACAAAACAAAACAAACCAACAAAAATTATATATCACTGAACATTTTCGTAATGAATATTGTTTAATCATGGCGGTCCTTTACATCCTATATGTTCCGACGTAGAAATGCGTTTCGCCGCACTCCGCTAGTTAAATTCAATACGCATAATTTTCATATTATTATAATATTATAACCGTATGTCCGTATACGTGCGTGTTGAATATTCAACAGCAAACAGGTATTTTTGCCTTTAGTTTTGGTATATCAGTTATAATAGATATAATCAAAACTTAATCCGGAATATATCTAGCTGATTCAGCAAAAAAGTTAATTTTATTTATCACTCATGCACGATTTTTATGGCAATATAACAATTTTCCACTAGTGTTTAGCCATGCAGTTCGATTTCCAACGTCAGAATGTTTTTTTTCAATAATTTTGGATTACACATACATTTACTTCGTTTTGTATTTGCGTTTCCCATATAAACGCGATATATTCACAAATTTATATTGAATTTTTTATACGAATCACCATACATAAATCAGCACAAATTTAGCACAAATCAATGGCATTATTTCAATTTTGAAATATGAAAGTGGACGTACTATTATTCCCGCACTATCATCAGAGAAAGGTTAGGATAGGTTAACCTGTTTCTCGGAAAGTTCAAGAACACAAATGTCGGACTTAAGCAAACACATTGTACAAATAAAAGGCGCTCTTAGTTTCGTTTCAAAATTCAAATTCGTGGTGTCAGGGAAATGGACCTACCGTAATCATTTCAATAGCTCTATGATGATATCGGGCAGACAAAAGTTTTACTACATACCTCTTGGTGGGTTCGATGGCCGGCTCGTCTGTCTCGTTTAACGTGGGAAACGTGAAATGCTGTTTGGACTTGGTGGGCGTCTCGTCATCGCACGTGGGTGAATCCGGCACGCCGGTCGGGGACGACGGAATAGGCGGCGACCCGTTGTCCACCTGGAACGAGTCTTCGCTATCGATGGTCATCTGTTCGGCGGCAAAACCGGACGAGTTGCGACCGATCTCGGTCCGGGTCCGGTCCTCTTCGAATCGGCTCTTTGCGTATCTCCTCGACAACAATTTAAATCTGGAATGCCGCACATATTATTATAATAAACGTTAGTAGGCCTCGCACGATCACTACTTATGTTGACAGTATAAAAGCTGAGAAAAATCTCCAGGGAAAATTCGACAAAATATATGATCTACGCATTAATGTTTATGTTTGAATTGTTATTTATTTTATTTTAATATAATCTGTATGTATAATGATTATTTTTTTTTAATTTTAACGTAATCTATAACAATTAGCCGTGGTGATTAAGAAGCTCTTTCTCTCTCTCTCTCTCTCTCTCTCTCTCTCTCTATTTCACATAATGGTTCGCTAATTTCCACTGAATCGGGTATATGTATACTCTATATATTATTTTACTATATATAATGAAAAGTTTCAAAATTTTTAAAATGTCATAAAATGTTCCATTTGAAAAAAATTCAATCTCATTTCTTTGTTCGGTTTCATTAAAATATGTGTATAACCATCATGATTATTGTAGCCAACGATCACTATTTGTTCACTTTTTATATGTTTTATAAACCGTTCAAACGTGGCTAGATTTTTATTAGAATATATTATTTGCTCTACAAATACACAAAAAGTATATTATTATAAGAAAAAAAATTTAAATATTTCGTCCGTTATACAACACCCTCAATAAATATTATTACTAATTTATCGTAGTAAAAATAAACAAAAAACTTTTTTAATAACATTACCGTACCATCGACGTAATATAATATTTTAATTTATATATTTTGACGCTTATAAAATTACTTTGTTCAAAATTAATTTCGACACATGCATTGTAAAACTACATTACACAGGTTATACACGTTATAACATTATAAGTATACCTTATCAGCAGAAAATATATTATTATAATGTATATGGTGAAGTAAATTTATTATACTGGATGTTTTTTATGCGGCTATTAAAATAGTGTATTTGAAACGTGTTACACACGTTATTTTGTTAATTTATGAGAAGGTAAACTGATGTAGGTACCTATACCTAATCTAAATTGCCATACAACTTTACTACTAATAATTATTATAGTAAAATATGTCGAGGGTAAACTATATACCTATATAGATTGAAAAGTCATCATTGTTAATATTGTTTCGATAAAGGCGCGATGGATAAAAAATATAAGAGATATACAGAATGTGACATGATAGACTATCACATTTCTGAGGTAAATTCTAAAAAACAAATTATTTATTGGAAATAGATAGTATACAATAATGATTTTTTTTTTTTTAGTTAGAGTTTAAAAGTGGTGGTATTTACGGGCAATGCACACACGGAGGCCTTACCGAAAGTTTAACTTCACTCTCTTTGGCGTAGCTTCCTTATTCCGTTGTTTTGAGCACCAGTGAAATTTTTTATATGGGTACTTCAAAATTTAGATTTTTAGACATTGTCCTCCAAATTTGAAGAACTGAAGGCTATTCGTGAAGAAATCGCCGGAATTCCTCGAGATATACTAGATGAGAGACGAGGGCGGGGGAAAACTTCCAGGAACGGTTCCACATTTGTCGTGCGACAAGGCCACTATTTAGATGGTATAATTTTTAAAAACCAACAGTAATAATAAAAAAAACAACTTATAATTTACAATTTACTTTCATTAAATAAAAATTACTTTTTTTATACCTTGTACCATTGTTTTAGAATTTATCTCAAAAATGTGTGAGTTCATTATGACATACCTGTATATAATGTATAGGTAATAGTAATTATTCTGATTAATCAAATCAATTAAGTTTCGCTCAATACTCGTATAATATATTGTAATTGGATTGTCGACAGTAATTTATCGAATTTTCAGTAATAATTGGTAACTCGCAATAATATTATAATAGGCAATAGAACAAACTTCGGTAAAGATTACATGCATTTTGGGTTACTATCAATATAATTGTTTTCATAAACAATTTATCCGTTTAAAACATACACACAGACTGTAGATATACCATTATGGTTATTTGGGACATGGGTACGTAGTAAATAATTGATTGGATTTTAGCCACTGACAAGTACTTTTCGGTCAAAATAATCCTTTATAGGCAGGCAGGTATCTAAAGTTGTTTCAAATGTTTGTATTATAGCTATCTCTTACTTTAATAGGATTGTAACCGTTAAACATTGTCGGTTTGTCTTGAAACTCTATATATATACAATATAATGCTTACAATAATGTACACATAATATTAAAATTGCACGAAGGGATGCCGGCGAAGGTAGCGCGCGCAATCAAATATTTAAGCGTTTTTCCAATTCGATTAATATCGTTTTACACCTGCTGCTGATATTATGTCGGATGCACATCGTGTCCTAAAGGCTAAAACCCTAGTGATACTGTAGATTTTATAACGGGCATTTTCGGTGCAGAAGTGAAAATATGTTTGATCTCCCCACGAATAATAATAATAATAATAATAATATGAGTATAGTATTTTCACGGAAACTCCCGTTATTGATTTTCAGAAACCGTGTCTTTATCATGCAGATGTCTCTGCGTATTCAGAGGGAGGAGAGAGGATATATTTTTTCCGAAATCAGCGATCATAATTTTGTCAAAAATGTATAGAATAACGCTGGAAAATCTACATTTAGAGAATTTTAATTATCCTCAAAGTATGGTCGCAGACATAGATTTTAAAAAATCAATACGTCTGTCGCTAAGTTCGAAATCTTAAAGTTATTTATGCAATTTTGCCAATCAATTATAATAAAATGTACAACTAGACGTTTTATATTATATAGTCCAATAAGGAAATTAGTTTGGTGATGTTTTTTTTATCGGAAAAACCACAAAAATCTTAAGCACATCTTAAACATACTCAGGTCGGCGTACTAACCTTTTATTTGCCATGATGGTGTTCCGGTGGAGGTTCTCGAGCAGCGCTTGTCTCTTCATGATGTTCCGCCACTCAAGGGTGTTGTCAGCGTCGTGATCGGAGCTCCGGTCCTTTTCGGCTGGTCTGAAATCTTCGACTGACCCAATGGTGTTTTCCTCGTCTCCGCCGCCATCGCCATCGTCCTTGTTACCACGGTAATTGTTGTTCGTCTTATTGTCATTGTTGTTATTGTTGAAATTACTACTGCTGTTATTGTTGTTGTTGTGCTGACCACGGCTGCGCAGACTGCTCGGCAATGTAGTATACTGCATCACGGGCATGTCACCGTCATCGTCGTACTCTTGAGGTGCCGTATCCTGGACGGTGAATACGGCCTTTGGGTCGTCCTTTGGCTGTTCCTCGGTGCTAGATGCGCTGTAGAACTCATCGTCCTTTTCCGCGGACGACGATGAATGTGTACCATTCAGAACTTCGTCCAACAGATTCGGGATAATGCGCATTTTCGGCTCGAACTGCAATATAAAGTATCAGATTTATTACGGAAAATGTTTACGAATTAGCTTCGGCTTAAGATATCACATCTAAATAGAAAAGTTAAAAAAATTGGATCGTTTTTCCGTCAATGTTATGGGAAAGTTAAATTTTTTCATAGATTTATTGAATTGTTTTCTTTGTTATAATAATTTTACTAACTCATCAGACAAAGACGAACAAAGACCAACATAGACCTTCTCGAGGACTGACTGTAATTAGTACCCAATTAATATATATCATATTAATAATAACTTATTGTCAGAAAATATTTTAACATTCCCGGAAACTTTTTATTTTAACTTACACCCTCCTCTCATCATCACCTCACAGAGAGGTCTGAGTTTGGAAATAAGTTCCCGTTCTCCAAAAAATTCTGCAATATTGTGATGGTATTAACTTACAGCTTAATGTATACAATATTAATAATATTTTCAAATTGACTTGATAACTTAATGTCTATGAAATGACCATAGTTCTAAACGATTTGGTACTCTAATGGTTAGACGTTAGGTGATATAGTCCAGGTTGGGTTCAGTTTTGTAGTTTGATTTCTATCGTATTACGAAACATGATTGCCCGGCTGTCCGATTTTATTTTGCGTTTTTGATTATTCGTATTTTAAGGATAAAAATAAGACGTTTTTGGACCATTTCAGAAACTTTCCAATTGGACGTTCCTGACGGGAAGTTATGGGGTTTGAAATTTTCGATAGTATAAAGTATTTATGTAAACTGCTTTAATATGTTTCCGGATAGTCAAGTACTAAAATTAGAATTTCCTATAGATCGCTGCATATAGGTGGGTGGTCTTTTTCCTATAGCCTTCTCGGGTCGTATCCAGCTATATGAAAGTCCTATGTATTCGTTAATAGATATAATATTCGTATGTATTACAACTGAAAATAACACCCGAATATTACAACTAGTGGCATAAGAGCATTTTGAATTGTCGGTGTAAAATGAAAAAAAAAAACTGTTGTTAAATATAGCTACCTAGTAAATGAAAGCAAGTAAAAACTTCCTATAACCAGTAAGTTATTCTTTATGTGGACATTATTTAATTCCACAAATTATTCAATGATAATGTATAATTTATAATGATTAAATAACTAATATTACTTGGTTTTAATAAAAAAAATAAATAAATAAACACAATTTTAGATTGGGTACCTTAGTAGGTATAGTTATTATGTCGATTGTAAATAATCAGCCAAAACTTTTTTAATGAATATTTTAACCTGACCTCAGTTTATATATACGCGCTCTAACCTCAAAGAACTTTGATATTTCATTTGGTAATTATTTAGTGCGACTACGTTGTTTATGAATTCCGTTGACCGGAAAGATTGTAAATAAGTCCCTGTGTACATATTTCGCGTATATGTATACACCGAAAAGTGTCGACTTAAATTCCCTGTGCAGTGTACCGATTTCGGATCACTTGAATACGTTATATACAGTCAAGTTTCATTTCGCTGGGCGGTCGCGGTGGATTACAGAAAACTCGATTATTCACCGAGACAATTTACAGCCCGGGTTGTTACCTACCTAGGTACTTCAAAAACACCTCTCTGTCGGAACGAAAATAATATGTTTTTTTACGAGCTCAATCAAATCATTATTTCAATTAAAATATAATACAGGGTGATCGATGCAACGTGAGATGCTCGTAATTTCAGAAAGTATTGACTTTTAAGTTTTTATTGTAGACAAATACACAAAACAATAAACGCCCTTATGTTCGGAGATGGTACCACTACGGACTTTTAAATTGTAAATTGTATCATATTTTTCCGTCAAAAATTTATTATTATTATTTATACTGTGTAGAAATATAACTAATGTACACAATTAATTCAAAATTGTTTGCGTTTGATTTAATTTGAGAGACGATACGGTTTCTTGAAAGCTACTATGCATTATATTATTGATGATTAATTTAATACTCAGGTATTTCTTGTTTACGTTATAGGATACGCGATATAGGTTAATATATTAAACAGATAGTGAATACATAATTTTGTAAATACGTTATTGATTTGGCCTTATATAAACATCGGCATTGTAGCCGGTAATCTCGATATTATGTTTACTAATATTATATTGCGTTCTCGAACATTTCCCGGAGCTATATAAAAACTCGTGACACGAACAAATAATACGTATTCCGTTTTTTAACCGTCTCGAAATTTCTGCGCGTTGAACAAATAAAAATAATAGTTTTTGATATTCGATTGCGCATTAAAATGCGCTTTATGTTTTATGCATTCTGAAATTCGTCGCATTGTTTCGTAAAATACGAACATTTTATAAATATTATAAAAGCAACATACAGCTTTGTTAGGGTTAGTTTTCTCTGCGTAGATACGTCAGCTAAGGGAAAATTTTCGTTGAACATAACCTCAAATATTCCAATATTACTTCACCCGGTGTCTTCAGCGACCTTCGTTCCGTCTGAAATTAATATCTAAAATAACCATAAATCTGTTATGCAAAACCACGTCGGAAAGGTTGTATAGGGTAAATAATTTTGTTTCATTTAAGAATTTTCGCTTTTATGTTGTCATGAGGGGAGGACTGTTTGAGTCTCTGATCAGCAATATCCTTTGCGTCTTTGCGCTTATACGTAGAACCTGTAACATGTTCGCGAACAATATTTTATTGTTTGCGTACACGATAATAAATAATTCCTGAGTTGACAACAGCGAATTTTTTTCGGCAGTGAATGAGCGATTCACACCGAATGATTTTTTTTTTTTATTACGGATTTGAAAATGTCAATTTATCCCGAATATTTATTTTCCGTTTCAATAATACTATTCACCATCACAAAATATACGCCAAATTCGATATATAAATTAATAAATTACTCCGAAGATAACATTTGATATCACGTCAAATTGTAGAAAAAGAAATTAACAATAGGTAGATACGTTTATAAACAAATTGACGTTAAATTTAAATTTCTGTACTTTAGATACGCTTGATAATATACTTTCTACTATAAATTAATTGCCAATTGTGTAAAACAGTAGTGCACTATAAAAAAAAACTTTTACTGAATAACAGTAGGTAGTGATAAATCTAACAGATTTTGCAATTTTCTTAATTACTGGAAATAACCGGGAAAAAACGTAGGACAAAGGGGTAAGTTTATAAAATTAACAGTTTTATTATATTCTAATTTAATGTTATTCAGTATTTGCAAATATTAATGTCAAGATATAAAAGTTTTTAAATAAACTTGTATAAGCATTTTCTAGAAGTATTACAAATTACAGCTATTTAAAGCATTAGTGTTTTTTAGTTTTCATTTGGTATTATGAGACTAAAATTGTGTTTTGATCAAGCAGAAATGTTTGAAAATTTTAAATAAGGTTTATCATAGTGTGGTAGTTCCATTTAAACTTTTGGATTCTGGTATATATATATGTTACTATTATATCGCTATAACATGAAATTTATGTATATATACTGTCGAAAAAGCAATTATATTAACCGAGGTCCACTAAGAATTGTTTTTCTTTATCCTACCTTTCAAAATTCTTACTTATCTAACAGTGACCCACCCATCGTGTAAAATATGTTCGTCTTTTTTAAATTCAAATTTGACGAAGTAAGTAAAAATCTGGACACTTTACAATATGCGATTGAACTTTACTCAGCGTCGTATTTCGTTAGCTATGAATTGATTTATCTTAATTTTATAAATTTATTTTAAATTAAAATTTTGGTGATAAATAGGTTTACTAATAATAATGAGTAGTTAACTTTCTAAACAATTTATTAATTATTAAAATGTAAACTATCGTAAATTGAACGACTCATCATTAATAATAACATTTGAAAATACCAAAAATTCGTTTCAAAATAAATTTATAAAATGACCCATTTTAGACTTTGTTAAACAATATTGTTTTTAATTAAAACTTTTTAGTTCTAGGTCAAAAGAAAAAAATTAAACAAAATAATGATAAAGTAAGGTTCTAGTAATAATTATAACAAAAACAAAGGATGGATACATACATCGATATACAACGATATACATCGCTTGTGGGTGAAGCCACTGTTATAGGTGGGAAGTTAGAAAGATAAGATACAGACGGGAATTCAATTTCTATTTGGAAGGAACCAACGATAAACCATTGCTAACGAAAAAACGATTCTGAACAGATTTAAGTTGATAGTGTTGCTTTGTCAAAAGTATAATAATATATTAGTCATATAATGGTAAAATGATTACAAAAATGTGCGTTTCCATGACAACAGTGATTGTTTAAAAAATATTAAAATAATATAAACTTAATAATAACAAAAATAAATAAAAACGGTTACCAATGACAACGTTATTTTTAATCTTTCAATCTTTCAATTCCCCACTATCTCGAATATTAATGAAAATTTCAAAAAAATGTCCTCTATAAAGTACCACCCAGAGAACATTTCCTTTCAGAAAAGGTGCTGTACCTAATAATCGGAGTAAGCATTCCGGTAGAAAAAATGTCCGCATAAAAACAAAATAAACATCTTTGTAAAACCAATACATTCTTCACATCACACGCACAATCTAAAATCAAAAACAAAAATGTTAAAATACCGAACAGAACAAAAGTTATTGCACTTGTCAGTTTCCTCGGTACACACTGTATGCATATAGGTGTATACGTATGCTAATTTCGCGACCAATAAAAATCGGACTGCAGGGAATTGATTATTTTCGAACGGCTTTTGCGAGCTATTATTACTATAACGGGTCAAGTATATATATATATATATATACATAATATACTATATATTTTCTACGGATTAGTATAACCACTTTAAACAAACATCGGGTCAAAAAAAAAAAAATATATATATATTATATTCTATATGCTAGTTTGTGCTTGGGGATTCGACCGCATATTATAGCTAACGCGTATAAACTCCCTTAACGCCTTTCGAGATAACGTGGCCCGAGTATTTGTTTCTATTTTATTTTAATTTTTTTTTTTTTTTCCGTACACAGTCACTTTTTAAAATGGAATTGTTTTTTTTTTTTTTTTTGCCCACTGCGGGCTTTGTATCAGTATTGTTATTGTCAGTAGGTTTTATTCTCCGTATACTATTGACTACATAGGTGTATAACCGCAGACGGGCTTTTAACGAATTATTATCTAAATACGCTCCAGTACCTGTAGACCTTTTTTTTTTTTTTTTTTTTTATATAGTTTGTTGTGAAATATTACTATACCTACATAGAGACGATTCACAAGAGTTATATTTACATTTGAATTTATAATTTTATTGTTAGGCACGCACGTGATTCTACATTAAATTATACTTAGCAAATGTAAAATTATCGCGATCCATTCGTATTTTCGCGTAATATGAATACGCGCACCGAACTAATAATAAAACCGCATTAAGAAAATACATATATACCATATATCATAACGGACGTGAAATTATCACAAAATTATTAAAAACGATCCGTTCAACCAACTCGTTCGATATCGCATGTTATAATGCAGTAGTATATCTTATGGTTGATTGAAAACTTAATTTACTTAAATCATATGGAACTATTGAAATTCAATGTTAGGATGTTACGTGTCCCTGGAACTCTCCAATAACAACTCTTTATGGAAATTGTCAAAATATGAATGGAATAACTATAACGACATAACTGTTAAATATATAAATCGTCGGCTACGCAGAATAACCGCGTGTGTAACAAAAGTTACACGATTGTAGCAAGAAAACTACGAAGAAAATAAAAATACCTCCTCAATGAACCAATTAAATCGAAAACGTTCTACAAGAGAGTTCTTACAAAGACTCAATATGTAATAGAAAAGTATTGTTTACAGAAAAAAAAAAAAAAATGACTTACGTGATTTTTCCGGGTAGCCGACGATAAACTGGGTCATAAATGATTTTAGTTTTTGGCGGTGACGTCACTCACAAACGGAGTCATAGGTACACAATTATATTTTGTCATGGTAAAATGTGTAAAACGTGTCGTTGAAAAAGCGTTCAATAAGACCGATATCAGATTATATCAGAGATCAGAGATCAAAACGTGTCGATATAGTTCTTAAAAGAAAAGTGATTCGGTCGGTGAACGTGCAGCAATTATCGTATTTCGGATATCCAATTAAATTAGAGTGATTTTAAAACAAAAAGAGACGGACGTACTTTGCGCTAGGGGTGAACTACAGTTGTAGATATAGAGAGGAATTCAATGTTTATCTATATTCTGTATGCAAGTCAAGTCTACATTTTCGTCAAAATTTAATATTAAAATTCTTAAAAAAAAAAAATTATTTACTCAACTTTTTCTTATTTATCACTAAGTACAACTTACATTAAACCTGTTGTCAATTTTTCAAGTATCTATGATTGATCTAATATTTTTATCCACGAATTACTTACCAAATACAAATGACGTAAAAAACTCGCAAAATTAAAATGTCTGTAAATAGCTCGAAAATGGCTTAAATGTTTTGAACATTTTACCATGTCTATAAAAAATAAATATGAGTTTTTTTTTTTAACTTCAAGACTCTACGAACATTTTTAATTAAATGAAAACCAAAAAACAAAATTAAAAATAATAAGAGTATATTTTCATAAATTGTGCCGTTTTTTCTTGGTTTTTCATAATTGTTAGAAAAACGCTTAGAAAATAAAAAAAATAACCTCATTTAAGTCTTAACAAGATAAAATTGTCTTTCAGAAAAATTACTACACTTGGAAATTGGAGCAAGAAATGGTTGAAATTGTATACAGAGTATAAAAAAATAAAAAAATAAAAACCATTGTAAAAACATTCTTCGGTTCGCTCATAATCTAATAGTTACGTCATATACTCGGATTACGGAAGTAGTTACATTGACGTTTAATACGCAGAATGTTCAAACTAAATATAACGCCTGAGTACGATTTTTACATCGCGATAGCTCAGCGACGTATTTTGGTATTTTGCAAAAAAACGCTCCTCCACATCATCTAAAATTTCTTTTTATCTCTTATATTAATATAAAAAAAACACACACAAATCATAATGCACTGTTCGCTATTTTAATAACGAATTATTAAAAAGTTAAATAAACTATTTTTTTAAATATATATTTATGAACGCAGAACTTACGATTCTATGAAGTATGATACGAATAAATCACATCAAAGTTCTTATCAATATTTACAAGTAGTCTATCTATTTTATCACTATCAGCAACCGTGATTTACAATAATATTAATTTGATTACTAGTACATAAATGTACAATATATCAAACCACTATACTTTTTTATGCCCTGGTTTTACCATTGCATGTGTTAAATGATAACCATAATAATAATTTTATGCTTTATATTATTAGTTTTATTTTTTTTATTAGCCAAATACTATTAATCAAAATGAGCACTCCAAAAATGTTTTCGCCCTGGACTCCCCCCCTTTTATCCCTACGGGGAGGCACAACTGACATATAGTAATGATAAAATAATATTTATTTTCCAACCAGCTCCAAGTCTTACCGGATTATCGATGCTGTCCTCGTTCTCCGTGTCGTCAGTTACCGTGGTCATGGTTGCCACGGACGAGTCGGTGCTGGTATTGACCGTGGCCGCTGACTCAACGGATACTGAACTGGAGCCGAACACTTTGAGTTTGGGCACCGGGGACGATTGCTGGGACTGGGACTGTTGCTGTTGTTTGGACCGGTTGAGCATGCGCTGGGCGCCGGTGGACTTGAAGTGGAGCCGGCGCAGGGCACTGGACGCACTGGCGATGAGATCATTTCCGGGGGACGCGGTACCGTAACTGGAAGCCGACGACGGTGTTGGCGATCCCGGCGCCGACTTCCTCACAAGAACCGCCACCCTGGGCTGCTGCTTACCCGGACCGCCGACAACGCCGACCCCGTCTCCGCCAGCCGAAGTCCAACTGGAGACCTGTAAAAACAAACGATGTGATAAAATAAAAATAGAAAAACCATTACTAACAAAAAAAGATTCTGAGCAAAGTATTATTAGTCGTAATTTCCCTCTGTTTTCAAGACAACTCAGAAAATAATTAAAGGTCCACAAAGAATTCCTAAGATTTCCCATTTATTAAGAAACATGACAGGCATACTGTACACGTAGGTGCACATGTTGTAGGTATAAAGTTGGAAAGATAAGATATAGACGAGAAATGTATATCTGTAAGCAACGATAAACCATAGCTTACGAAAAAACGATTCTGAGCGGAGTTAAGTTGATAGTGATGCTTTGTCAACAATATATATTTCATATTATTGTAAACCAATTAAATAGGCTTTATATATTTTCTTAAATAATATTTGTTTAATATTGTATCGATTTTCTCTTTTTTCCTGCGTTTTTCCATATTTTTTCACGGATCATCACATTTGTTAAGAAAACTCTTAGAAAAACCGAAAAACGACTTCTTTAAAGTAACTTCCTAGTCAGATTTACTTTCATTAAAAGCGCTGTCATCGTAAATCGGAGCAAAATTGCTGGTAGAAAAGTTGTACACAGAAATAAAAGGCCATCATATTTTTTTTACTAATACCTACATTTTGTACATTTTCCGTTTTTCCGATATTTTATCGCGGTTATTCCCAGTTATTATGAAAACCGATTGAAAAATCACATAAATGACGTCCTTAAACCATAGAGATAAAATTTCCTTTCAGAACATAAGCTACACTTGATACATGAGAGCAAGATTTCTGGTAGAAAAGTTTGCACAATAAATCGAGGAGTATTTTTCGAATAAAATCGTCCGATTGAACGATAGATAGGTCTCTAGGTACACTTAAAGTGAATTTGTTTTTTTCCTGTTTAGGTAAAACGGGAAAAAAAATGTAAAAAGTTGCTTTTCAAATCCAGGGTTTCAACCCGCAATCCCACAATACGTAATCATAACTATTCTATTACAACAAACGTAAAGTAAATTAAACAATATTAAACAAGAGTTATTTAACACAAACGTGTAATATTTGCATAATATCTGAACTACAAAAAGCTATAATTTCGAAACTTATTCAGTCCGCTTAATACTGACTTTACCATCCTTCTTATACCGGCACTACACATATATTCGAGGAAAAAAAAAATTGAAAAATTAGTTTTTTTACGTCAAATTGTCTTTATAAACACAAATACTACGTTAAACTCAATTTTTTTTTTTTACAACAAAATAATATTTAATGAAACTCCTGTTAAATTTTCAAGCATTATTGTTAAGTCTAACATTTTTACTACAGAGTACCTACCGAATAAAAATGCCTTTAATTAGCTCAAAAAAAAATTTTTTTTTTTTGGAAAATTTTACCACGTCTAGAAAAGACAGATATAAGTTTTCTGTCCAAATTTCAAATCTCAATGAATATTTTTAACTGGAAATTTCCAAAAACATTTTTAAATAAATAACCACCGCGATTTTTAAAATATCTCCTATGTGAAATTGAATTAATTTTAATTTATCGAGTCACTATAAAGTATCTAAATATATGAAATGTAAGTATCGAGTATTTTGTATTGAAATACTTCCAACATAAGTATTTTGTATTTGGTTATTAAAAATGAATGTATATTGTATGTACTCGTATATAATTCGTTTTTTATGTATCGTGCTCAACCACGCAGAAAGCAAATGTCTAAAATTCGAAATGAGGAAAAAGCTCATCCCGAAAAAACTAATAATTAGATGATTCATCTTATCGATAGGAATTAAAAAAAATAAAAAAACAACGGCTCGTGTTTCGGGCTATTACCGATAAAAATAAATCAGACATTTTTACGAGGAAATTCAAAGGAGAATAATTAAATCGGTATTTAATGTTTTGGCCGCGTAACAGCATAACGGGACCCTCCGGGCTCGTGATAGAGTTACTTTAAAATACGGCACCGGAAATGGCCAGAATAGTATGCTGGACACGAAAATACAAAGTATAGAGATTATTACGGTTTGCCGGTGGTTCGGCCAAGAAAACCGCATAAACGCAGTCGTCGTTTCAAAGTTCGCCACCGCCGACGAGTTGCCGATTAATAACTTAGCGGCCCATCACCTCTCCGCGTTCATTACCCGATCTGTCGGGCGATAAATTGCGTTTGCGTCATTACTCGCCGTATAATTATAATAATAATAATAATAATAATAATAATAATAATAATAAAGATAATAATAATCGCATAAGCGCAAAGCGCATTTAAATTTCTCGCGTCCGATACCCTTTGCAGACGTACAATATGGACACCACAAAAACTGAAACGATAGATTTTGAGACCCGCGGTGCTAACCACTGTGAAAGGTAATAATCTGCATTAAACGATCGTCTTTATTTTTACCGTGTGTAATCATATACCTGAGCCGCGCACAAACGCCGTATAACGTCGATAAATGATAATACGAAACGTATTCCGACGGTCGTGGTCTGCATCGTATACTCACCGGATCGGGTTACGGAACGTAAAAAATATGGGCGGTTTTGAAATCCAGCGACCGACGCATATCCGATAAAAGATGACATCGATGACGTTTTTTAAAATCAATTTTCGCTTGTCCTAATACCTAAGTATAATGTTAAATTTTCGAGGAAAATGGCCGCTCTACCAAAAATAATCTTGCGGAGGCAAAAGTCCATTTACTAGTCATCACCTAGCCATTTACTAGCCAATCACTGCACCGGTGTAACTACAAAAATTGATTCCCATATAATAGTTGACCTCCTCCAGTAAAGTGCCGTTAGTACATATTTATACCCCCGTTAAAATTATATCACTAGAGAAACATTATATTCCCTCGGTAAACTATCAAAGGGTAACATTTCACTAGTGGATATTTACTCCCCCGGCGTTTTTCCCTCGCGTCTACATAGGATTTTTAATTATCATTGATCGATTTCCCAATCATATTATAATAATTATAGGTTCGAGGACGCCCGATCAACCCAGACGTTAATTATTAATGCGATTCGCTTTAATCGGGGTACCGTCGCGGTAATTTGTCAAAGAGAATACCCACGTATTAATGACCTACCGGACATTATCCGAATTCCGGCCGCGTTTTAAAACTCAAAATCGCCTATTGTTCGCATTAATATTTAACTACCACATATATTTTGTACCTAATCGATATTGGCAACAGTTCAGTTTTGAAAGACTAGACAAATAAAACGCCAATGACGTGCGACACACGTAGGTGTACATTTATAAGTGAGCAGAGTTTTTAGGATTTGATCGACTGTAAAATTAAAAAAAAATAAAACAGAGAAAGAAATATTTTACAGATCATTAAAAAAGAAAAACTACGATAAACCGAACATGTACGGAGACGCCAAAACCCACAACTACGTACCAACAGGTTAAAGATCTTTAGTAAAACCGAGGACGTGTGGAAGCTGCAGGATTAGCAGATATATGAAATTTAACTTATTTTAGCACTTGAGAATCATAGTCGTAAGACGAAATGATCTTATGAAAGCTAAATCGACCTAAATAAAAAATCAAAAATGATAACCTAACCAAAATCACCCAATAATCAAATCAATAATAAACTAACTGTCCATTCATTAAAATGTATACCTAATTTAGTTTGTAAGTTAGGGCAGCTCAGAATGTATTAATCTCATAAGAGTACAAGAAGTAAAATATCATGGCTTAGTTTTTGAATATAAATTAAAATGATATAAACATTTATGTTTAATTAATAACAATTTACTTAAATTCTTCAATGTTTTTAAATATGCTAGATGTATTTTTAGCAACCGTTTAAAAAGAACTATTTATTTAGCGTTAGAACAATTTTTTTTTTTTTTTTTCAATAATGTATCAAAATGGGGAAGGTAACATTTTTGATATTACGAAATAAACTATCATTATTATTAAACAATCATTACTTTAAAATAAATTCAAAAAGACTGGTAATTATTGATAAATGGTCTGAAATTCAAGATCACCGTCCTCTGTCGGTTTATGTAAGTCAGTCGATATTATGTACAACTTTACTGTTACACCAAACGTTAACAATTTATTACTGAAACCGGATAAATAACTAATACAAACATTTTAATAACGTAGATATCGATAAACGTAAATGATTGATTTGTGTCAACAACTAACAACAAAATAGAGGAATTAATCTTACGTTTGAGTGACGGAAATATTGAAATTTCAAGTGGGGGAGACAAGGTCTCTCCTAGATTGCCGTCCAGTATATACGATCGTCGCGTTTTGAACTTTTAAAAAAAAAACTCAAGTCGTCCATATGGTGATGACAGTTACAATATTGTCGTTACACAATCGTATTGATTTGTATTTGTTTCCGTATGATGCGTTCGTTGCAGAGCTGGCGGAAACGTTATTTGAAATAATATATCGATCGGTTCCGTTAAATATCGTAAAATCAGTATCACCGCCCTCGACCGCTACGGTATTCCAATAATAACAAAAACGCATAGCATTCGTCATTATTGTCGACGGCGGCGGTGCGAGTGCAATGATATTTGGAGAATTCGATTCGTAAACAAAAACCGTCGTCGCCGGCGACGCGGTAGTGCGGATGAATATGCCTGTCCGTATTTCTGGCGTGTATCGTCGCGGTCGTCCGGAAGAAATAATTTATAGGCATTAGGTATGTTTCACTTGTCTGTGTTATAAAAATTATATCATACACGGGTACGTCCGTACCTGCCACGGGTTAATCGAATAAGCGTTCCGTCTGTATTTTATTTTATTAATGGCGTCGCAACGATATTTACCGCCGCCGGTAGGTAGGTACGTGCAGAAAACACCGCTGCGGCGTTTCCGGGCCCCGTTCTCCCGCGTGGATAAGCCGAAACCTAAGCTCCGGGATACGCGGCCGCATATGCTAAAGGCACGATGCGAACCGGCACGTTTTCAAAAAAAAAAAAAATAATAATAATAAAAATAAATAAATAAATGAAAATTAATTAAAAACACAATTAGTTAACTTTTTTAATTACTACGTTTACTGCCCCCCTCTTTTTACTATCTCTCGCTCTCTCGCTCTCGCGCTGTATTATATCCCGGGGTCTTCTCTCGGCGGTATACCTATTTCCCGTTTTATCGCGCATAAGAAACCCCAGACGTTGAGAAATTCATTTTAAATATAAATTCGTTCGTGAGCATAAAATAGGACTTTGTTCAAGAATTACAGTTCATATTTTCTCAATGGACTTGCCGGGTTCGAGGTCGTTTGTAAATTCACTTAAAAGTTAATTCAAAGTCCAACGGTTTTATAAAATTTAATCGTATAAGATACGAAAAGCATATGCACTATTTAAATAATCCCAAGTGTACGTTTCAATAAAATTTGCCATGTCTGTTTTTCAAAAGCATAATATAGCAAACTTACATTTTATATACTTAGAATTTAAATTCTAGCCTTTAGATTAAGAAACAGATATGCGTGAACTATTTTTTTTTTAATTCTCAATTCAAAATTCGGAATCTGAATTAAAACGAACGTT